CCTAAAATTGTGTGCAGTAGTACACACTATGTGCAGTAGCAAATTCAAAAGTGTGCCGTACTTATTTTAGGCTTTTATACATTTTTATTTGATTAATATCCAATATTGATTATTGAAATTAATGAAAATCACTAATAAGCATTTATTCATTTAAAATTCTTAACACTAAAGATAATATTGACTACACTAGCTAAGCGGTACCAATAACGACATTGGTCTTTTTTGTCTTGTCTGTCTAAATTTAACCCACATTCAACAGTTTTATATTGGCTAAAAAAAAAAAAAAATAGCAATGCAAAGGTACAGCCGTATGCTGTTAAGTAGGAATGGTTTCAAGGGGTTTTCTTTGAAGCTGAAGCCTCAAAAAGTATTTTTTTTGCTGAGAATATTACCAAAGTTTGTTTTTAACTAAATTTATATAATTATTTTAAATATAACATTGTGTTCAATGTTGTTCTTAGTAAAGTAGGTATTTTTTATTATTTAATAATATAATAAGTAAATTAACCCAAGCTATTTAGTTTTTAGTTTTAAAATTTGTAGTCATATATCAAGGACTTGTGTAGAAGATTGTCTTAGATTGTATTTATTATAACTAATTGTTAGTAAATACCGAAAAAAATAATGCATCGAAGTCATATATGGCATGTGCACTAATAGGTCGATGTTCATTGTTTTAAAATGTGTTTTGGGTGTGTAAATAGGTGTGCAGTAGCAAAATACCCGAATTTCAAGTCCTGGTCGTTTCACTGCCAAAAATAACGGTACCGAAAATAATGATAATGTAACATTTTAGATATCTGCGTGTTTCTTAAATTACTAAAAGATTTTTTTTTGAAAAAAGTCAATATTTTGCGAAATTATAAGTGTTTAACGATAAAAGAATCACCTTGTATTTTCTTATAAATTGGATTTCGTCAGGTTTCGCGATAATACATAATCTATTTTATTTATAACGGATAATTGTAACAGTTATACATATATGTATATATGGTTTAGAATGTTATAATGTATAGATAGCATTGATCAGTTACGTACTTTTGTTATGGTAAACAGCGATATCAATACACTAGAAATATAAATGGCATTAAAAAAATGTTGTGAATCAGGTTAAAAAAAAAAAAAAAATCTTTTTACGGTTTTCCCAGTTATTATGAAAACTACTTAGAAAATCATAAAACAACTTTCTTCGTAAGCATCTAGATGTAAAATGCAATAAAAAGAGTTTTTATCGTTTTTCAATAGTTTGCATAAATTAAAAACAATGAAATCGCTAACGTTGCGGCACGCCGTAAATATTTGCCGTTATCCCTATAATTTTCATTCCGGTTTTTCACAGTTATTTTGAAAACCCTCTGGCAAATCAAAAAATTACCTGCCCAATGTACCAATTAGATAAAATTTTCTTTCAGAAAAGTTGTTTATTGACAGAAAAAAAAAGTATGTATTATAGTAAAACCAAAATGTTCTAAATATATAAATCGGTTAAAATTGTTCAAAAACGAGGAATTCTTCGTTCACATTTTGGTTTGTCTTGAAAATTATAAAAATTATTAATACTAATAAAATATAAATTCAATGAATCAATCGCCAACGACCATACCACGTTGAATACACCAGTTCTCGTCCGATCACTGAAGTTAAGCAACGTCGGGCGTAGTTAGTACTTGGATGGGTGACCGCTTGGGAACACTACGTGCCGTTGGCAATTTTTTTTTTTTTTCCATTGAATGCTTTTTGACGATCAAATACATCACTTAGAAAATTAATTAATTTGTACTACTTTTATCATTCGAGTTTAATGATAATGTTGTTTTTATTTATAACTGGTTGATAAAATGTGAGTTACATAAATTATAGACTTGGACTATGGACCGTATTAGGGATCGATCTAGGAAAATATCTTAACTAAATTACTATTAAAGAAAAATTAATTTTTCATATTATGCGTTAAAAATATATAATAATTACAATTTATTTAATTTAATATAGATATTATTTTTAAAATATCTACATATGCTAAGAAGAGGGCTTCAGTCCCCCCTTGTCGACCCCTGGACCATATAATAATTTAATTTATATTAAAAATATTTCGTTTGAAATATTTTGTTGGTACAGTCTTCAAGAAAATAAATATATAGGTAATCTATAAAAACAAATTAATAAACGACTCAAGTTATAATAAATCATATCAAATAGTTTCGTACTATAGGTAAATTCTTTTGAAATAATTTCATCGTAAATCACTAAAATGGAGGTTAATGCAATAAATAATATTACAATTTCAAGAAGTTTGAAATTAAACATGCACACATAAACGATTTAAGAATAATATGTCTAGTTGTTATGGAGATCGAATAACAAACACGAATAAAATCAGTATCGGTGTCGGAAATAATGAAAGAAAAAAAACATTTTGAAAAAGCTTCGTGCTTTTTAATCATAATATTATACAGGAAAAAGTTTTCAATAAATCTATAACAGTTGTATAATTTTGTATAGTCGTTAAAAATGAATAACTTCAGCATAGGTAATCACTAATAAAACAAAAAGAAATACTTCAAAGTTTCTATTTCGACTTATTAAAAAATTGTCCATAATTTCGTATTCAATGTAATGTGACGTGATAGACATAGTTTTGTGGTTTTTTCGATTTTACTAAATACTTTAAACTTTACTAAATTACTTTGTACGAACGTATACATATTATTACATTATAAACCACTTTTGTGTCTGCCAAATTTGGAGAAAATATAAGCACAACACTTTAAAATCAATGCAAAAGCCAAAAATAACATAAAATAAACTTTGTTAAAACATCAAAGAACGTTCTCCAAGACGTTATTCACCGTCGCCGCCAGTACTCTTCGACTCTTTCATTCTTTGCCCATAAAAAATGCCGCTCTTAAAAACTATTTCTTAATGCTAATTTATCGTTATTATACTGTTGTACAATGTGTCGCCTACACTTTACATCATTCAACACTACCCATATGTATATCTGCTATAAGTGTACCAATGATAAACATTTTATTTCTGCAAGATTTATTTCTGTTCAGTTTTAACTTCGGTGTAACCGCCATATACGTAGGTATATCTATTATACTTGTAATAAATTATTTAAGCACTGTAAGTAAAAATGAGTGAACGTAATGAAAAAAGAAAAAAAAGATACGGCCATACTGCGCACGATGGGTGAGCCACTGTTATAGGGGAGAAGTTAGAAAGGTAGAGAAGAAATTTAATGTGTATTTATACACAACGATTAATCATTGCTAATGATAAACGATTCTGAGCGAAGTTCTGTTAATAGTGTTGCTTTGTCAACAATATATTTCTTATATCATAATATAACAAATAAAATATTTACATAATTTGTATTATACATTTTTTTTGATAATATTTGTTTAGTGTTGTATCTGTTTTTCCGTTTTTTATCACCTTTTTCACATTTATTGGAAAAACTCCTGGGGAAATCAAAAAACGGCGTTATTAAATTACCAGTCCCAGTCAGATTACCTTTCGGAAAAAGTGCTGTAATTTAAAATTGGAGCAAAATTGCTGGTAGAAAGTTGTCCATAAAAAAAAAAAAATAATAAATAAACACCATGGTAAAATCAATAAATTCTTCGCTCCACTGAGAATGTAAAATGATTACCGACCAGTCTATAAAATATATATTGTTACAACAATATAAAATAATATAATATATTTATATGTATAGTAATAGTGTAATTTTAAACGGAATTTGAGATGCTAAAGTTCAAGCTAAAGAAAATAATCAAAACCGTGATAACCATTGAACAAGTATCTATAGGTACTCATAGGTGTATTATAGGTATTTCGACGTCACCATGGAAACTCGAGTAATTCGAGTGATCGGTAAAACACCTTTGGATCGGGTGTGAGTATAATATAAAGGCTGCACCCACGGACGGGTGTTCATCATAATACAATAATACGAGTATTACCTGTACGATACACCTAGCAGTTTTGTCATTAATAACCGTTCGTTTAATCCTGTTAAAATTGTTATTATTTTTAAAAGTGTGTTCAATTATATTTGAAAAAAAGTTTTACTATTGTGTTTGCGCTCACATTCACGAACGTATTACACACACGTCGTATCATATTATAGTCTATAATATTTTCACATTGGAATTCAAAAGAACTTACATACATACACCTATGTACAAAACATAAAGGTGTAATATAACAATAAATATACATATATATGTGTCTCGGTGATGTCGTCGTGGTCGTCAATGACGGTTAATAAACAAAAACGTCGACCGAAAATCAAACGGTTAAACTCCGACGCTCAGGTCAGTTTACATATTACCGTGTAGCAGTAAAACCGCATTGATTTCGATAAAGGCTTCATTTTTTTTTTTTCTTTCTTTCCGTTTTAGTTTTATAATGTGCAATTTACTTATAACTCGTATTATAATAATAATATAATACCTCTAGTACGATGGTAAACGTTTAACGTCTGTACAATGATTTTGTTCGCAAAGTTTAGTCGGGCATACATATAAAATACCTAATATAATATACATACGATATACGTATAATACCTATTATAACGATAAACAAATTATACACTGTCGTCGTAAAACACCGTGTTCATGTATATACACACGGAAATTCGCGTGTCGGTTCGGTAAATAAATTATAGGAAAATTTTTTTTTTAAATATTTTGTTTACAATAAATAATACGATAACTATAAACGATACCAGTCTATATAATGTGCATAATATGTACATATAAATAGATGTATATATACATGTATTGTATACGAAAACTTGGCGAACCCCTAACGGTATAGCGTATTTAGAAAAACCGTCGAAACGAAATGGGTTTAGTCGGCCGATAGACGATCAACCGCACAATATGATCATTTCTCACGCCAAAAAATGACATTATAACAGTATATTATTACGAGTATTGTTAGATTTTCGCATCCCCATAGGATATTTTTACCGTAATATATTTAAAATGTTTTTGTCAAATCATACGGACGATGCGGAACTTAAAGATCAGGACATTGATTTCACGTCGCTGCCGTTAAGCGAGGCTTTACAAGTAAGTACGTATAGGTACTGAAATGTATAGTATTTACCTGAAGTGTGACGATGAGCCGTGTTTCTGTTAACCCTTTCAAACCTCACACAGTTTAGTAAAAATATAATTATTTCTAATTTTATATATTATTATTCAATTGTGATTGGTTGTTTAAATTACCAACATTTTAAACCATGGACTTTTTTTTTAAATATAAAATTGAATACCTACTAAAATATTTATCACAAATATTCGGTTGACGAGCAAACAAGTGTAAACTGTTAATTTTCACGGATTTATGGAAATCATCGTCCGATGGCTTATATGTTTATAATACATATGCTAGTGCTATAAATCAAAGCCGGCAACTCTAAGTTCTATTGGTAAAAATAATGTCAGAAACGATATGTACTAGTACGCGATGACCAACTGTAACAGGAACTATTTATTTTTAAGATATCTATACATCTATTATGAGCCGAATCTATTTTATATCCACTCATGAGAACACTGAAAACCAACTGCGATTGTTTTATTCACTGTAGCCGCAGTGACAGTACAATGGGTCTTTATCACATCTATGTGATTTTCGTTTTTTTTTTTTTTTTTAGAGACGTAGAGAAGAATGCGAACGAAAAGCGAGGAGAGGGGAAATGGACCCCAGGCTGGAGTTTACATTTCAATTACTCATCGACTACACGGGACTTCCGAGAAATGATGTTATGGACTACGTGTTCGAATCAAATATGGTAAGGTATAGAAAAAATAATTTTTCAAAAAGATATATTGATCAGGCAACGAAATAAATAAAGAACTTCAAGAATTTGTCCAATTTTTTTATTTAAAGCTAATATATGCATGGTTCTGATAATAAATATTATGAAAATACATGATTTTATTTATCTTGAAATTACTATTTAATGCGATGCGTGTACAGTCTACGAAAAACTAATAATTAATGTGCTGCGTGTAATAAAAACGTGATTATTCTCAGTTGGACCAAATAAATGAGCTATTTTTGCCACACGGCAGATCGAAACTGATGTGGTTCTACCAGGACGTCGAAGTCGACGACTCGGATTCGTTTGAAGTGGTATGATAACTTATACAGACAAAAATGTGGTTTTCACGTCATCGTGTCTAATGGATAATATTGTTGGTTTTAAATTTATTCGCGTGACATGAAACGATTTCGTTGTCATGGTGAATTTTAGGTTTTGGTGAAGACATCCAACAGCAGAAACCTCCCACCAATAAGGCCCAGCATGTTATCCAAGCCGAAGAAAAAAAAACTGTTTCTCACGGATGGTTGGGAAGTCGGACTGACGGGCATTTGTATTTACATCATCCGATTAAACACCACTAAGCAGTTACCCGAAGAAGGGTTTCACAAGGATTTAATCTGTGGCACATTAGACGCGGAGAAAAAAGGCTTGGTCAAGAGCATAGCTAGAATCATAGAATATGTATTTATACCAGTGTTGGCCATACCGCAGACCGGTGACGAACCGTCCGAAGATCAACCGGACTGTCCGTTGATCAAAAGTCAGCTGCTCCCAGAACTGAGATCGTTTTGCAGTTGTCTAAAAGGTAAGTCCCTACACAATAACATTTTGATACAACCTAATGTGGTCTAAGTTTTTGAACTAACCGATTAAGTAAAAAACTTTAATCACTCATATATTTAGTGAATATGAAAATGTGTTTATTATTTTGTTATTTAAGTGTGCGAAGAAGTATGTGACCAACCAAATATTTTTGCTGATGACATGAGTTTGATATCAAAAGTTCCTTCGTATAGAGAAGCTAAACATCTTGCCACTAATAGGGATGAAATATTAGTTTTAGAAAAACGAGTTACAAATTGGATAAGGAGAATACGAGAAGTATATAAAATATCAATTTGTTTATAATTTGATTATTATAAATTAGCTTTTGATTTTAGATATTGTTAGAGGATGAAAAATTACAATATGAAAGTGATACTAGTGGACCCCAAGACGAGTTGGAGTTTTGGAAAAAACGCGGAGCACAATTTTCGCAAATCGCTGCCAATCTAAGTTGGGAAGAAGTATATAATTTATTTCTTTAATAATACTTTGTTCTATGATTTATTGTTTTATTTAATACTTGTATACTTGATATAATAGTTCTATGTATTTTTTTGCTTATATAATATAATAGGTAATCATGACCATTTGTTGTTTACAACTTTCACGTTCTCGCATGGTCGATCGATGGAGGCGCACAGACAATCATTTGACACTATGTTATAATGAGGCAAAAGATAACTCTAAATACATTCAAGCGTTGGAAAAATGCTGTCATTCACTATATCTCGATAATCCGGTAAAAATGAGAAACTCTTTAGTGCGTATGCTTCAAACTGTACGCCTTATCCATGATGTGTCTATGTTTTACAATACAACCGAGAAAATATCATCTCTTATGGTCAAAGTAATAATCTTTAAATTCGTATGAAAAATGATAATGTAAAATAAAAATTAATTATTTTCAGATTACAAACCAAATGATTGAGAGCTGTAAACTTCATATTACGAATCGAAGTAAAGACACAATATGGTCACAAGATAGAGGCGTTCTTACTATTAAATTAAATGAGTGTATTATGTTAAACAAATTATACCATAATACTTACGAAAGAGTGAAAAATCATCACGGCGCAGGAAGACAATTTAGTTTTTCTGAAAATTATGTATTTGGTAAATTCGATGGATTTTGTGATCGACTTATGAAAATTTTGACAGTTTTTGATACGGTTGACGATTATAATGGACTATTTGAACGAAGAATGGAAAGTTTGCTTTTTGGAGAAGGTATAAATGATAGACATTTTATAATTATACAAACGTAATAATTTATACTTATGTATTGAAAAACATTTTTTTCAGCCTTAGATAATGCTGTACGGACATTCGAAGAAGCGAAATTGGTAGTCATGAACAAAAACTACGATTATTTAAATCAGAAAAATAGAGAGTTTGATCACGATTATACGACTTTCTTTGTTATGGTTCAAACATTAAAAGATGATTTAGCACACACAATAGAAACTAATTTTAGTTCTGTCTGGGAGACAGGCCAAGGAATAAAATTTCTTGATAAGTTTGAAAAAGTATGAAAATATGTTTCAGTATAGTATCAGATTATGTAACTACTCAATTTTTGGTTTAAAACAATAGATCGCCACTAAGATACCAGTGACACGTATGGACATAAAATATAGTAGAGTATTGAAATACTGCGAAAGTCAAATAGATAGAACATTAAAATTATTTAAAAAACGTAAAGGCAATCCTCCGGTTCCTAAGAACTTTCCCCCACTTTCCGGTATTTATTACATTATTATAACTTTAATTCTAAATTGTATTTCTCATTAAATAAAATTGCGTGTTAGGTCGTATTGTATGGGTTAGATCATTACAACAGCGATTAAGTTATTTAATGGATGAAGCTACCGACCATCCGGTTTTAAAAGTAATGCCAGAAATGACGGATGTTCAAAAAAAATTTGCCTCTATGTCAGTTGCTTTGCAAAACTATGAAGAAGAAATTAAAAATATCTGGATGAATCACAATGTAAATATATTTTATTTTATTAATTAATTTTTAAATTTGTAACATCTTACATTTTTTTGTATAGGTTAAAGTGATAGAACACTGTTTGGTACAACCACTGTTAAAATTTAAGAATACTACTAATATGGTTAATGTGAATTTCGATTCTAGATTGAGCTTGCTTATACTGGAATCTAGCTGTATGCTAAAAATGGGACTACAAGTTCCAATTATCACAAAAGCTTTATTTTTTAGAAAAGATCATTTCACATTAATGTGTGATACACTACAAGTAACAAAATTATTTTTTTTTTTAAAGTTATTGTATTTTATATATATATATATATATTAAATACATAGTGTATGTTAAATAAAATGAGAAAAGTGGCCAATAGTATCAATCTAGATGTCAGACCGTTATTTGTGACTCAGCTCGTATGGCTGCTAGATCTTTTAACACCTGGATTGCAGAAAATCGATTGGACTGATCCCGAATGGAAAAGTTTTGTTGAAAAAACAAACTTTGCAATAGACAAATTTCAAGTTTTAGTCACTAGGTAAGGTTAATCGTAACGTGTAATTTATAAATTATAATATAATATTTTCTTCCCATATTTTTAGAATTCACGACGTTTACAATAACAGAATACTTCAGGTCCTATCTTCAATGCAGTTAATTACGTTTCATACATTTCCAGAAGATGGTTCAACATGGACACCCGATGAGTTTTTAGATAAAACAGATGAAACATGTCGTCAAGCAGCTATGGTTTGTGATTTACATAAAATTTTAACAATACTTAAATAAAGAAATTCAAATAATTGTGTAGGAATTAAATCGAAAAAGCATTCTAATAGAAGAAGCCGTTGAAGAAATATTGAATCTTGTTCAAACAGCTAATGAAAGTGTTGCGATTCCAAAATTAGAAACTGAACCCACTTCTAGAGGTACAACAGATAAACTATTCATAGTATTCAAAAATATATATATATATATGTATAGACTGATATTATTATAGACAGAACAGATGCCACAGATGTGGCCAAACAAGAAGGGAATACAGGGGAAGCTCAACCGGATTGGAGTACTGTGTGTGAATTTTTCAATAATCCATTTGTTTTAGCAGCATATGAGTTACCTCCAACGGTTTACACTCTCGCTAATAGTGCCGTTAAAGAAATGAGACGGTATTATAGTCGAAAAGTTATAGATGTGCTGATTAAAATAACAAGACAGTCAATTGATGCTTTAAGAAAAAAGTTTTCTCAAGAACATGGTAAGGCCAACAAATAGGCATTTGAAGTGGTTTCGTACATTAATTTATTATAATCTAAACATATTTATCAGGAGAAAATCCAATTTTTGAAGTGCATGCAATACTTATGATTCCGTCGATAGTTATCAGACCAGATATAAATGAATTACAGGAATTAATGATCCAAGCTGGGAGATTAATGATAGGGGTAGCCAAAGGAGTTGGGCAATGGTCTGGTAATAAAAAAACAAAGGTAAGATTGTAGGGTAAATAATAAAACACGAACACTACAACCGAAGACACGGCATTCATCTGGGATAAATTTATTTGGTATTGTCTTGTGTTGTCCACGTGTTTGTCTTCGTGTGTGCGTCTCGTTTGTTTTTCTACCAGCAGGTGTTAGCAGAAAAACATTGGAAACAGCTAAAAAGAGATTGCAGTGAGCGTAGAGAACATTTTTTTTCTAAAGTTGTTATTTCTGATATGGAACAGAGTGTACCAGTCACTGTACCAACTATAGAAGATGCAAGAGCGAAGCGTCAAAGATTATACAAGTTGGCATCTGAGAAAAAACCTCCATTTCCAACAATTCATAGGAATTTCTATTCACATATCATTGAAAATAAAGAAATCATCAAGGCCCTATCGTTACTTTCTACATGCGTACAACCATTAAAACCAGTACAATTTATAACTATACAGTTTGTGTTAAATCAATAACTTTTTATATGTAACAAATAGATGCTGATGGAATTTTTGGTTCTATGGGTGCCTTACAAAATTTTATGGAATAATAACCTATCAGAAAAACGAGATTTATCAACAGTTTCACTGTTAGATTCAGAAGCATATCTTCAAAAACACCATGAACTCTTAGAAAGTTTAAAAGTAAAACCAGATACGTATCAATTTGGATCGTGTGTCTTAGTATCTGTTGGTAAGTAATCACCCAAATGAGTGGAATAAATTATAACAAATTTAAATTTTCAGAGAAATTAAAATATGGTCTAACGATTGAAGTGCAATCATGCAATCGTCGAATTGGACAATTATTACGTAAAAAATATCACCGGGAAATGGATTATGTGTACGCTGTAATGAATGAAATGGAAAGAAAGTTAGAACGACCCATAAGGGATTTAGATGACATAAGAATGGTGATAGAAACCTTAAAAAAAATCAGAGAAAATGAAGTTGATATGGAGCTTAAAATAGAGCCAATTGAAGAAGCATTTAATATATTAACACGTTATGATCTGCCAGTTGAAAGAGAGGATTTAGAATTGGTCGATAATGTGAGATATTGTTGGCAACGAGTATTGACTCGCGCGATGGATATGAATATTTATTTGTTAGAATCCCAACCACAACTACAAAAAGAATTAGCTGAAAACTTAAGACATTTTAAATTGGATTGTATTCAGTATTGTCACGAGTATAGAACATTAGGCCCAATGATGCCGGGACTTTCACCAAGGGAAGCTTCAGATCGACTTATTATGTTTCAAGTAAACAATTTTTTAGTATATGAAATAAAAATATAATTCATATTTAATAAAACTATTACCGTTACAGAATCGTTTTGATGGCATGTGGAGGCGTTTACAATCTTATCAAAGCGGAGAGGAATTATTTGGTTTAGAAACTACAGAATATCCGGAACTGGTTCAAATACGTAAAGAATTGAATCTTCTTCAAAAGCTTTATAAACTTTACAATGATGTTATCGACCGGGTTAGCAGTTACTACGATATCCCTTGGGGAGACGTGAATATAGAACAGATAAATAACGAATTAATGGAATTTCAAAACAGATGTCGAAAATTACCCAAAGGATTAAAAGAATGGCCTGCATTCCATGCATTAAAACGAACTATAGACGATTTTAATGATATGTGTCCGCTGTTAGAATTAATGGCAAATAAAGCTATGAAACAGAGACATTGGCAAAGAATTATGCAAATTACCGGTTATAGTTTTGAGTTAGAAAGCGAAGGATTTTGTTTGAAGAATATTTTAGAAGCTCCTCTACTAAAACATAAAGAAGATATCGAAGATATATGTATTTCAGCTATGAAAGAGAAAGATATTGAAGCAAAACTAAGACAAGTCACTAATGAATGGTCAGTGCAAGAATTAACCTTTTTAACATTCAATAATCGTGGAGAACTATTACTTCGTGGTGACACAACTGCAGAGACTATTGGTCAACTAGAAGATAGTTTAATGATTTTAGGTTCATTGATGTCTAATAGGTTAAAATTGTTGAATTTCATGTTTGTATTAATTAGTAATATTATTTATTATAAATTATTATTATTATATTAGGTATAACGCACCATTTCGAAAACAAATACAGCAGTGGGTATACGATTTATCTAATACTAATGAAATTTTGGAGCGTTGGTTATTGGTTCAAAATATGTGGGTGTATTTAGAAGCGGTGTTTGTTGGTGGTGATATTGCCAAACAATTACCCAAAGAAGCCAAAAGGTAAGATTTATTAATCAACTAAACTGTTTTTTTTTTTTTGATTGTACTAATCAAAGAAGTATTGTTAAATAGATTTAGTAAAATAGACAAGTCGTGGCAAAAAATAATGCAACGAGCACATGAAACACCAAGCGTAGTTATTTGTTGTGTGGGAGATGACATGTTAAAACAACTTTTACCTCATTTACAAGAACAACTTGAGTTATGTCAAAAATCTTTAAGCGGGTAAACAAATTGATGTTTGATAACTTTATACGAATATTGTAAAATACTTTATTATTTTACAGTTATCTAGAAAGAAAACGAACTATGTTTCCAAGATTTTTTTTTGTTTCTGATCCAGCTCTATTAGAAATTTTAGGACAAGCTTCTGATTCACATACAATTCAAAATCATTTACTTTCAATATTCGATAACACTAAAGCAGTAAAATTCCATGAAATCGAATATAATAAAATGACTGCCATTATTTCCATGGAAGGTGAAGTTATACCTCTTGAAAGAGCTGTTAGAGCTGAAGGTAGTGTTGAAACTTGGTTAACGAGTTTGTTACAGACATCACAGCAAACTATTCATTCGATTATTCGATCAGCAAACCATCAAATAAATGACAATAATTTTACATTATTACCATTTCTAGAAAAAATGCCAGCTCAGGTATTGTAACTGTCATAAATAAATTATCCAATATCTAAAAATAAATTATAGTTATAACGAATAAGTATTTATCTAACTAAACTATAGATTGGAATATTGGGAATTCAAATGATTTGGACAAGAGACTCGGAAGTAGCATTAATACATGCTAGATCAGACAGAAAACAAATGCACGATACTAATAACCGATTTTTAGAATTATTAAATACATTAATTGATCAAACAACAAGAGATTTAACGCGTATTGAAAGAATAAAGTTCGAAACATTGATTACAATACATGTTCACCAAAGGGATATTTTTGATATTTTGGTAATATTATTTGTGTGAATTTTGTAAAAACAATGTAACTGCTTTCTGGACCACCTAATCTACTTTTATATTTAATTTTGTCCACAAATATTAAAAAAAAAATAATAATTAGAAAATATTGAGCCGATCATATTATCATATTGTTTCACTATCTAACTCACTTTGATTTAAGGTACTAATAATTATTATTATTTGTATAAATATATATATTAACATATATGTACACAATAAATATTTCATTAATTTAAGTCTATAGAGGGTATATAATAATATTCACAATAATCTGTTATTTTAATATAAAATTTAGTGCCGTCTTAATGTGCGTTCTGTTAATGATTTTGAATGGTTAAAACAATGTCGATTTTACTTTAAAGAAGACTTGGATAAAACTTGGATTTCTATAACTGACGTCAATTTTAATTACCAAAACGAATACTTAGGGTGTACAGAACGTCTTGTTATTACACCTCTTACTGATAGGTTTGACCAGTATAATTGTATGTATCTACCTACTATTATAATAATTTAACGAATTATTTGTATTAGGTGCTATATAACATTAGCCCAAGCATTAGCAATGAGTATGGGTAGTTCGCCTTGTGGACCTGCTGGTACTGGAAAAACTGAAACTGTTAAGGATATGGCGAAAACTTTAGCAAAATACGTGGTGGTTTTCAATTGTTCCGATCAAATGGATTATCGAGGCTTGGGAAGGATTTATAAAGGTCTTGCTCAATCAGGAACATGGGGCTGTTTTGACGAATTCAATCGTATCGAACTTCCAGTGTTATCAGTTGCAGCCCAACAAATAGCAGTAGTGTTATCAGCAAAAAAAGAAAAGAAAAAACAGTTTACCTTTACGGACGGAGATTTGATAGATCTTTGTCCTGAATTTGGCATATTTATTACAATGGTAAACTCAATAAATATTAAACACTAATTAATAATTTTTAATTAAATCTTCATATATTTTAGAATCCAGGTTATGCTGGCCGTAAAGAACTTCCAGAAAATTTAAAAATCCAATTCCGTACGGTGGCTATGATGGTTCCAGACAGACAGATAATTATCAGAGTTAAATTAGCCAGTTGTGGATTTTTAGAAAATATTACTCTGGCTCGAAAATTTTATACATTATATAAACTCTGCGAAGAACAATTAACAAAGCAAGTTCATTACGATTTTGGATTGCGAAACATTCTGTCGGTATTGAGAACTTTAGGTGCCGCAAAACGGGTTAATAGTAAAGATACAGAAAGCACAATTGTTATGCGGGTATTGCGTGATATGAACTTATCAAAATTAATAGGTTAGTATTAATTGTTTTTGATTATATAATTGCCATTTAAAAATATTGCTTTGTATTAATACGTATAGACGAGGACGAACCTCTTTTTCTATCATTGGTCACCGATTTATTTCCAAATCAAATATTAGAAAAAACAGCATACCCTGAATTGGAAGAAGCGATTGAAAACCAAGTAGAAGCAGAAGGTTTAATATACCACGCGCCTTGGGTTTTAAAACTGATACAAGTAAATCACATATAAATATATATAAACTCAAATCGTAAAAATGTATGATTAATGTAAATCACTTTAGCTTTATGAAACACAACGGGTGAGGCATGGAATAATGACCCTTGGACCCACCGGATCAGGGAAAACTTGTTGTATACAAATTTTGATGAAAGCATTAACTATTTGTGGTGAAAGTCATAGGTATATAATAAATATATAAATAATCCAATATACTTTACAAATTAATTTTTGGGGTTGGATATTTTAGAGAAATGAGAATGAATCCTAAAGCAATTACTGCTGCTCAAATGTTTGGACGGCTTGATGTAGCTACTAACGACTGGACAGATGGTATTTTTTCTGCATTGTGGAGAAAGACACTTAAATTGAAAAAAGGAGAACACGTATGGTTGGTATTAGATGGACCAGTGGATAGTATATGGATAGAAAATTTGAATTCAGTTTTGGACGACAATAAAACGTTGACGTTAGCTAATGGAGACAGACTTCCTATGGCACCTAGTTGTAAAATTATATTTGAGCCCCATAATATCGATAATGCTTCTCCGGCTACCGTGTCACGTAACGGTATGGTTTATATGAGTTCATCTGGGTTAGATTGGAATCCTGTTTTAGCAGCATGGCTGAAGAAACGAAATAAACGAGAGTCAAAATTATTTCGACGACTATTTGAGAATACATTTTCAACAATGTATACTTGGGCATCACAGAATTTGATAATGTCTATGAAAGTATTGCAATGCAATACAATTCAACAAGTGATTTTAAGCTTTTGGTAGGCTTTTTATGATTGACCTAATATAAGAATTTGATATTTATTTAGATGTTAGTGTTATTACAAGGGTTGATACCTAAAAAACCAGACGAAGAAGAAGGGAAAGAAGAAGATGAAGAAGTTGATAACGCCGATAGTAATTCTTCGGAAGAAGGAGATGATAATGAAAGTATGGAAAATAATTATCTTAAACCGGATAATTTGCTGTAAGTCCAAGGTTAGGTTAGATTAGATTATGTTTTATTATATTTATTTTTTTTTAGACCAAGTAAAATACATTTACAACGTTTATTTACTTTTTCACTGGTGTGGGGATTAGGATCATTGTTGGAAACATCTGATAGACATAAGTTTAATAACTATCTAAGTGATAATTTTAATTTGGTTCTTGATCTTCCTAAATTAGAAGTTCAACCAGACACTACAATATTTGATTTTTTTGTTACTGAAGAAGGTATGAAACTAAACGATATAAATATATGTAATTCTAATTAAATTATGGATATCTACTTAGGTGAATGGGAACATTGGAACACTGCTATGTCCTCTACTACTGCATCAGAGTCATCTAGTTCTGATTATAGCCAAGTATTGGTTCCCATTTTGGAAAGTGTTCGTATTACATACTTGATAAATATCATAGCTACACAAGAATATCCGGTTTTATTGATTGGAGAACAAGGATCAGGAAAAACTGTAATGATGAAATCTTATATGAGATCTAATAAACCAGAGCTTTATTTAAATAGGTCATTTAATTTTTCATCTGCTACCAGCCCTTATCAATTTCAAGTAAATATATACTATATAACAAATATTATAACTTCAATAACAATAATATTTTTGTATTTTTCAGAAAACAATTGAAAGTTATGTAGAAAAAAGATTAGGCAACACATTTGGCCCACCCGGAGGTCTTAAAATGACTGTTTTTATTGATGACATTAATTTACCAGAAGTTAATGAATGGGGTGATCAAATTACAAATGAGATTGTTCGACAAACCATGGACATGAAAGGATTTTATAGTTTAGAAAAACCTGGTGAATTCTATACATTGAATGACATACTTTTTGTGGGTGCTATGGTACATCCAGGTAGTTGACAAAAAATTTAAAAATTATTTTTAATTGTTAAAATTGATTACATTATTTAAGAATTTAACATTCACTGATTTCAGGTGGAGGACGAAATGATATTCCATCGAGATTGAAACGACAATTTTGTATTTTCAACTGTACTATGCCATCAGATACTTCAATTGATAAAATCTTTAGAGTAGTTGGTGAAACTCATTATAATGCAAAACGGGGATTTTCAATAGAAATACGAAACTTAGTAAAGAAACTAACACCGATAACTAGAGAGCTCTGGCATAGAACAAGGGTAATAATTAATTTAAGTTTATTTTTAACACATATAGTATAAGATGAAAAGAGAAATCGTAACAAGATGTTCTTAAATTTAGTGATTCAATTAAAAAAGTAATAATGATATTATTATATATTATATATTATTTTTTAAATTATAGATGACTTTATTACCTACACCGGCCAAATTTCATTATGTCTTTAGCTTAAGGGATTTGTCTCGAATTTGGCAAGGAATGGTTGGGACATTGAGTACTGTTATTGATTCATCAAAAATATTAATAATGTTATGGAGACATGAGACTACGCGTGTTTTTTCGGATAGGTAAATACTAAGTGTGATTATAGATAATATTCAACTGACAGTAATTTTAAAACTGAGAATAACATATTTTACATATCATATATTTTCTTGTCAAATTAATATTTTAATGATTATGATAATATGATACATTATTTACAGATTTACTACATTGAATGATAAAAAGTGGTTTAATCAAGAACTTATAAAAGTCGTAGAAACAAGATTGGGTACTCAATATATAAGCATGTTGGATGTTGATCCTCCATTTGTTGATTTTATGAGGTATATAATTTGAATAAATGATTGTATTTTATATTTATTTTAAGAAAAAATGTTAAGAGATGCGCCAGAGCCTACTGGAGAAGAAGGTGAAGAAGCTGACATGGAATTACCAAAGGTGTACGAACCAGTCATGGAAGAATCTCAACTCAGAGAGAGATTAGAAATGTTTTTATCTCAATTTAATGAAATGGTTCGAGGTGTTGGAATGGATTTAGTATTTTTTCCAGATGCTATGCTTCATTTGGTTAAGGTATATTTAACATGTAAATACAATATTTTAAATAGAATACAAATTATTTTTTCTGTAGATATCGAGAATTATACGACATCCTCGTGGAAATGTAATGTTAGTAGGTGTTGGAGGTTCTGGAAAACAATCGCTAACAAGATTAGCTTCTTTTATAGCTGGTTATAAAACCTTTCAGATAGCGTTGACTAGGTTTGATAAAATAAAATGTTACTTTTTATGGTATATATTAAACAAATATTAACTTTTGTACAGATCATACAATATAACAAACTTTTTAGAAGATCTTAAATTATTATATAGAACATGTGGCGTTCAAGCAAAAGGTACAACTTTCATTTTTACCGATTTAGACATTAAAGAAGAAGGTTTCTTAGAGTACTTGAACAATATTCTATCGTCCGGTAAAATATACTATAAAATAAAATAATTTAAACTCCTTTTTTAAAATTAAAATTTTTTTATTTTGTTTAGGAGGGATCACCAATTTATTTACAAAAGATGAACAATCTGAAATAATATCAGAATTAACTCCTATTATGAAACGAGAAAACTCAAAAAGAACTTTAAATCATGAAATTATAATGGATTACTTTTTAACAAGAACCTGTCAAAATCTTCACGTTGTGTTTTGTTTTTCACCTGTAAAATATTTTTTTTAAATATCACAAGATGTAAATTTAATAATAATTATACAATTATAATTTATAGGTAGGAGAAAAATTTCGAAATCGAGCCCTAAGGTTTCCTGCATTAGTATCTGGATGTACTATAGACTGGTTTCAACCTTGGCCTAAAGATGCTCTTGTTCAAGTAGCTGAACATTTTTTGGTAGATTTTGATATTGAGTGTACAGTCGAAGTTAAACGAGAACTAGTTGGAGCAATGGGTACCATTCAAGACATAGTTGATCATACATCAAGTGATTATTATCAAAGGTTTCGCCGAGCTACTCATGTAACACCAAAATCATACTTAAATTTCATTGGTGGATATAAAAGTATATATCATCAAAAACAAAAAGAATTAGGGGAAGGAGCTCACCGTATGGATACCGGTTTAGCAAAACTAGAAGAGGCATCTATTTCCGTGGAATTACTAAAAAAAGATTTGGACGTAATGGAACAAGATTTAGCATACGCTTCTCAAAAAGCAGAAACCGTAAGAAAATAAATGTTATATTGACAAAAATAAATATTGAAATATAAATATGCTTTTAAAATTATTTTAAAGGTATTAGTTGAAGTAACTGATCGTGCAAGACAGGCAGAAATAGTGAAAAATCAAGTAATGAAAGTTAAAGATAAAGCCGAAGCCTTAGTTGAGTCTATAGCAAAAGAGAAAGCAATTGCTGAAGAAAAATTAGAAGCAGCTAGACCAGCACTCGAAGAAGCTGAAGCAGCATTAAACACTATAAAGCCCGCACATATAGCTACTGTACGAAAACTTGGACGACCCCCACATCTCATTATGCGTATAATGGATTGTGTTTTAATATTATTCAAACGAAAACTGCATCCAGTTATTAGTGATACAACAGTGAGATGTCCAAAACCATCTTGGCCAGAATCACTAAAGGTGAAAAGAAATTAAGAATTAAAAATTTAATCGTATAGTTTACAGGGAAAAAAATAAATACTTAAACAATTACTTGAAAAAACTTTAATATTTTTTTCATGCTAGGATAATCATTAAACCTAACCTAACCTTAAAAGATACAATAACAATTAATTTAAAAACATTAGAAACCGTGTTATTAATATTTTTATAGATGATGGCGAGTACAACATTTTTGCTTCAACTCCAAAATTATCCAAAAGATACCATTACCAATGAAATGGTAGAATTGTTACAGCTTTATTTTAACATGGAAGACTATAACATGGACACAGCAAAGCGAGTTTGTGGTGACGTTGCTGGTTTATTATCGTGGACTAAAGCTATGGCATTTTTTCATAGCATAAATAAAGAAGTTCTGCCACTTAAGGTCTGCATACAAATAACTGTTTCAAATAGATAAGAATTTCAAGTTTTTTTTTCTAGGCTAATTTAACATTACAAGAAGCTAGACTGAGTATTGCAATGGACGATTTATCACAAGCTGAACTTCAACTTCACGAAAGAGAAGTGGCGTTAAATGAGGTAAAAAGCCAATATGATGCTGCTGTTCAAGAAAAACAAAGGCTAACAGACGCAGCAAATGTGTGTCTAAGAAAAATGACTTCGGCAACTGCTTTAATTAATGGTTTAGGTGGTGAAAAAATAAGATGGACCCAACAGAGTAAAGAATTCAAGAAACAACTGGGACGGTACTATATTTCATAAAATGTCTAATGTTTCTTATAAATTACAATAGAACATTTAGAAAGAATTTTATTAATTATTAAAACTGAAAATGTACATATGTATCTATTTATTTACCATTATAGACTAGTTGGGGATGTTTTACTCGCAACAGGATTTTTATCATATTGTGGACCTTATAATCAAGAATTCAGATCAAATTTGGTTCAAAGCTGGATGAACATTTTAACGACACAGAAAGTACCATTTACAGCTAAACTCAACATAATCAATATGTTAATTGAAAATTCTATGGTTAGAATATTACTGTAAAACATATGTGTAATAGATATTAATTATTGTTGTATATTATATATAATATATATTTATAATGTAACATAATGATCTGCAACTTAAAATAACTTTTGTTACATTCAATATTTTTTAATAAACATGAATATGTTTTTATGACAATTTAAAATAGTGATTTTATAAAAAAACAGATTTTTAGAAAAATGTTGGCATCTGAAACTTGTTTTGGTATGATCTTTTATTTTCTAAAATTGTTGGAAGGTTTGGCAAATGTGAATATTATGGTGGTGTATAATCTATTATATTTAATATTAATCAGTCAGTAGTCAGTAGTATTACTATTAGACAATTTTTGTCATTTTATGTACTCTAACCTCTAATTGAATATTGTAATAGATTATAAACCACAATAATATTCACATTTGCCAAAACTTCGAAGATTATAGAAAATAAAAGAACAAATATAAAAAAAGTTTCAACCACTAACATTTTTCTAAAAATCTATTTTAAAAATGGCTATTTTGCAATTTTTTTTAAAAATTATAGTAAAATTTTAAATTTAAATCTTAAGTACTCTCTAAACAAAAATATTCACACATAAATTATAGCGTAGAGGCGTACTAATTTTTAATTATTAAAAAAAAAATATTGAATAGAAAAAAAGTTATTTCAAGAGGCAAATTTTCGTGTTACACCCCGCTTATGTAATAAAAATAAATTAAATAAATATTGAAGGTATCAGAATGGACTTTACAAGGATTACCTAATGACGAGTTATCAGTTCAAAATGCATTAATAGTAACAAAATCTAGTTCATATCCTCTCCTTATCGATCCACAAAACCAAGGGAAAATGTGGATTAAAAATAAGGAATCTTCGAATGAACTCCAAATAACATCTTTAAATCATAAATATTTTAGAACACATCTAGAAGATTGTTTATCTCTTGGAAGACCATTGTTAATAGAGGATGTTGATGAAGAACTCGATCCTGTGATCGACAATGTATTGGAAAAAAATTTCATTAAATCCGGTTCGATTGAAAAAGTAAAAAACATCATGCAATGTGTGTTATGTTTCATATACAATTAAACGTAAGATATTGTTGTTTAAATAGGTTGTAGTTGGTGATAAAGAGACAGATGTTATGCCTGGATTTGTTTTGTATATAACAACTAAATTGCCTAATCCTGCGTATTCGCCTGAAATTAGTGCTAAAACTTCTATTATAGATTTCACGGTAACAATGCAAGGGCTGGAAGATCAACTTTTAGGTAGAAAAACAATTTTCGAAACATAAAATGTTTATATTGTATACAAATAGGTACAAATGTATATATATATATATATTATATCTTTTTAGGCCGAGTTATACTTATGGAAAAATCCGATTTAGAAGCTGAACGTGTAGCGTTGTTTGAATCAGTTATACAAAATCAACGTTCAATGAAAGAATTTGAGAGTAATCTACTGCATAAGTTATCGTCCATTCAAGTAACATGAAAATAAATTAATCTTAAGTTTAAACTTTACGATTTATATTTATACTTATAAGTTGTTATTATCTAGGGTTCTTTGGTAGACGACGAGGATTTAATAAGCGTACTTCAAGAAACTAAAGCTACCGCAGAAGCTGTAAACGCCAAACTTAAAGTTTCCGAACAAACCGAAATAAAAATTATGAAGGCTAGAGAAGAGTTTCGTGCTGTTGCTGCTCGTGGATCTATTCTATACTTTTTGATAGTAGAAATGAGTAATGTAAACGTAATGTATCAGAATTCGTTGAAACAATTTTTAATGATATTCGATAACTCGATAAACAAATCGATTAAAAGTTCGATAACTGAAGAACGCATTGTACATATTTTGCAATATTTAACCTACGAAGTGTGGATGTTTACGATGAGAAGTTTATACGAACGACACAAACCACTATTCACGTTAATGTTGGCTATGAAAATCGATTGCCACAAAAATCATATTACACATGAGGAATTCATGACTTTTATTAAAGGTAGGTAAATGTTTAAAATAATAAATTATTATTAAAATATAAAATTTACTAATTACCTAATATTGTAATCGGACTGTAATATATTTGAACATTTATTGATAAATTTATGTGAAATATAAAAAAGGTGGAGCCTCATTGGATTTAAATGCAGTTATCCCGAAGCCTTTTCGATGGGTATTAGATATTACATGGTTAAATTTGGTTGAACTTAATAAATTATCCGTATTTTCAAACCTTTTGAATAAGGTAATTTTTTTGTTGGTTGACAATATTTTTTTTTCTCTTAGATTATTTCTTATTATTTTATGCATTCAGATAAAACAAAATGAAAAAGAATGGCGTTTATGGTATGAAAAAGAGAAACCCGAAGAAGAAGACATACCTTGTGGATATAACAAATCTTTGGACGTTTTTCGAAAACTTTTGTTAGTTAGGTCTTGGAGTCCGGACAGGACATTGTCGCAATCTCGAAAATATATAATGGGTATATGAGACAATAATATATAAAAGCGTTTGTTACCTACCATCGTATGTTTTATACAGATTCATTAGGACAGGAATATGGAGAAGCATGCATTTTAGATTTAGAAAAAACTTGGGAAGAATCTGAGCCCCAAACACCACTTGTTTGTATATTATCAATCGGCTCGGATCCGTCTCCACAAATTAACGCTCTAGCAAAATCTAAAGATATTCGTAATAATTATGAAACAATTACTAAATAATATAATGTTAATTATTTAGATGTTTGTGTAATAAAGAATTATTTTACTTTAGAAATACGTTCTGTGTCTATGGGCCAAGGTCAAGAAATACACGCGAGAAATATGATATCCGATTGCATAGCAAATGGTGGTTGGGTACTTTTACAAAACATGCATCTGTCTTTACCGTTTTGCACAGAAGCCATGGACGCTTTGTCGGATTCAGAAGAGATACACAACACTTTTAGAATGTGGATAACGACGGAAGTGCACCCACAATTTCCAATAGCGCTACTTCAAGTAAACAATTTTGTAGATTATTTATTTATTTTGTATGCAGTATTTATAATTTGAATGCATCGGTTTTAGATGGCAATTAAATTTACCAACGAACCTCCTCAAGGGATTCGAGCGAGCATGAAAAGAACGTACCAGAATATAAATCAGGTAACAACAACAAAAAAAAAAAAAAACCTAGTAGTTTATAGTTATGGGCTGTATAACTCTTACCGAATTCCTATAGGATATGCTTGATTATTCAGCTCAACCACAATGGCCCACTTTGCTATACGCCGTAGCATTTCTACACACGATCGTCCAAGAGAGACGAAAATTCGGACCACTAGGTTGGAACATACCGTACGAATTTAATCAAGCTGATTTTGCTGCTAGCGTTCAATTCGTACAGAACCATTTAGATGATATGGATCCCAAAAAAGTAACATAGATATAAAACATCAATGCGATGTTATTGTACTCAATCATGGCGTTCGATTTTTGAAGGGTGTTTCTTGGCCAACTATTTGCTATATGTTAGGTGAAGTACAATACGGTGGCAGAGTTACTGACGATTTTGATAAAAGACTTTTGATCACATTCACTCAGGTAGGTACATTTTTTTAACCATAATATATAGTTACATTAAGATTTATTATAATAATATTATTACTGTTCAATAGGTTAGGTCTTACAATAAAACATTCAGTTTTAAAATGTTTTGATTATTATCGTTTAATAATAATTTATTGTATTATTATACAAACGTATTATCATTATAACATTATATTGAAATGAAACATTTATTTTATATATATAAAAAAAAATTGTTCTGTTTGTAAACAACTTTTCGAACAAAAAATAATAAGAGATACTTTTGTTGCATTTTGGATTCGGTTGGATTTTAGAATATCCAAGAGATTTTCAAAACAATTGGAAAACAGAATAACAGCAAATATTGACGACACACCACGGCGTTACCGATTTCGTTGTTTTTAATTTTTACCTTTTATGTTTTCTACCAGAAATATTACCAGACAATATTTTTATTTTCTTTAACGATGGTTTTTCGTTGTTTATAGGTATATTTTAAATAATTCTATGTATCTTATTTTCCTAACTTCTTATTTTCAACAGTGGCGCACCCATAAACAATGTCAGCTCTATTTAATTTTATTTAATGTATATTTTAGGTATGGTTTTGTGATGTCTTGTTGAGGCCAGGTTTTGAGTTTTACCGAAGTTATAAAGTCCCCGGAAATCGAAATATACAAGTATAATTTTGAGTTCAATAATTTATTTTGTTTTTCAGTAAACTCAAATAATTTTAAGTACTAATTATAATGAAACAGGGATGTATTGATTATATAAACAGTCTACCAGTAACAGACTCACCAGAAGTGTTTGGACTTCACTCCAATGCAGACATTACGTAAACTTTAATTGTTTTATTAAGACAAAATAAAATGTATTAATTATTATTTTAATTTTAGACATCAAATAAATACCGCGAAAGGAATACTGGATACGATTTTAAGTGTCCAGCCTAAACAGGGAGGCAGTCAAGGAGGTGAAACTAGAGAAAGTGTTGTTTATCATTTAGCCGACGACATGTTAAAAAAGTTACCGAAACAGTATAAAGATTTTGAAGTGAATAGTTACAATTATACGTTTATTTTGTCCAACAATTTCTATTGTTTTTATTATTATAATTTTTAGGTAAAAGAATCTTTGCAAAGAATGGGCGCCTTATTGCCCATGAACATATTCTTACGACAAGAGATAGACCGGATAAAAAAAGTAATCGGAATCGTCCAAAAGACACTCTGCGATCTGAAATTGGCTATTGATGGTACGATTGTAATGAGTCAAGGATTAAGAGAAAGTTTGGATGCGATGTACGACGCTAGAATACCGCAGAAATGGCAAAAAGTAGGCTAATTATTATCAATAAAGTATAGTATACAATTAATTTACTAATGATGAAAATGATAATATATTTTTTTTCTCGTGGGTGTCAAAAACAAAATAAATAATTAGTTATAAACTATTAATTGATGCAATAATAGAAAATTCAAAAATTGAATATGACTGTAATATAACATATAAATCAGAACTAATCGAAACGAGTGACAACTAGAGTTAAAAATAGAATTGAACTGTTTATTCTGATCCCTGTCCCCTGCTATAAAACAATAAATATAAAATAGTTAATAGGTGTTAGCTCTTTGGTAATTTAGGTGTCTTGGGAATCAGCAACTCTAGGATTTTGGTTTACTGAATTGTTGGAACGAGACAATCAATTTAGAAAATGGATAAACAACGGGCGACCAAATGTGTTTTGGATGACTGGGTTCTTCAACCCTCAAGGATTTTTGACAGCAATGCGACAAGTACCTATACGATTTTTAATATAATATGAAAATCACTTCAAATTCTCATTCGAATATCAGTATTATAAAAATGATTTTATATCGTGTCATTGTAGGAAGTGACAAGAGCGCACCGGGGTTGGGCTCTCGATTCGGTAGTACTTCAAAACCTAATCACGCGGCATAACAAAGACGAGTTGAGCGATTCTCCGCCAGAGGGCGTGTACGTATGCGGAATGTTTTTAGAAGGGGCTAGCCTAGATCGAAAAACTGGCAAGCTAGTGGAGAGTAAACCGAAAGTCCTGTACGAACAGATGCCGGTCATTTATGTGTTCGCTATTAACACGACCGCGGGCAAGGATCCGAAATTATATGAATGTCCGATCTACAGAAAACCACAGAGAACGGATCTCAAATACGTGGGTTCGATAGATTTCGAGACGGACAACAATCCGAGACACTGGACGTTGAGAGGCGTTGCTCTATTGTGCGATATAAAATAAAAATATTGCTTGCAGATTACCTATTCATTATACATTATAAAATCTGAATATTTCAAATTTGATTTGTCCAACGGAAATATTGCACGTTCATCAGGTATAATTTACATATACCTACATCAGTTTGCGATGCAAAGGTCGTTAAACGCCATTAAAATAAAAAGATATAACTATGTAGTGTGCATTGTTTTTGTTTAAGTTTCAAATCTTTATTTCTGTAATATTGTAAAATATTATTAAAGATGTGTCCAGCGTTAATTTATTGATCGTATATTTTTCCCTCCTTCGAATTTTCCAATCGACAATAAAACTTTATAGAGCTCTAACGACTTTGGCCAAGTTCGAAAAGCCCATCTCGAACCACCCCCCTCAGTATATATCTAATTACCTCGATAGGCCATTACCGTTAATGAAGTTTTTGGTTTGAATATTAAAAGTCCACTGACGGCTTGAAAAATATAAATTGGAATGTTATATAAGTTTTTAACGGCATCTGAAACTTTTTTTTTCTGGTTCTAACGGAGTTGATGGCGTCGATGAGACTTTATCACATTAATATAAGTTCTCTTAATTACAAAGTATAAAGATTAAGGGATTCAAAGTTTATGGATTGATAGATTTTTATTATTATTATTATTTTTTTAATGTATTAAAATGCGAAATGCAATACGTGCCGATTGTTTATTATCCCTTATATAGATATAATATATTACATATTAATCTCGATATTGAAACAAATTATAGAGTATTATAACTACTTCGATATTTATTTGTTAGTTTTTTTTTTTTTTTTGAACCGATTAATCCTACCATTAACCAATGGCGCACGTACATTAAACAACCTAGACCTTTTTAAGCCGGTATATTTTTAATCATACGAGAAATATACCCGTAATAATAAAAATAAAAAACAAAAATACTAATCCGTCGGTAGGTATATTTACCTGAATTTTAAGCCACTTGAAATATTATTTTTGAAAAAAAAAAAAAACCATCGATTAAATGTGTATTTAGGTTTCGAATGAATACGGCTTAATCGTTGTGTTTAAGTACGTTTCAAGTGGATTATGCTGCAGCAGATGATAAATCAATGTGCAAATATTATACGAGCAAATAGAAATATTATAATTTAATGTTATAACAAATCGTTTCCTGAAATATTATTTCATTTCGATAATCATATTATACAGTATTAGTTAAACGAAAGACGAGGCATAAATGTTACGGTAATTTTATTCAACAAAAACGGCGTTTTTATTACATCGTAATTTCTCGGGGAAGTTGTTTTCCTGGAAAAGTACTTGCAGAATACCAATTACTTATGTTTTAACATTTTTAAAACTACGTAATACGTAGTACGTATACTTACTACAGAGTTATTATTATATTTTGCGCCGTTAATACTCAATGGATTTGCGTTGTTGCCGTCAAGTAATTCGTTTTTTTGTTTTTTTTTTTTTGTTTATATTGTTTGAAAACTATCCGATATGGTAGGTATAAGTAGCTAAATTAAATTTTTTAACGGGATTGAAATTTGTAATTGTTGTAACATTGTTTTATTGCGCCGGAATGTTATCCCCAAAATAATGTACACAGATACAGTGTGTTTCACTCAAACGGAAACATGGGATATTCCTGCCGAATCTACTCTTGGATTGAAATGGTTTTTGAATTAGGAAAATCGTGGGTACCAAAATAAACATTTTTCGGCATGTCTTCTTAATGTTGATCCCCTCGATTCGAGTATGCGAAATAAAACTTCCCATTTTCTTAAATGGGAAACGTTTATTTTTAACACTAGGTTCGAACAGTATTATTTTTTTAAACGTCTTTGACTCGTATATGCGATATTTGTTTTCCATCTCAAAAATTACTTGGGTTCTGCCATCAAAAATCTGAATAAATTTTAAAGCAAAGAAATTTAACAATATAATGTTTTATGGGATGAGGAAAAAAATCACAAATAAAGACAATCATACAAATACAAAATTAAAAAATAACGTACCTATATAATTAACATTTTTTAGTAAACACTTTACTGTGTCGGGCAATTTTCGAGATAAAAATAATACTTGAATTTTACGTAACTAGAAAAAAAAATACTAGCACGCAAGGGTCAACATTTTAAAAATAGCTTCAAAGTCGGTTTTTCTACTATAGAATACTACTAATACTGGACCGTCCAAAAAAAAAAAGACGTCCTAGAATTTTTTGCGACGGATGTAGTCACTGTTATAGGTAATTTAATGATAAATGATAAACCATAAGTTACGAAAAAACGATTCTGAGCAGGATTCAGTTGACAGTGATCCTTGTCAACAATATAGTATACCATATTATAGTAAAATAATTAAATAAGCTCTATACATTTTCTTAATTAACATTTCTTTTATGTTGTACTGATTTCTTCAGTTTCTCTACGTTTTTCCCAGTTTTTCACATTTGATGAGAAAACTCTGGAGAAAATCAAAAAACAATCTCTCTAAAGTACCTCCCCAGTGAAATTTCCTTTTACAAAAATTGCTATTATTAAAGTTTGAGCAAAACTAGTGTTAGAAAAGTTGTCCACAGAAAAAAAATCGTAATATTATACAAATATATTTCGTATATTTTCCCGTTTTTTTTCGGGTTTTCACATTTGATGACAAAACTCTTGAAAAATCAAAAAATGACCTCTATAAAGTACCTCCCTATACCGATTTCCTTTCAGAATAATTGATACACGTAAAAATCGGAGCATGTATTTTGGTAGAAAAGTTGTCCACAGCAAAAAAAAAAAAATAAAATAAAATAAACATCTTTGTAAAACCATAGGCGGCTTCTTCGCTTCACTCTGAATCTAAAAACGATCCAGTTAAATCCAAGTCCGCACGACTGGAGTATTTCGTGTCACCGGTCGAGTAAAACACGTGGTGTGTAGTGTATCGGAATGTTTCGGTTTCCAGTTTTTATATATACTTGGCGATATTTCGGTAAACGGGAATCGACCGACACATTTACGGTGGCATTGGACCGGTTTGAAGCACAGTGTTTGTACGCGGCATGTCGTTGAACGAACGTTAATTAGTATGTGCGGTGATTGAAACCGTACGCTGTAAACGGGACGAAAACCGGGCGTTTCCGGCGTGAAACAAAACGGGTATAAATAACGGGAAACGAGCGAAGAACAATAAAAAAAAAAAAAAATAAATAAATAATCATAATTAATACGAGTACTCCAAATCGCACGCGAGCGAGAGCGAGAGATAGAGAGTCGGAAAACTTTCGCGTCCGACGGCCGAGTGTAACGTCGCAATTAGTCGCGAAATAAACGTCCGACGATTAAGCGAAAGTTTTTTTTTCCGCCGACCTAACGTGCGTACATAATGTACAGGGTGCGGCTTAGCGTTCGGTTTACGGATGGGAGAGGGAGGGGGGCGGGAGACACGGGGAGAGCGGTAATCTCGGAAACGTCCGCTTAATGACCGTATCACGAGGGATGTGCGTTTAAGCACGGGCGGCGATTACGGGCCCGGCGGCGGCGGCGGGAGAACGGTTCGGCCGACGGGGAGGGGTCGATAAATCTACGGAAACGGTTACCCCTAACTCCCCCCTCCCACCGCTCCACCCGCCATCCGTCTTCGGTCGATCCCTCCGCGAACCGACAAACTGCTACCGTCCAATTCCGGTCGCGAGCGGCAATACGGCGTACGTTACAGAGGGCCCGCGGGCCGCGGAGAGGACCGGACCGGGGCCGAGTATCGGGCCGGACGCGCGGCGGCGGACGCCGGCTTATAATTAGTGGCTTTACCTCCTCCGCGTGTCTCCGCGTCGCCACCCGCCGCCCGAGGCAACGCTCTTTGTACCGCACGCGCGGTCCGTCTCTAATTATTGCCGATTAATTACAATACACGCGCGTATATTTATCCCGACGGCCGTCCATAACGACCGTTTAAATTGCGTTGTTTTTAACCCGACTTTAGTACCGGAGTGTGGTGGGGGGGAGGTGAGAAGGATGACGGTTAAGGGGTAAGTCATCAATTTCCGACTTAACCCCTCCCCCCTCCTGGCCAATCTGTTAACGACGTCGAATTCCTTTTTTTTTTTCCCGCCACCACCAAAGTGAGTACCGGCTAACGTTTTGGAAAACAAAACGACAAAATTGCAGGCCCAAAAATGTCGGTTAGGCGCCTATTATACACAAGAGGGTCGGTCGGGTTTAAAATCCCCACGGTTTTCCCGACGTCCCATCGAACGGCGCCGTAGAATTTACTTTGCATTCAGAGTGTAGCGAAAAAGCTGTTGTAGTTTTACTAAGATCTTTTTTATTATCTTTGGAATTCCACTTTCGGTTAGTAAAACGAGTCGATTTTTTTACGGCATAATAATAATCTATCGAGTAAAGTAGCTTAAACAATAATAAAAAAAAAAAACTAAATCACATAAATTACACCATAAATATTTTACTTAAGTACATCGAGGAAAATTTTCGAAGCTCTCAAATAAAATGGGAGAGTATCATTTGTTTTGTTTTTTTTTATTTGATTTTATTGATAAGTCACGCAAAATAAAACATTAAGTTTACAATATTTTTAGAGATTTGAGATTTTTGATTTTTCCATAAAGATACAACATTTTTACAAACATGAAACTATGAACTCATAAACTAAAAAAAACAAAACATTTTTTTTTTTTTTAAATGTATATTTTCAAATATCTTCACTAGATTCATAAGATTCGATAACAATTTCTAAAAAAACAAAAACGCATAGAAATTATTAAGATTAATAAACTATTTATTTCTAAATCGAAAATGACTGTTAATGTATTTTAATAGTAAGACGTTGTTATTTCATTACCCTAACGGTTTCACCACGGCGACAAAACAAACAACATTTCGTACGACTGTTATATTTAATTTAGTTTTTTAGTTAGAGATTTCATTTCAATTTCCCAACGTGGGAATTTAAAAACAAATTTGTATGTACGATCGTGTCATTAATCGTTAATGCATAAGTGTTATTTAGAACGGAGTTATCATAACTATAGTTATAGGTTATTTATAGTCAGCATTACCGAATGAACATTTATACACTTATATGCAATTAAATTTAAATTCAACAATATTGTACTCACAAATTATCATCAGCCGTGCACCTTCCGTTATCTTGAGTAGACGATATTATTTGCGTAGTAGTAACATTGTCATTATGCCTATCATTATCAGTCTCTGAACGATTAAATAAATAAATAAATAGTATTACGACAATTACTCGCGTAAATAGTAATTCTGAATTATCTAGATGTTTTTCAACATTCGTATTGTTTAATTCCATCGGAATAGGAATTTGCGTTTCTAATAATAATGGAATTTTGTCCCTTTGTAAGTTATTCTATACAAAACACAATAGATATCAAACCGATATAAAACATCAATTTTACGATGTACACAGTTTGAAAGAATACGAATTTAAAAAACAAGGAGGATAATAATATTCTAATGTTATACCGTAAATTTTCGATTTTCATATTTTGACGGACGGTAACGCCACGTTTCCCGTATTCCCCCCCGAGACTAATAGAATATACACATAATCAAACGAATAAATAAAAAAAAGTAACGCTGTTTTGCACAATTTTACCTCAAGCAATACGGATTTTTGCTTTTCCCCGAGCTCCGCGTGACTCAATCGGCAATTCGAGACTGAGTAACATTTCTTGTCCTCGCGTGGCTCCATTTTTCGACCTCCGTTATATGCCTAAGCGCAACATCCGTTCGCCCGTGTTCAGACATTATTTTTCTACCATATCAGTCGTTGTCTTCGCCGCCATGTATATAATAACTACGACCGCAGTTATTATCGTCGGGAAATTCTTCTTCTTCGTTTCCTACATAAACAATAAACAAGAAATATATAAATTCCTTATGACAAATTCAAAACAAAATGTGTAGCAAGTATAATCTGCAAATACTTAAATAACTATGATCAATTTAATTGAAAAAAAAAAAATAACAACAGATAATTTATAATTAGGTACGTACCTGTTTTACGCTTCTTACGGTTGTCGTCTTTGTGATTATCTCTCCAGCTCAAATCCGAAAATCCTTCATTTGATCTTGGACAGTGCATAATCGTATTATATCGACGTTCCTAATATAATGGACGGAATAAATAATTTGCCATTACTATAATAAGATAATCGAATCGAATTGTTTTCATATAATTTTTACAATTCCCCACGAATGTTCAACATGTTCCGGGACATAATTATCTTTAGACGCTCTAGTTTTACTATTACGTACAGTTGATTCAACAACTTTATCATCTACGTTATCTTCGTCATCAACAATCTCTCCTTCTTTAAGTTCGACCACGAGTTCATTTACCCAACTATTATCGTTTCTAAACCGAAATAATTCACTTTTTATATATTATATTTTTTTTTAAAATACATAAATACAAAATAAAAAGGCTCGATTTGATTTAGTTTTAGGCTTTAAGGTTGGTTCGATAACTATCAATCTATTGAATTATATTTGTCCGTGAAATGTGCCGGACTAAGAAGTAAAACCAGCCCAAGTATAGGTATACAAGCCCAACGAGCATTTGGTGAAAATTAAAACGATCGATTATTTTGAAAAAAAAAAAGAAAAAGATTATGCCTATGCTAAAAACTCACGATTCCAATCGCCCGTAAGTTGTAAATAATGCGATCAATAACAAAAAAAAAAAAAATTTAATCCTATCGATTTACTGTGAAAGAGGTGTATGAGCATTTATTTTTAGTATAAACGCTTACTCCGCAACTCTTCCCGATTCGGGTAACAAAAAATATTACTAGTCATGGAGTAATAACACAAGTGAGACTGTGTACAAACATTATTTGGCGTAACCAACGTAAGTTTAACGACGGTTTATCAAAAACAATATTTTATTAGGCCAACATCATAATCTGCATAATATATTTATAGTATTCAAATACACTGTTAGGATTTATCAGATGTTAGTTTTTTAGTAAATTTTATACAAATGTGCTGTCGGATATCTTGTGATTTTTTTAAAAATAAAATTCCACCGGTCAAATAATCCGCATCGTTCGAGATAATTTTATTCGCATTTACGTATTTTCAAGACATTTGCGACTCGCGAATACCATCGTCAGATTTCCTATCGTTCAAAATCCAGCTACAGTTTACACCAAAAATTATTTTGCGACTCCGCGTATACGAAATACCTATATTTTTATTACGCATTACGGACCACGGTTGTATAACCTATATACTATAGGTTGTCGTGTACTTTGCTGAGCAAAAATATAAAATTATAACACAATCTCGGTCAACATATTTGATGATATTATTGTTTGTTATTATTTTCGGACCACCGATATTATTGTACGGCGTAAATAGGACCGTTTCTGATTCAAAGGTCCGTCTCGACTGTGCATAATGTATAGTGGCCTGCAAAGGCTGACCGCTGCGACAAGGCGCGTGACCGCTATACGGTACTACCGTGTATAAAAGGACCCGGGAACCACCGGAGGGGGTATCGTCGTCGGGCCGAATACGAATATTGCAATTTTCTCGGCAACAAGTAATATGTAATTATCCGTAAACGGAAACTTCCGGTCCGTGCGTATTATATTATGACGTGCATTCACGACGCGTTTGTACCGATATACTCGCAGAAAGGCCGCAGTTTCGGGCGCGCGGTATTATAATTAACCCGCCTGGACCAGGCCGAGAATTTGACGTGACAAAGGATACCTGCATATGCGCGTAAGAGCGTAAGCACGGAGAGAAAAAAAAAACCGAAAAACAACAACAACAACAACAACAACAAACTGAACATTATATCGCCCGGGGTCGTTTAAAAAGTACGCCTTTGCCGCAACGCGCGACGAAGAACAAAGTTAAAACCGTCTGCGCTGCTGCAGCCGTCGATTTTATACGCCCTCTTCGTCCGTGTTACTCTATAATATTATATATATATATATATTAAATTGTATACATTAATAAATATACATATATATATATATATGTGCCTTTTGCCAGGTTCACAAAGTTTCTCGCAAAATCCTTTACGGACCCCGTCCCGTCCTTTTGTTTAACGCGACCCTCCCAATTAATTTCTAATCAACGGGCCCTCCAGACACGCCGACGGCCCTTGCGGGTTTCCGGTCCGATCGATTTTTGTACACCGCGTTTACCTATCTATACTCGTATATATTATACAATACACGCGTGATTAATGCTGACGTCATGATTCCTCTTATCAGTCTGTAATCCTAATTGATTCCTAGTAAAATCCTAGCGGGTAATTATAAATGCGAAATTTCCATTGAATAGGTGTGTGTGTGCGTGTGTTACCACTTTTCCCCGAATCGCTAAACGCGTTGAGTTGAAACCTTGTACAGATGTAGTTTTAGACCAGGAATAACATATATGCCACTTCTCCCTCCCGCCTTGTATATGTATTCAAGCCCTTATTGACGACCCACGGTCGTCGGTATTTTTCATACGAGTCTTGCCCATATTATTTTTGTTGATGTATGGGTTACCTAGACGTTACGAATGAAATAACAAAAAAAAAACATGAATTTTTATTATTATTATTGATATATATGGATTACCTTTGTGATAGGGACGTTAATTTGTTTATTATTTCTTTTGTCACAGACAACGCCTGGTGGGACAGCTAGTTAGTAACAATCGGATCATTTGGATCTAAACAGTTTCATAGTTCCATTGAAAACATACATAATATTTTTTAAACGCTTATATTGTAATAAAATATGAGTACTCGCAAATTATAATTGTACTATTAAAAAATAAGAGTCACTCAATCCAGGTATTTAGCGATAAAATAAACATCTAGTACTTAAAATGTAGAATATAAGAATTTCAAAGTTGCTTTACATCACATGTATATGTACATAATTATTTATTTGGATCTAATCATACTTAAAAAGGACTGTTATCACATAATATGACATCACACTAATTGCGCTTGATTAATTTGACGAAAATTCAAAATTGTCCTCTAACTCAGAGAATTTGATTTACGCCTAGTAAAAAAAAAACAAAAATCCGTTTTCTAGCCAAATCAGTGTCGGAAAATGGTATAATGTTCTTTCCAGTGTAAAATTCGTTGTTTAAGCCGATAAGGGTAATATTTTTGTATGCACCAAATCAAATAGCTTATTTCACTTTACATTTCATTTTAGTAAAAATACATTTTTCGAAATTCTCAACAGTTCACCCTCGATAATATTTCATTTTTTTTGGGGGGGGGAGAGGGAGGAAGGAGAGGGGTTTCTCGGTTTTATCTGATCAGTATGTCTTTGGTTTCAAATTTAAAATATCCGAGAAAGTTAATGCACGCTAAACACTGTAGCGGGAAATTCAAATCTGTCGCCATAAAATCGCACAAAGGTATCGCCATTGGCAAGTTAATTAAATTAAGTATTTTACTTTACAGAAACGTATAGTTAGACAGGTAGAGTTTTCCGGATTAATATCAGATGTGAAAACATTGCTCGATTTATAATTACGAAACACGTTAGGTATTTTTAATAACTTGATGGTAAAACGATTTGAAATATTTCATTTATATTATACTTTGGACCGTCGACATTTGTATAAATATAGGGTAGAGCGACGGATATAATATAAAATGATGGATACAACACATTCCAATAATAATTGTATTTGATACCTGTAGTATGATATTTTGAAACAAACAAAAAATACTTGTTTCATTAAATGAATCAGTTCTTAAAATCCTATAAACGAGCAATAACAACAAAATTATCAAACGAAGTAGATGTGTTCTAATTGCACGGACATTCATAAAAGACAATCGTAAAAATTCGCGATCGAGTAAAAATTATCGCGATTTACAAAATCCGCGGGAGCCATTCCCCCCACCCCCCGAACCCCTTAATATATTGAAATATCTACCGTTTTATTGTTATAACCGTCAAATAGGGCAATATAGCAATACGGGCATTTTTATCAATTTACAATTCCATTATACGCTGCCTAAACACAACATAGTTTATTATAGCAGTACATTTATTTCAATATTTTCGTCCGTCATCTTCATGTGGACACTGGTCACTTTCGCTCCCCTCAAAAGAATCTTCGCGAGTGTAACTATGCTCCCGTGCCCCTAAATTCTACCACAGTAAACATTAAATATTGTGTGAAAAATATTAATTTATTATTCGATATTGAGCGCAGCGAATTTCACTGTGATGGGTGCTTTTATTTTTTTTATTTTTATGTCGGTGAAAAACTTTTTACCAGAAATTTGTCTCTTATCATTAACTTCAAGGAAAGTTTCTGGTAGAAGAATTGTCCAGTTGGTTAGTTGTTGCGTTGAGGAGGTATAATATTTTATACATCCTTTTATACATTTTGTTATAATGAAGGAAAAGCTGAAACTTTTACCGAATACATATATTACCACTTTATAAAAGCGGAGTGATTTTCGAATTATAAACAGCTGTTTGGTATTTCCGATTTTTTTTAGATTCGGAGAGTAGCGAGGGATTTTTGTTTTACGTGGATTGAAATTTGGCAATTAATTTTGATCAGTGTTTTAAGTTCAAATTCGTGTTAAAATTCTTAATGAAGTATAAGTTTTTATTTTGTTTGTACCTAGTCACAAATTAATAGGTAAATACGGCTTGTAATATTAAATTTATTAAAACACGCGTATCTGAACATACGCAAATCGTTTTTTATTCGCAATAATTTATCCTATTACTCACCTACAACAGTGACACACACCAGTCAGGTAAAAAGTATATTGATTTGTTCTTTTTTTTTAAAATATATAATAAACAAAATATGGGTGGTGGATCCCTCTCCCGTAAAGGATAGTGTCACTTATCTACGCAAGTATTCTACGTATAAACTAAAAATATTGTATTATTAACTAGGTTCTGTATATTTTACTTGAATATTTCGGCGTATTACGAAAATCGGAAGGTATACGTATACACAGCTTAAAAATGGCACATGTTATTATACAAAAAATAAAAAACTTTAACCGTTTTACGCACCGGATGTTGTCATTCGTCCGCGTCGTACATCATTTTAAATCCTCACGTTCACGACCCGCGCGTCTAATTAGCGGGAAGATTTTTAACCCCCGACGGTGAAAAAGAATAATAAAAAATAAAACTTGCGTGTAAACTACTGCTGCGATGACGACAGCCGCGGGAGAGGAAGGAAGAATAAAATCCTCTTCCGGGTTGTTATACACGCGTTTTTGACACCGCCGCCGGTTCCGGGTGAAAAGTTTAAATAAATCGTAATTCACCGCGGATAAAAACAAACGAACGGAGAAAAAAGTTTAAAAAAAATCCTCCGAGAACCGCCAACACGTCGGTGACGGTAGCATATCGACATAATCCGAAAAAACGATAATAGCAGCCGTCTATATCCGTCTCTCTCTCTCTCGCTGTTTATGTGTTTATAAATATATTTACGAGTACTTAGACGACCGCGGCGTGAACAAAACGCGCGCGAACGTTTTAAACCGAGGGGAGAGATATATCTTTGGTCCCGGGGAAGAAGAGGGCTCGAGTCGATGTCGTATGGTTTTCGATACGAGCAATTGCTACAAGTGCAAATTAAAAATTAATACTCGTACGAAATATGTATACAGTAATTCGTGCGTGACTTATGCCTATTTCGTCAAACAAAAAGTACAACGCATTAAATATTAGGATATCTTAATTTTCTGCGTAACATATAATTGCGGGATTACACACACACACACACAAGTCGAAAACGTCGAGTTAATCAATAAGGCACAGGGCGGGATCAAGATTTTGTTTTCTGCATTTCCACTAGAAAATAAACATTAAATGAGTACGTTATTGGTAGATTTTATATTAAAATATTACATTTTAAACAGGAAATATTCTCGCTGCGATTTCTGGAATGGGTAATGGGGAAAAATTCAAAAGTTCGGCGGAAGGTTTAGTCTATAAGCTCGCGAGTTTTTTTTTTTTCAAGGCAGATAGTAGTTGAGTAGACACCCGGCGGATTCAGGATATTCACTGAAAACGCTCCGGCAGGGTCCGTCGTCGCCCCCGGATAAGAGACTGATGTGTCGAAATATCCGCTAGAGGTACCTAATCCGGAATAACGATAAATACATACGGTTCTGTTTACGTGTGAGAACAAACACGTGGTCCTCGAGGGGAGAAATATCGTAAGTTTGGATAGTATTGTTATGGTAGTCCTCGACCGCGGGGTTTATGTCCCGTCGCCGCGCAGTTCTTTGTGGCCTCCACATTTCCGAATTATACCGATGTACCGGTGATTATTGAACACCCCTCACCCCAAATACTTTGCCGAGTGGCTAATACCATTTTCTCAAAAGACAATAATTACCTGTATTATACGAGTATCTATATCCGTCAACGGTTGACCACGCGCAAATGCATCTAAATTGCATAATTGGAACGCCGTCGCAACGGAAATGAATTGCAAAAGCAACGGCCGAGAAAATAATTTTTTTTTTTTTTAAATTTGAACTTCAATAACAGTTTATGTTCACGATTTATTAGAACAATTAATAAATGCAAACATATTCCTTCTTTGGTGATTATTATTTCCGCAATAATCGCCAAAATGGTAAATAGCGGTTCTGTCACGTCTTACCGTTTCCAGAGGTACTATTGTTTAGTGTTCTATATTTAGGCTTGTTTTGACGCTGTAAACTGTTAACTGATAACGTGAAATCAAAAGCACTGATTAGATGAAACCAGATAATGCACTTGGTCCTAGGACAATGAAATCACAAATAAGCAAGGCAGGGCAAGTTAATGATTTTTTTCAACTCAGTTAAGTAAAATTTAAACTTAAATAAAGTTAGTAATTAAAATTTAATTCAAAATAATCAATCAATTCAACTAAGTTAGAAGTTTGCCAAAAATTAAAATTAACTTTTTAACTCATGTTAAGTTAATTTAAAAAAATAAAAAAAATGTACATATTCTCTATTGCCTACTGTAATGGCCTTCATAATCCACCTACACAACCGCCAACTGGCGACAGCAATAAAAAATGATAACAGACATTCAAGAAATTCGTATTTTAAAATGTCCATAATATATTGATAATAATAATAATATATTTATTTATATGTTAGCGGTGTACAGATAAAAATTGAAATCAACGTAATTTGCTTAAATATAAAATTAATTCTAGTTAATTGAAAATTAATTATTTTGTATTCCTCAACAGTTAACAATCGAGTTGATGGTTGTGATTTTAATTCAAATTTGCTCGTTATCAAACTGCAACGATAAGAACAGTGCCGTGTGTTTGTATGCGGGTTTCTTCTCGAAATTTTAAATTTTCAGCTTCTCAAATACCTATCGTAATATTTCGTAGTACGCTCGAAAATCAAAATATCAAACCCCCCCCCCCCCCGATACGCTGTGATATTAATACCGACAACGCGAAATCTGTTCGACCGGACGAAAAGTCGACGTTATTCGATTTTCAACACGGTTCAGCGTACGCCGAAAGCCGTTCCGTACGATGCCTCGTCGCCGCGGACGGGCGACGCGCGGGCCGGATGGCGAAAGTTTGATGCGCCGGCCCTCCGGCCCCGCAAGTAATAATTAACAGTTAAAAACCGGCGGCCGGGGCGAAGGCGTCGCGTTATTACCGCGCGTTTGATTAATGGGCACGCGTGTCGCGTACAATTACCGTATACGACGTATTACCGTGCGCGCGTAACACAACGCGCCCGGCGCCCACGTTCCGCGCGCCAACCGTAATAACCCGGGAGCGCGTTATTGCCGCACGGCGCGGCGCCCCGGATGATAATTATTGCGTTCGCGGAGGTGCGATGCGCTATCCCTCCATCCCCTCGCCGCCAAACTTTCCCTCGTGGCTCGGTCGGCGTACCGTCGTCGGCGAACGCGCGCGCATAAAACACAATAATATATTATAATAATATAATAATAATAATACTAATATTATTCGCCGTAATTTGCGCCGAGAATTGTACGCACGTTCCGCGGCGGCGGCAGCGGCAGTTTATGGCCCAAGTTTTGACCGGCTGGCATACCGCCGCCCGGAGTGTCCGTACGGCGGCAATTAATCCGATGAATAACGACCACGCGCCCATTACGCGTATTCGTGCGCCACCCGGCGCCCGGTGTCGTATTATATACATGCGTGCGTCCGAATTCCCGGGCGCCAACCGGTTGTGACGACCGGAACTGGCGATAACCAGGCGGGGAACGTCATTTGAGGGAGTCCGACTATAATTTGGCGGGAGACGGTCAACTCCGACATAAGATAGTGTAACTCCTGCAAAACATAGTATTAACTCCTACTCTAGATAGTTGTAAAAAGTGAAATAAGTAAAAAACAGTCATGAGCTACAAAAATAAGATATAGAGATTGTCGTTTTTTCTAATTTACGGAAATAACGTGGACATTATCGAAATGTTCGAGAATTTCCGATACGATGCCTTATATTAATGGTTACTAAATTTTGTTTTACATTTTATTATCTTACGTTCGTAAGCCTATACGAATATTTATTCAAAAAGTAACAAAAAAGGTCTCTTATCGTTTTTCCATTTGAAAACTATTTCTGGCATAAAATATATATAAGTATATATTTCTGGTGCGTGTCAATTTAAATTAATGAAATCGTAAAATCGCATGTCTTTTACCCAATTAAGTGCAACTGTCTCAAATAAAAATCATTGCAAAACCAATGTACATTCTTCGCTACACTCAGAATCTAATTTGTAAAAAGGCCCGTGTTTGAGATTACACCATCTATTTTTTGAAGGTAAGAAGGGACTATGTAGGAGTTTACACTATGTTTTAAATAGAAGTGAAAAGGTAATTTCTGTAGGAGTTTACATGTAGCCAATTCGACAACACAATTTTATATTACCTAAGTGTTTTTGGCCCGCATAAAATCGTATATAATTGCTTCGTTGTCGATAAATTGTAGGATGCGACAATTTCTGACGTGGGCGATTATTACCTGCGCGCGGCTAATCGTCATACTATGGCTTACGATTTAAGTACTACCGACTACCGTGGTATCGATATGATTATAATGTCAACAAACTGACAGTGATATTGATTGACATTAGATGATATTGATATTGAAATTTAGTTGCTTGTTATTTTTAACAAAATATATTTTTTTAGAATTCATATATATTAAAATGTCAAGTGGAAATACGAGCGAGTTAAGCGATCGAAATTTATTTTTCATTTCCGCAAAATAAACAAGATATAAATGGCTTGACGGAAGGAAAAGTTGATAAGATTCAAATTTTTGCATCCCTATTGAAAAACTGAAATAACACCCTTGGTAACACGCGATCATTTCTGACATTTAGAAAATGAAATCCATTAAAGCGTCATAATCGCGTTCCGGTGTACTATACCGCGGGAGTAATGTTTCAAAACGAACGTTTTTGGTGCAAAATAATCACATCGTTAAAAATAGTCGTAAATATAAGATAACTAATCTATACACATGTTTTGGTGTAAATAGTGTACACACTAAGCCGATACTTTTTTAAAATAATAAAAACATTATAACCGGTGCTCAGATTTTATAGCACTGTAAATAATTGAAATTTACGATAAATTATGAGCTAAAAATCTTTTTTAAAAAAAATTATAGTATGCCAAAAAAATGTACTGATTTTTTATTAATTTTAAATTTTGTTAAACATATATATACAACTCATAAAAAGTCATGTATAAATAGGCTGTACGATGGATTCACATAAATGACAGATTTTTCTATTTATGAAAACTACAAAATAAATCATTATGTTTTGCATATATTGTTATAGCAAAAAATAGAACTAAAATTCTAAATACTTCAAATATGCAAAAAATAAAAACACATTTACAGTGTTTGGCGCATAAAACAAATGAAAATCTCACTATCTGCTATATTTATCAGTATTCTATGATAATAACCAATTAGCGATTGCTATAAAACCCGAACACTGGACTTATGACAAACAGCGTGTAGCGCGTCACTTTTTCAATACGAACGCTTTAGTGTACACCGTCGTACACTTTTGGTCAAAAGAACTATTGTGCGTTGAACCCGACGATTAAATGACTAACGTAGCAGGGGGTGATGTGGGTTCGATTCCTTTCTTTAATGAACATTACGGGATCCGTTATTTCATAAACGTATAGAATTAATACAAAACATATTATTATAATATTATTAAAAAGCTGTTCTAGGATAATTGGGACGGGTGCAGCCACTGTTATTAATGAGAAGATTGCAAGGTAGTATAGGGGAAATTTAATGTATATCTGTAAGCATTGCTAACGAAAAAACGATTCTGAGCGGAGTCCGGTTGATAGTGTTGATTTTTCAACAATATACATGTCATATTATGGTGAAATAATTACATATGGATTATATATTTTCTTTATTCATATTTGTTTAATATTTTACTTATTTTCCCGTTTTTTCCATTGGTTGAAAAACCCCCTGAGAAAATCAAAAAATAACCTCTATATAAAGTACCTCCCCAGTCCGATTCCATTTCAGGAAAAATGCTATTTTAAATTTAACTGAGCCAAACTAAGGGAAAACGTAGAAAGAACGGGAAAGTTTAAAATAACGGGTTCAAATTTTCAATATTGTTATTTCGTTGTAATTCGGTTAATAATATTCCAAAGAGCTCACATTTTCACAGAATACATCTTATATTAACACATTTTAGACGTGGTTAAATTTTCAAAACATGTGATTTTCGAGCTATTTTTAGTCATTTGTCATTTTTTGTTTGGTTAGTGTACGGAAAGAACTATTTTACCAAACATACATGTTTGAAAATTTATAACAAGGTGTATTATATTGTACGTATATTAGTGATTGAGTTTAATAAATTTAATGAGTTTTTTAAAAAAAAAAATTTCAGATCTTAGCATCGAATGTTGACGAAAATTGTTAAAATTACAGTATTTCAAAACATTTATGCACATGCGTGTACCTCTACCATTTATTTATATCGAGATTTACGAATAGTAAATTCGTAAATACGTAGTTATTTTAAACAACTTAAAAAATAAATATCGAATTTAACAAAACTGGAAACAATTTGAAAAGCAGTTTCTAACTTCCCTTAATATCATATTCGAGATATACTTTCAAATTTCCGATAAACAGTTTTTATAAACAGCTAAATTTTAGATCGTCATTATTTTCATTATTATATGTAGGTGACTAGGTAGTATTCTAGTTGGTTCGAAGTTGGCGTAAAAAAATAATTAACTTTATAAGATTACATGATTCTAATGTTGAACATTAAATTTTATAATTACTATACTCACTTGACGAATCAATAAGAGCTTTTGTCGGTGGTACGACGCATTCCATAGTGTTATCGGTCGCATTCGGACCGTCAGTAGTATTCGGAGAAGCCGATGCTATTTAGAAACAATGTAAAACATCGAAGCTTATTTCCAGCCCCGTCTGGTATAGCGCTTTCTTGTAGTTAAATTTACAATTTATTGTAAACAATCCGAATTCCCAAAACACTAAAAATATGAAAACAATTTAATACGATGTCTGTCTTTATATTACCGGCATCAACAAACATTATATGGTTAAACAGAAAACAAAAATGCAAAACATATTTTTCGGAATACGGGTTAGAATTCACGATCACTACGATGACAACAAGTACGTAGCTCCACTAGACTACGACAGAAACTGTACAATTTATAACATATGGTTATTTACCATGACATAATATATCAGAACTTCAAAAAGCTATGATTTCAAAACTAAGCCAATCCGCTCAATTCTGAATTCACCATTGTCCTTAAATCCGCAATATACATATGCTCAAAACAAAAACATGAAAAAGGACGGACATGCTTCGCACGCGGGTGCAACCACTGTTATAGGTGGAAAGTTTTGGAAGATAGGATACAGCTGGAAATTTAACTAAAATATCTGTAAACAACGATAAATCATTGCTAATGAAAAACTATTCTGAGCCGAGTTCAGTTGATAATGTTGCTTTGTCAACAATACAATATATGGTATTATGTCATATATTATGGTAAAATGATTAAAACAATGTACGTTTCCATAACAATGATGAATTTAAAAAAACTAAAATAATAAAAAATAAATAAAAATGATTGCCAATGACAACCTTATTTATTTAATCTTTCAATATTTTTTAATCTAGAGACCAAGCTTTCCCTCATTATCTTGAATATTAATGAGAATTTCAAAAAATGATCTCTTTAAACTACCACTCAGAGAGCATTTCCTTTCAGAAAAGGTGCTATACTTGATAATTAGATACCCTTTCTGGTAGAAAAAGTGTTTACATAAAAAAAAAAATATAAATATTATTAAAAAACTAATATATTCATTGCTTCACTCAGAATCTAAAATTAGATTTGTTTCACATAGTTCTCTACTCGAACGATTTTCGTCAAAATCTGAAATTAAAATTCCTTTATAAAAAAAATTCTACATTTAGCTCAATTTTTTTTTTTTTACCACAAAGTACGACTCTTAATGAACCTCCTGTTAAATTTTTAAGCATTTCTGTTAGATCTAATAATTTTACCACAGAATACCTACACTGAATAAAAAAAAAACGTATAAAACTTGAAAACTTTTTTGAAATTTGTCCAAATTTAAAAAAGGCAAATATAAGTTTTCTATCTAAATATCAAGTTTTCACGAAAATTTTTAACTGAATTGCAACAAATAACAAAATTCAAAATAATAAAAAACATTTTTTTCGTAAATTTGCTGTTTTATCCCGGGTGTTCCCAGATATTATGAAAATCTCTTGACAAATCAAAAAATGACCTTCTCAATGTACCAATTTCAGATAATTACCTTTCAAATAATGTGCTATGGTATACTTAGAAGCAAAATTTCTGGTAGAGAAGTTGTTAACAGATAGACAATTTTTTTTTTAAAAAAAATACATAGATCCTTCGCTACGCTTCGAATATGAAAATACTGATGAAAAATTGAAATTCGGTTATACTCGTACATGTTTCAAATGCATAACATTTTCCAATTTTTGTTAAAATTTAATCTTAAAATTCCTATCAATAAAACTACTTTATTAAACTCAATTTTTTTTCGAACACTATTACGACATAATATATACCTAGTGTTAATTTTTCAACGTTTTAAATTTTTTATTTATACAATACCTACTAGATAAAAGAATATGTTTAATCACTTCAATATTATTATAGATTTATACTATTTTTGTAACAGGTATACATTTTAAATTATATTAAGAATTTGAATGAGGACAGTTTTAAAATGGTAAATTGAAAGTTTTCAGTTGTATTATTTTTTTAAAAAATTTTTATTTCTTAGTTAATTTATATATTCTCGCACAAATTTAGAACAAATGGACTGAAAATAAAACTGAACAGACCGCAAAAGTTTTTGTTTGAAAACGAAAAGTTAGTATCAGTTTTGAATGATTTTACTGTATAGACGGCGTGCAATTTTGAAACTATTATATACCGCGTAGTGAATAAAATAACCAATGATTATTATCTTTACATAATATTATGTCAGTATGGAGAAATATTGATTCTGTCAAACAAAAAAAAAATCAAGTCGTATAAGTATTACGAGAACTCAAAGAACCCTAGGCTAATACGGTTAGACGTATAAAGTATAAAGGATTTAGTCATCTAGAAAAATTATTACAACGATTTTCGTCAAAGGTAAAGGGTATATTATTATCGAGGTACCCGAGGCAATAAATCAAAACCATGAATTACATAGCTGGTATAGGTACCTATCGATATTTTATTAAACTTGTCTTTTGCACGCACGAAAAGGCTAAATATTAACATATGATTTTCATGAAAACACATTTTGAAATTTCAAACTACATCGTATACACAATACGACGATAATCGATGCTAGTTTAAAACGAGACGATTCTGCGGTATTAAGAATAAATTCCAGCAGGTCCACACGACGATAATTACTACGCTACTGTGATAGTTACTGTCACAATACTAGTCAACTATTACAAAAGTTTGTGTCTACTCGGTGATAGTAGCTATAGGAGACACGGTAGTGAAGTGTATCTCGATAGGAATCTTATTCGTATCGTAGAAGTCTATGATCTTACGACATTATAATAAAACGATACATACGTTAGTATACGTGATCACACTGGATAGTACTATCGTTCTCAAAATACTATCTATGGATTATTACGTATGATCGCACGATAGCAGCTTTCACGGTAGATCAATTAACAATAATTACTATCGCCCTGTTTACACGATGATCAGTTTTACCATCAGTGATTATGACTGTAATATCAAGATTTTATGATGGTCACATTGAGCGCAGTGTAATTGTTCGATAAAATGATGAAAAAAAACTATTATGTTACCTTATTATTACTTGTTACCAGTTATGTTACCTTACTGAACATCTCAAATATTTACAATTTTAGCATGGCGGTTGTACTATACCTATCTGTTTATATCCTATTCTGTAGTAATATCAATTATTAAAAAATACTATTTTTATTGAAAGTTTATGACCAAAATTGAAGCGTAGAATTATATAGAACACTTACATACCTACCTGACATAACAGTTTCTACGAAATTTTTACAATTTATCTTTTCTATATTTATCGCATTTAATTATCGCCGTCACTATTTTAATGATAAAAATAAAATAAATATAATTCTAAATAGATGGAAAAGTGTTCATAGTTGTAAATAACTATTAAGTTATTTGAATACAATATGTCAATAAATAAAAAAAAATTAGTTTAAGTTTAAATACATCACTTGACTTTGTATGATGCGAATTTCTACGATGATACATATCGGATATTAATTATAACTTATTGTTCAATGCAACACGTATTTAATTATATATTTGAAAATAATAATACTATGTTGGTAGTACCAACATTTCAAAAATATTATACACGAGGCACTTATCGTTTTTCATACAACTACTAAGCTCTAGGTCGCATATTATAATTAATGAATAGGTACGTGTGGTAATTAAAAACAAAAAAAAAAAAATATTAAAAAATACTGTTGAAGTTACTAAAGGGTGTGTGACTGTTCTACCTATATATAATACTTATTTTTACCGTAAAAGATTCGAACATTTCTGGGTTTTTTTTTCAAGTAACTTTGAGTTGTTCGAATTTTCCGAAAAATTAATTGAAATACAGCAGCCTGTATAATCATCTAAAGTTGAAAAATACGATTTTTCCTCGATTTTTCGACAAAATTGTTTTTGTACGAACCGTTTTTCCCCCTCAGTATGCCGTAGAGTTCTTCGTTTTCATAGAATCCCCTATAAATGAATATTCTACACATTAAAATATCTGTTCTGAAAATTCATCGACAGTTTCTACCATTTTCAAACGGTTTATTGTCAGAAACCACCGTTTTCGACCGGGGCGAACGAAACGCAACGCGTAATAAAATAAAATGTATACGAAAAAATCCGGGGAGTAAACGAGACACGCCGTCGAATATTTATCATCTCTTATTGCGACCCGGTTTTAGTCTGCACGAAAACGCGAAATAATGCAATTTATAAATAAAAACTGTACGGTCGTATAAAATACAGCGGGAATAATAATAGCTACGATGATGATAATAATAATAATAATAATAATAATGATAATAATAATAACAATAATATATTATTATTACGGGCGAAGCGGGCGGGTTCGAGCGCGTGCGCCCGATGATATTCGTAGGGGGTGACCGGCGGGTGGGGAGGGGGGGATCGTGGGCGGGGGAAAAAGGAGGCGCCCCGAAACTCGGGTACTGGGTGACAACCTCGTCGCCCACGGGACCGGCGGCGACGGTGGATGTGGGTCACCCGGCGCCCGGCGGAAGACGGTCCGCGGCGTCGCGCCCGGCACGTGGGCCAGCCGGGCGGGGCGTAAACGCGCGGCGGCGCCCGGGACGAACGTCGCGGGCGGTCACGCCCACCGCGCCGTGCCGCCGCCCGCGACGACGATAAGTCCGCGACGCCGTCGGATCCGCGACCGACGACAGTAACAGCCGACACGCTGGTTTGGACGGCACGCGTGGCCACTGGTGATACAAACACCCGCGTACCAGACAGCCGCACGCATATACCGGGCCGAGACGGGCGATCCAGCAGCCAACGTAACCACGACGTCACGAGGTGAGACACAACCACGCTAAATGATACATTTATTTTAATTTTATTATTATCGTGCTGGGTGAGGGGCGATCGGAATTTAGCTGTAGTTTTATACCGGCTATAGTCGGTAGGCATTATGTACTGGAAGCGGAAAAACGTCGAGGAACGAAAATAGTCGAATTTTCAAAATTCACTCCTCAAAAAAAAATAAATAAAATTTAATAAAAATGCCTAAAATTATATTATTATTCAAATATTTTTTTTTTTTTTTTTTGAATTCGGTGAAATCTATCTGGATAAATTTGTCAATTCAGCGAACGAAATATGTGTCATTCAAAAGTTTTAGGGAAAAAATCACTCGATTCGTAGAACCACTTAAAATCATAAAGTTATGTTAGATTTTAATTACCGATTCGAGATTGTATACGACCACGAAGCATAGTTTATAGAATATTCAGACATTATTTATTTGAAACCTATGCGTAATGGAATTGTTAGAGTAATTGCTATTTATTACGAGTTATTGATGGGATTTTCGCCGAGACAAAAGATAAAGTAAATAAATACAAATTGTTTGATTGTTTCGGAAAAAAAATGACTTTTCTGATTTTTTCCCCCGTATACCCCCTTCATATTATAAACTGGTTAATTTCCTGTTGTCGGGAATACAATTTTACAATTTTTCAATTTACGATAGTTACAAGTCAACGATATGATTACATTTACTTTTAAAATTTTCGGACATGAATTTCGAAACAAAGAATATATAGAATTTAATATTTTCAATATTTAATGTTCGATCCATCGGCGGTGTAATCAAAACTTAAATATCGTATTTAATTTTAAAATTTTCATCGGTACGGGCGTGATGAGCACCGAGGATAAGTTAGGCTACGCCGCGAATTCCGAACTGGACGATTAAACGACAAACAATAGTCCAACAAACACAATAACATTTATTCTCCATATTTAATGTTAATCGAATGCGATTTTCGTTCACCACTGAATACATGAAAAACGTCAGATAATAAAATATTTACGAATACTCGAAACTTAAGCGCGATGCGAAACCCGAATCCGTTACCGCCCAAAAGGCGTTTTACGGACCGCCTTTTTTTCGTCTAAATTAAACTAAATAGAAACGACGGAATTTTACGAGGTCAACGAAATGGTGATCGCGTAACGATTTCGAATGGGACAAAAAAATATTGTAAATTTATTTGCTCTTCCGTCTCCGTATTGTAATATTATAGCGCGTTGGACGATTATTTTTATCCCGACAAAAATATTATGTAAAATATTTTTCGAATGACGGAAAATTAATTTAGTTCGGACATGTTAGACCTATACGGGAATAAAGTGTTGTTAAAACGGAAAAGATAAATTGTCCCGAGGGGAATCTACTGAATAATACATCCACCGGACCAAAAAAACGTTTAACCGCACTGGAAAAATAATTTTTTTTTTTAGTTTAGTTCTTTACGGAATACTTGTTTATCCCCGGTTATTGAAGTCCAACCATTTTTCTTACATAATACCCACGGTATTACACGTCATTATAACCTATATGAGGGCCATCTAAAAAATAGTGCTTTAAAACAAAACTTGTCTTTATAATTTATGTGTTTCGAATATTTAGATGTTTTTGTCTCAGTATAATAAATCAAAAACAATGACATTGTTATTCCTTCAAAACCATATAAAACATGTTTAAATACCTTTTTTGAGGTATTAAATTCAACGACGGACTTAAACATAAACTGTCTATATTTAGTTGAGAGGGCGCGATACACGCGTGTTTTCTCCGTCTTGCAAACGTATAAAATATGAAATTTGTGTTTAGAGAGGACGAAATTGTGCTGCAGTTAGTTTCAATATTAAAGTGAATCGATCTATTATCAAACTTAGATAAGTACATTATCTGTGCGATTTTGGTTTTATTTTCTTGATATTTTTATTTTTAAGAGAGAAATAAGTTTTGACTTTAATATTAATACTAAAAGCATAGAGTTGCCAAACTAAACGCAAATTTGCTGTGTCGTACGTCTGTAAGACGGAGACAGCACATGGGGTCATCACATCCTCTTAACGCCATAACAACAGCCACAACTTCACCATAAAATGCAATTCATAAACAGACTAATAGCCACTTATAATTAATAATATATTAAAGTGCTTGGCCCGTATATATCTTAAATAAATAAATAAATAAATACAATATTCACTAGATGACAGCACCAAAACCATTATTGCCTTGTAAAGTTATAGACATTGTTAAGATCAAGAAAGGACAAAAACATCTATATCTCAATATGATTATTTTAGATTTGATCGGTCATTGTTGCACTGAAAACTTCATTTTATCTCTATTATAAATTTGAAAAAAAAAATTTCAAAGTTTAACATATATTTAATGGTTTAGGAATTATTTAATAACACAACATGACGGTAATGATTTGACAATCTGGATTCCGGATTACATTGTAATATCCGGATTAGATATTTTTTAAACTGCGATTTTAGATATTTTGATTTTATAATAAAAAATCACTAATATGTTAACACTGTTTTTGATGAATACATGAATGCATTATTCAAAAAAACAAATTATCGCTGAAAAACGTGATTTAGTATAAAATATAGTTACCATACTACTTTAGTATAAAATATGGTTACTAAATAAAAATGGATAAATTTAAAATTTAATTTATAAAAAAAAAACCAACAAAAACCCGAATTATTATAAAATCAAAAATCCTGATTTATATACGGATTCGCTTTATTTCCATTATCGTAACGTTATTTAGTGATATTTATTTATAATTTATAGATGTCTACAGTTTTGAACTATTGTACTGGTTCGAGAATAATATATCCGATAATTACAATAATATTATTTTCTACTCACAGGTAACACCTGTACATGTAATAATTAGGTACACCTAACTTATCTAATCTTTATGTGTGCATTTCGATACATCCGATTAGATAAAACCGTATAAATCCACAGTTCGGCCGGTAACTTTTTACTGTCCTATTAATACTGTAGCTGGTCGATAATTACACACAAGATATTGATATTAATATTATTATAGATTCGTGTTTATGGTCAAAGGTCAATGACTCTGTTTTTTCTGTTCCACGTTCGTTTGACCGCGTCCGCGAAAATTAACAACGATTTTGTAAACATAAGCACCACCGGCCGAAAAAAATAAACCCCTTCATCAACCGGATGTAAGTGACTTATGATATTTATACTTAAGGGGATAATACACCGGCATTCGACGTCTCTTAGTAAGGGTAACGGTGTTATTTCGTAACTACTTACAAATAGTACTCGGGCTCCACGATACAGACTAGAAACGAAAATATTATTTCATTAAATTTAACCAAAGTTGAATTGTATTTACTGTGGTTTTGCTGGCAGGTAATAATATCCGATACTCGGATAATTTATCCGTGTCCGAAATTTAAACGAAAACCGAGCGTCTTTAAAAAAAAAAAAAACCCTCAGTGAAAATATTGCAGTAATTTTCATCCTTAATTTGGTAAAATAATAATTATTGTTTCAAGACTTTATTAAAATCCGAATACTGTTGGAAATAAGAAAACACATTTTCGCTATAAATCAAAAATAACTCCCGTGTATTCCTATCCAATAATTTGTCCGCCTATATAACAGTGGCAAACCCGCCTGCAGGTATCAGCCGGTTTTTATTTTTGTTAATATTTTAATCTCTATACAGTCTATACATTTAAATTATACATAACTATGCAGCGTATATAAATAAAATATAATTTATAACTATTAGTATAGGTGTACGTAGGTTATTTTTTTTTTTTTTTAAAGATGAGCTGTACGGATGAGTTTATGCTTGGCGTGACAACATATTTTCTATATTCCCGCGAGAGTTTTCAATTCCAACGTTTCCGACAACAGGAACCGTGCCAGTCGATTTAGATTTTTGTCCCATTTTTTTTTCTCGCCGACGAAGACATCGCGAGCGTTTTTTTTTCCCCCCGGATACGATTTAATCTGCATCTGGAAATAGCGGGAGGTAAAAACGTTATTGCCCGACGGCGAGAGAAGAGAGGGAAAAAAGGGCAACCCGTGTCAACAAATTACCGTCGCGTTAAAATCGGTCAGGAAGAAAAAAAAGAAACTGTTGGTGCGGATGGATACGACGGTATATAATATAAGAGACGAGGAGAAGGAAAAGGAGGAGGCTGAGGAACAAACACTTCCGGCTACCTCGCTATATTTAATAATAAAATATGGTTTTTTTTTCTTTTGCTTTCGACAAACACAACTATGTTTTTAGCCTCCGAGAAATATAATCAATATAACAGTTTCCGATATAACGATTTATATAATATGGGTACAGTACCGTATAATAGCCAAGTGTATCACGTATAAATATATATACCGGATTATTGTGTTGCATCCACTGACCGATTGTAAATTTCGGTAAAAGAAAAAAAAATACACCACGGGAAAAAATACGCGTTTTTCTCGACTGATCCCTTTTGGTCCCTTGACTTTGCGAACCCGGTATAATATTATGGACTTGCTGCAGGGGAACGGACTTTAAATCTCAAGTTGTTTTATACGTATATATATATACACTATGTCATTTTCTCGTGATTAATACCTATATATTTTATCCTTACGGCGTATTATATGCGCCACAAGCCCGGGATTTTGTAATGATATTTTTTTTTTAAAAAAAACTCCTCGTAAATCAGGATTAATCGTCGTAAAAACGGTTTACCGCGGGTTCTGTATTCCAAAAATATTTTACCAAGACACCAAAGTATATATAGTGATATTACGCTTTGATGCATTAATATTTAATAATATTATTTGTATTATATTATATTAAGCTATATTACAATTAAAAATTAATTTTCAACTTAACTTAGAAAGTATTGATAAAAAAAAAAAATTAAAAACTCGTATATATATAAAATGATTCGCGTAATAAACACTTCAAGAGTTAACTTTTATTTTGCATTTTCCGTTTTAATTTTTCAGAAACATTTTTCGGTTATTTTGTTAGTTTTAAGTGCGTGTTCGTATAATAATATCAATTAATAATTTAAAGTTGTGTAATACGAATTATTTTCTCTAGAAATTTGCTTTAACAAGTTATGGGTGTTATCTAATTTAACGTCTGTAATGCATTACCCGATTCAAATTAATACAGCAACGTCAAATGTTTTTTTTTCCGTTTTAAAGTATTTTTCTTAGCATTTTCGAATCATTTTTAAAGGGTATTATTTCGTCGAAAGTTAATATGTATGTTAGAGGATTCAGATATAATAGATACAATGAAAAGTAAAAGGATAGGTTAGGCAGGTCAGGTATGGCGAAGTAGAGAACAGACAATCGGTCAAGTTACCTGCAGCTGGAAGCCGAAGATCAAAAGACCGCTCGGTCGTCCAAGACATTAAGATAGATAAGACAGACTTGGCTGTGTTGAGAATCCTGAACGGCGAAGAGTTAGGCATGGATAGAGACAGATATGGCAGAGAAGTGATGGTCCCGGCAAAGGACCAGAACGGTCTGTATCAATCCTAAAAAAAAATAATGCGGCCAAAAACACGTCTAGGCATTTAGATTCGGGTTCCAGTTTAATAATATTGACGAATACGCCGTCGCCGTAAATGTACACTCGGTTTCGAGTAGCGGAGATTAAACGACAACAAAAAAAAAAAAACACGGACGCGGACGCGAGAAAATATGAATATTGTTATTATTATTATTATCGGTATGATATTTTTCACCCTAAATTTAAACAGCCCGATCGCGTGTCTCCCGCGGGATTACGCAGTCAGTCTGCGGTGATAACGAAGACGCGCGTAAGTCCGACGCTTAGCGGTAGCGGTTACAGTGGTAACGCGGTGACGGTATAGCGTGTCCCGGAGTCTTAATGAAGGCGCGTTTTAATTGCTGATTTTTATCGGCGGAACAATCGCGCGTGTATATAAACGGGGTGAATCCCGCGCGCAACCCTTTCACGCGTAGTTTAATAAAACGGGGGGAAAACGGCGGAAAAAAAAATAAATATAAAGTCAACCCTTTAGGTGTATACACAACTATGTCGGCGTAGAAATGCACGAACATTTACACAGACGTTGTAATAATAATAATAATAATAATACGATTGTACAGTGTGTCGCCGTCGCCTTGTCGTGCGCGTATACGCCTGCAGATACTATTGTAACGCGAGCGTTTCCAGGCCATTTAACCCGCGTGATATTTTAATTTTCACACGATACGTCGCGGCAGCGTTTTTGCGGTTACCGCCGCGGTAAAAAAACAGAAAAAAAAAACTGAGCGTCGGCTGCAAAATGCTCTCCACCCCGCACAGGTGCGTTTCTGTGGGAGGAGGAGGACGGGGCGGGTGCCTTGTGCGGGTTAAATTTTTATCTCACAAAATATCCGTTATCTGTTTTAATCCTTTGCATAATTCTCGAGTCATAAATTCGATATTTTTTTTACCGAATATTTTAATATACGAGGGCCAATCGAAAAGTATCGAGACCGAGCGTTGAAGAGCAAAAGGATTTGTAATCCTGGCTTCTATGAATTTTTCCGAGTTCTTCTTCTTCTACCCGGTAGAATCGACCTAAAGACGCCCTTGCCCCGACAGCAGCTGTAACACGTTCCAGTTGTTGTCCGACTGTAAATTTTACATAACGTTTTAACATCACGACCACGGGCGTATGGCGTACATGGCGTACATGGCGTATGGCTTTCGGATGATATATTATAATACTGTATAATCGGATCCGACCGAAGTCTCGGCCTGCTCGACAAAAACTTTTGGGTGGAACACGGGAAATACTTCGCAATGTACCGTAATGAAGTTTCAACAACCCCGAAGAATAGGTTAGGTATCTCGGACATACAGTATGATCACATTTAGACCCTCAAAAACGGATATATAATGATCATCCGTAAAGCTGGAATTTAAATGCATTGTTTTCCAAAGCTCACTGTGGGATGTTCGTTTTGTTAGAAATTCGTTTCATGCATATTTTCGGATAAGAATAAGATATTTTGTATTTTTAATTAGTCATTTTTTATAGTTTTTGCACAATTTTCAATTTTTTTTTTAAAATTAAAAAACAATCATCGACGAAGATAATACATCGATATTTTTTGTTTTAATTCATTTCCGCGGGTTATTATAGATACACGTGAAAAAAACCATGACTAATATTTATCTAGCCTACACGTAAACCGAGATCTGCTCAGAATCGGTATTAGATTACGGCTATTCATTAGTGTATAAAGTATCTGAACTAAAATACCTCCATATCCTTTGTGTCACCGACTTCCCGCCAATCACCAGTCAATACAAAATACAAAAAATTGTAAACAGTTCGGGAAAACATTTTTTAATTATATGAAGTTATTTCATTGGCAGTGCGAATTCGTTAACGTTTTAGTCTCAGAAAGTCGTTGTGTGAACAAATCAGTGTCCTAACGTCCATTCACGCGTTGTCAAGAGATATGCATACATATTTAACGCGAGAAGGCCGCATTTCGTTTTAAATCTATCTTGATGTTATAATTGCACAGATCGCGTCTCTCTCTCTCTATATATATATATAAAAAAGGGGGCGAAATACAAATTCAGGTGGCCGAAACTATGAAATTGATAACGTTCGATACATGGTTCACGTGCACTGATAGCGCGGTGAACACGTCAGATTTTCAACGTCGTTCAAACTAAAATATCGCGTGTTTTACTAACCATTTGCGGCCTTTTTGACGCGCTCAATCAAGCCCGGAGTGAAACATTTAGAAGCCCCGGGGACGAATCAATGCGTCTTAGCAAAAAGAAAAATAATACACGGTATGGACATCGTATGGATCTCAGTTCAAAAGCCGCAATAGTATTATTTGAATAAATAAATACGTTAATCTAACAGCGTCACTATACACAGTTTAATAATAGTCTGTACCGTAAAGAACAATACGAATAAGTGATCGTCGGGCGACGGAGAAATGTCAACGTTAACGGTTAGATCGCACGCGTAAAAAACATACGTATAGTGGCGAAAACTGCGAAGCTCCGCGAATTCAGCGGCCCGGGGGCCGCGGCTCTCTCCCTAGACCCGCGCCCCATAATCCGGGTACGGCCACTATATCGCGAAACAATAAACGGGCAAACGAAATAATAATAACGCCCCTATTGTTACGCGCGGACGAAATCGTCATAAACATCGCGTTTAAAACCGTCGATGACCGTCGATATTACCGCCCGAGCTTAAGCCTTTAAAGTCGATCGCGACGGTTTAATCGTTATAACGCCGCCGCGGCGGCTTTTGTATGCGACGCGCGCGCGCGTGTGTATGTAGCCGCCGACGCACGGAAAAACCAAAAAAAAAAAAAAACCGACATATCATTAAAACAATCGCGCGCGCGTAATAATGTGCCCATAATGCCGGGCGTTCGGGCATCGAAAACGATTATTGTCGAAACGGCAAACCTGCAGCAGCGCAAATACAATACGCATACCTGTGTATACATAACGTGCATTGTGGAACCGTCGTCGTGCGAGCGCGCACGCATTCCGGCTGTACGCGCGCGGCCGGGGGGGATTACAACGTAACGGCAACAATACGGCCGGACAGATATTAATAAAAAAAAACACACACTCCGGCGATACACCCGTACGGTATTATTGCGCGGCGGGGCCGATAATGAGTTCAAAAAGCATCATCCCCTCGACGGACGCGCCACTCGACTGTTATTATACTAATGCCAACGTATAAATTGTAATAATAACATTCCAGGTACACGCGCGTAGACGGTACCTGCAGCATCGGCCGTACGTCGCCCCCCCCCGAGCCGCCGCGTACCGCACAGCCGTGAGATTTAACAACAAAATGAATATCCGCAGGATTATAACAATAATAATATTTATCCGCCGTGCAGCTTTTGCAGCGTCCCCGCTGCCGAGCTGCAACAGCTGCAACGCACCCGGGGTACTCGGCAGTACCTACCTACCAATATATAGTCTACCTATATAATATTATTACCAATATAAATCACCAGATATTATTATATACGGTGTATATAAAAACTAGAATTATTATATTGTTTTCGACCGTGTACATCATTTCCCGATAAACCCGTGTAGGCCCGACATAAACGACCTGCTGCACGGCCCGGCCGGCGACGGTAATAAAGTGTATTATATACAGAAGCGTGTGGCGCTCGTGTTTTCCGGCGGCGTTCGCGGAACACGTCCGCCGATGGACGGAGGGTTTTTCGGCTGAACTTTTCGAAAATTGAGATTGAAATTCAAGGGTTCGGTGGACAAAATGAAATTTCGATAGTTTCTCAGATAAAATAAAGGGCGAAGCATGTTTGGACCCGGAACGTTTGCGCAAATAAACTGCGACCCGTTTGCACCAATACTTTTGAATTTCTATAAAGGCTCGCTAAATAAACGTTCGGTTAAATTAATATAGGTAAAATTCTGGTCCAAACGGGCTGTATAAAAATAGTATTTTTTAGCCCAAACGGGTCTTTAAAATTGGTCCAAACGGGTCCTGCTCAGAATAAAGCGATAAACGCCATGCACGCGAAGTTAACCGTCCTATATACGTTGACATTAAAAATTCATATATTACCGTAGTTCGGTAAGTCATTTGTAAGTATTCGCAAGTACAAAATCAAAATTTCTAAGCGCAAACGACATTGGTTATTCATAAAATATTAAAGCAAGGTCAATTTATCGATTTCGCTACATAATTTTGTGCAACAACAATATGCAATTTTGTCTACTAGATGCGGAAACAATAGTAATTAGGATTCGATTGGTTCGAACCTTCAGCACTTATAGCGGCTCCCTCTGAACCAAACAAGCTCATATTAGGCGATTAGAATACTGTTTTACAGGTGGATTAAAATTTTAAACATTTTGATGAATAACCATATAAATTTCGCCATGTTTTTGCGAGGAGCCGGGTGATTTTTAGCTTTGTACACAGCTATACACTCACCAATGTTAAAATTGAAAATATTTCGGAAATACATAACTCAAAAAAGATATATGTATCAAAAATTCAAAATACAAAAAATTTGACGTGTTCAAAACAACAATAAAACATTGCGATAAACAACCGCGATTTTGAATGTGAAAAACTAGTGTACGACCACCATCGAATTCATTTATATTCTTAAACATACCTGCAAGATAACCCAGAAATCAATAAGTCCGAAATTCGAGTGGCATGCATCTAGAATTTGTTCAAATTTTTGTGTCGGTTTTTAGATTTAGATTCTTAAAAAAACTGTTAGGAATTATTGGAAACATGTTTCAAATAAAGTGCCGTAGCGCCGAGATAAGAATCCGCCGTTTTTTTTTTTTAAAGTTAGTTATGGTTTTAGAGCGTTTTTGCTATAACCGAAAAACTGCGTTGACAGACATTCTCGGTTTGCTAAGAACCTAAAAAAAATGTCTGTGGGCTCGGCCCAACCAAAATTACCAGTTCCTATATTTTACCTCATTTTTACATTAATATAAACAATTTTATCGTAGTATTCATTGTTTCATTATTTCGTAATTTTACTTTAAAACATCAATATGTGAATATACATGCATTACATTAAAAATTAAATGTATTATTGTATTGCGTTAGTGACAATATGATTTGTGAACCAGACCTAACATTAAACCTTCTTTTTTTTATTAGACACATTTAAAAGACGACGCTTGGTGTTAGTGGCCAGTTTTAATATTTGACATTAGGAGGTATTGGTTTGTACCTGGGGCTCGTGACTTCTTTCCGCGACTTTATTATTGAATTTACACCATCAGTTTCAAAGAAACAGAAAATCCGCCGACCCCGACGGAGTGAGGCCCCGGTTAGTTTCGCGCGTTATTATTATATTTTTTTTTTTTTTCGCGCGCGACGTATTATTTTCAAAACGTGCCTACCTACGCGTACCTATACAATACGGACGCGGACGGTCCGGGCCCGAAACGTCATTGTATACGTATAACGTATTGTGCCGTGTCCCCCCCCCCCCCCCCCGCCCCTGACGACGTACGTAACCGATATAAACGTTCTTACCGAGTCCTTGCCCCTGCGCTCCGGTACATCACCGCCGCATCACGCGGTTTCTACGTTCGGCGGCGCCCCTCGCGAAGAGACCGCAGCCGATCGGTCGCGATACGCGCTCGGCCGTCCGCACAATAATACCTACTCGCGCGCGCGATACCCGCGTCCGTAAAATATATAATAATAAACTCGGAACATAATAATAATGCAACGGGACGGACGTTATAAATGTGTGCACGCGCGTGTGTGTATGCGTATACGGCACAATGCCGCGAGTATTATTATATTATAAAACGCGAACGTCCCGGGCATTGTGCGCGTCGCCGACACCTTTTGAAACCCGACTCGGAGGGTGACGCGCCCCGTATTGAAGAGCCGAGTCGTCGTCGTCGTCGTACACGTTATAAATCATTACTCGTATGCGACGGCGGCGATCGGACACGGTGCACCGGGACGGCGATAACGCGACGGGACCGCGTGCGTACGAAACCAGCGCCTAAAATAGTGCGTCTCCCGTAAATCAAAACGTGTCCTCCGAATCGCAAACGTGCGCACCGAGTTTTAGAACGCGTGTACATTAGGTTCAGTACGGTGTACGTGACGGTAAAGCCGGTAATAACCGATCGACTAATGATCTCACTCCAACCAATATACGCTATGAATTTTAAATCGTTGGGAATTTTATTTATGTATAAAGAGCCCTTTACCGGATTTCAATTTTGGCTACGGACATCTATCAATTCTATCAATTGAATTAAAAAGCGCGTTCCCAGAATTCGGGTATATTTGAATGTTTTATTATTTTTTTTTTATTTTTCGCTTATGCGTTCGATATAGTTGCGCGGGTTGCCCCATGTAAATTGCACCGATTGCGACTTTTTTTCATGTAAATTCCACCGGTACGTTTTACTACCTGAAAAAAAAAATTGTGTGAATTCCACCGGTTAGGGAAAAGTGGGAATGAGTCAGTTGAAACAAATACAAATTAAATTCATTTTATAAAAGTGTATAAAATCAATAATGATGTAACGATAGAATATAATAAATACAAATAATGATAAAAATATAATTGCTTAGGTAAAATTTAAAATTTAAATTGATAATGATCAGAATTATAACGAAAACGATTATGTTTTATTACGAGACAAGTCGTTAAATGAATTTTAGACCGCGGAAATTCGACAAATTTGATTGAAATTCAAAAAATTCCAGATATATTTGCAGTAAGGCGGGGGTATTTTTTGACCAGGGTGGGTGGGTGTGCGGGTGGAAAATGTCTATCGGTGATCCGAGGTAAAAATACTCCGGGTCGCTATTATTTTCGCGCTGCCGGTCCGGTCCGGCCCCGTTCCCAACTGGAGGCGGACGGCCGTTCGCGTCGGCCGCGACCTCGGGCCGGCCAAACCCGAACACACGCAACTGGTCTCCCGCGGCCGGCGTTCCGGCGGGGACGCTCGCTCCGCGCGCCGGGCGTCACGTACAGGCACGCGGGAGAGCCGGCCCCGTACGTGACGCGCCCCTCACGGCCGTCGCAGGTGCTGTAAACTGCGGGCCGCAGTATGCGTTACGGTATTATTACCGTCGTGACTGCCGCCGCCGCGCCCCCGTCGATCCCTGTATTCGTATCATATCGTTTCCCGATACGGATATATTGTAATTCAAATCTCGTATCGGTTTCTGTCTCCCCGCGTGTCGCGCGCGCGTATTATTATTGTTATTATTGTTGTTGTTGCATGCGTACCCGCGGACCCGGACGAGCGACGGGGCGGGTGACGTATTTCGTCGACCGTACGTAATATTATTGTGCGGCCGTACGGCGTTTACGGCAATACCGTACTGGTTTTCGAAAACGTGAAGCGAAAAAAAATAATAATAATAATATACACGTACGCGGAATAATATACAGACCGCCGGTCCCCATAAACCACCGACGAACGACTCCGAGTCCGGGAAGGTGTGGGGGGGGGGAGTGGTCTGAATATCGTCTTGACGCCGATATTGTCGGTTTTGTTATTACTCGTGTGTGTGTGTGTGTGTGTGTGTGTGTGTGTGTATGTGTATACGCACACGCCGGCTGTAAAAACGTATACAGTGTTATGGCGTTATTGTCGTTATTATTATTGTTACACCGAGCGCGTAAAACAACGTCGCCGCGATATTATTAGCGTGACCTACGGGGCCGTTACGATAATACTTGTGCATTATTATTGTATAGCGACATCGAAACGACGTTTGTTCGGCTCGTATCAAATATAGATTTGAAAATATTTACACACTGGGTGGGTGTTCGGTGACTGTATAATGGGGAATATTAGGCGCAGGAACGGCACTGGTGCGGGGAAAGGCGATAAAATATCATCCATCTCGAGTACGAATTCGTTGAAAAAATTAATTTTTTAATTACATTTTTTTTTTTTAGTGACTGGTCAAATGGGGTGGGGGGAGGATAAGGAAGATTAATATCCCCGTAGTAGATTTTTCCCTTCGATGTGTATACTGATATATCGTGTACATTATGTAACAATATATCGTCTATACGTGTATATATAAGAAAAAACAAAACAATTTTAACGAATCGTTAAAAACGTCGACACCTACACGACAAAATTATTTGACCGCCACTGCCGACCGACCAATAGAAAACATTTCTACGGGGCCCATTGATATATGTACGTTAATGTCTATATGAACAGTAAAACGTCTACGGCGATAAAGGCGCACTCTCGGTTTATTGATAACGATAGTGACGTGTTTTGTATTATTGTAATATAGTTCCTAACCGCGAGCTGAAGTAACGGCCCTATTTCTCTTTTGTTTTCCGGTCCTTTTGTAAATGCGTTCGTCGACTGAAAATAATAACGATGAAAAACGCACGATAATACGATAGCGCATCATCTATAAAAACAAATTAAAACGACTTTATCTGGCTGTTTGCAGCGCGCTTTCGGTTTGTATTTACGTACGTATATATAGGTATATATAGGTGTACAGTTATTTTTTATAATTTTCAATTTCCCACACAGCTAACGAATATAATAATATAACGGCGGCGGTAAAAAGGGTGAAATTGAACTTATCTGTATCCGTTTATACGTTTTAATTTAAAAATGAACGCGAAAAAAGTCACGGCGTTGATGATGATGATAATAATAATAAAAGAAAAAATAAATATTTTTTTATTATTTACTTTTATTTTTTTTTTTTTTTTTTTTTTTTTTTTTTTTTTTTTTTTGTCCAACCTATACAAATAATAACGATAATATTCTATCCCCCGATAAAACCCCGCGTATATACAATATAAATACCGCGCGGCGTAGACAGGCCGCGGCGATCGGGTCTGAGGTGGCGAACGGGGACGCGGGGGTACCGGGTTGTATCTAATTTGAAAATGAAAACGTAGCGCATAATCCTCGGTGACCGATACGGGCGAGTTTAATTCGTATTTAGGCCCCCCGATAGAGGGTGTTAATAGAGAGGTCGTTATCTGTTGTACGGTCCTTTTCCTCTTGCCGCCGCCGCCGCCGTCCGGAACTCCCGGACCTCCGCCGCCGTCACCACCATCGCCCGCCTGCTCTATCCCGCGTTTGTTGACAATGCCCCCGGACTTCTCGCTGTAACCGTTAGATAACGCGCCGCGGGGACCGGGCAAAGCCAGACTGCGCTAATTATACACCACCTCCGGCCGTCCTACGCTTCGGTCCGCGGCGGCGGCGGGCTCCGGACCGCATCCCGCCGCCGATATCCTCGGCCGTTTAACGCGTCCTCCGCGCCCGCTCCTTTTACTCGTGCCTTCCACGCCACCTCCCGTTCCCCCGGACCGCTTCGGCGATCCGATTATAATATACGTATATACGCGTTATAATATCATAATATATGACTGTATTATTATGATTATTATTATTATTGGGTGTATATACGGCCACCGCACTCCCTATAACTCTCATTAAGTCGCTCCGCTAACTTACTATACATAAAATACCCACTATATATATATATATATATATATATATATATACATATTATAATATGTATATGTACGTTAAGTACGAGTTAAGATCGGACCGGAGAGATTGTGCGCAAGCCAGAAAGACGCGCGTTTATGTGACATTAAAATCTGCGCGCGACGAGATAACTTCACGGTTCGCGTATACGTTTCGGTTTACAATAGACACGCGCGCGCACCCGCGCTATCACTGCAGCAGTGTTATTATTATTATTATTATTATTATTATTATACTACATACACCGCACTATTCGTGCGCGGCGTTTGAACGATTTTACGCTTACAGCCGTGAAAATACGTGTTTAGACGGTATAATGTTATAAAACGATTCTATTCGGATATTGTACATAATTATAGTGGGACATCGTTATACCGGAGAACGACGCGTTGTTCCGTACGAAATCGTAGTACTGCGCGAACGAGAACATTCGTATATTGTTCCCGAGACGTATCGGCGATTATTACGATTTTCGTCGAAATTCGAGTTTAAAACACGATCGTGTAGAAAACAAAAAAATTAACTGCTACTACATTACGACTTACACGATGAACCTCGTGTGGAATTTTCGAACATTTATGCGCGGCCACTAAAACTGCGTACGCATAAAATCTAAACGAAAAACTCGAAAGTGTCAAATACCTTGAAATTTTAATAATTTAAACATTTTGCCGTACGTCTAGAAAATATTAATGCATAAGTATGTTGTGAACATTTCAAGCCTGTACGATTTTTTCGAACCTAATTTACATTAAAAAAAAAAAAAAATTGAAAATAATCAAATCGCTTTTGCCGAAAATTTTTCTAACTTTTTATTTTGGATTTCTTTGATTATTAAGAAAACTACAAAAGAAATTTTGAAAAAAAAATGACGGTTTTTTATGTGCCAACTACACATAAGACTATAGATTCGCGTTTGAAAAAAGACGCTACACTTGAAAATCGGAGCAAGATTTCCGGTAGAAAAGTTGTTCCACAGCAACGATTTATCGTTACCTACAGATAAATAAATAAAATAACTCTTATTTAACGCTATATCCTCAACTATTCCCATCTTCAAAAAATCGCACGCATGTTTATCAGCAGTATCAGACCTTTTTTTTATATTTTGTATATCGGTCATACCGATTGACAACATTTGACAACTTGCCAATATCCTTCCCATTTTTTTTTTAGAGATGAAGCTAAATATTATTGATTTACTTTGTTGATTTTTTCACGTTCCACACTTTCCCTTCAGATATTTTTATTGTTATTTTTTTTTTTTGGAAAGTAAAATTGTTCATATTTCATGTTGTCCGAATTTATTTTTCTTCTTATTACGACACGACCGACCGGAGACTTACAACAAACGCACCTACATGCGCGTGAAATAATCTAATAATTTATTATCTTCGAAACCGGCAAACACTTTCCGGCTTATGCCGACTGTTATTACAAAGCCCAACACCAATGCTTATAAATATTGACACAGCCGTGTTATACGACTGCAGCGGGTATACCTAACCTTTTTAGTCGACGTTACGGCCTATGCGTTAGATTATCCGACAAGAACAGACAAGATTATATACGGTGGTTAGAATAACTCGTTTTTAACAATTTGAATATAAAATACGATGTTCTTCGCGTCATAAATCAGAATACGTGAGTATTTTAAACACACCTAATATATAAAATCAAATCTATGTAAAATAATTAATTATTAACTATTGGATAATATTTTCGTATATACGTTGATACACTACTGCACATAGTGTTTAGTAAAAAAGGTTTATGAACTAATATTATCAGAACAACAATTTAACTAAAAAATTCCTAATATATTTTAAATTTTATTAGAATACATAATTTAAATATTGAATAAAAACGCTATTTGGTATTCATCGCAAAATTAAAATTTATATCGAATAGAGTACATCACAAGTCGAATTCAAAATAACTAAACAGAAAAACATTCCAGTTGCGAATATAAGGGTCTTAACAACGTTCAAGTTGATTTTTAAACGGAGTTTTACGGGATAACCGACCGTTCGGCTATCAACTATTTATTTATTTATGATTTAAAGGGGCGTACCCAATAATTACAATAAGTATATCATATTATAAATTCGGTTTAAAAATCAGGTAAACATCTACGTTTATATCGGTGAAATTATAGGTAACCCTAAGTATAGGGTTTAATACATTTAGTTTAAGTTCTCCCAACAATTCTAACGATAATATATATCCACGAATTGTTATAGTGATAAAAAGTTTTTAATAATAGTAACGTGTGATTGAACTAATAATTATGGTGTATTATTTCCTCGCATACCTACATTATGTTTTTACCAATTGTTTTTTTCAAGTGAAAATCTTTTTTTCTTTTTATAATGCAAATACAATATTTATATTATGATAACGTGCGTACTGTATAATAAGCGAGACTAGCAATATTTGACTTTAATTTTTTAGTTTACACGACTATATTATAATATATTAATATATTATAGTAGATGTTAAGCTCAACGGAGTTTTACCTCATATTTCTTCCGAAAATTATGCGAACATGTTTATTCAAAAATTAATGCAAATCTAAATCTTCAAAATATAATAATGCGTTGTTCCGACAAGTTGGAATTTCTAATGAATATGTATACGTTAAGCGTGTGGCATTAAGAACGTGGATGTGCGGGTCATGCCCAGGGAATTATAAAATTTAGTTTATCGGCAAGTTTGCGGCCGTCAGGTTCGAATTCCCACAAAGTGAAGGACCCTCCTCATCTTAATGTCTTATGGTATTATTATAGAGGACAGTGAACGAGGCACTTCAATTAAGGACGTCTCGCACCCTCTTGAACTTACCTACCTAGGGCCATGGCGTTAGCGAGATGAAGGGAAAAGAGGGGTGTGCATTGACTAAATACTGTCTTGGGAAGCTCAACGACAGAGTAGTGTGAAGTTTTCTTCGGGTCTAGGGATTATTCAAAGTACAAAATCGTGTCTGGTCATCCAACTTCTTGGCAAGTTTTATCCCCCTCTCTACCAAAATATTCCTCAACTCGGCTGTATAATAAGCTCTCCGTCTTATAACTTGTACGCGCAACGGCATTGTTTTTACTAAATATATAATAATGACAATAAAATACGTTTGAAATTATCAACAAAATAAATATTTCGATTCTGCGGAAATGGTTAGGTATTTTTATTATAAAACAGTGGATGATTTTGAATGATAAAAAAAACTTCACATAAATTGTTTTGCTATAGTAAGAGACTACGAGTATTCAAAATCTAAAGTGTCTCAGTAAACACAGTTTCATTGCTCCGGAAGCGTTTGTGGGTTCCCAGAGAAATTAGTTTTGCCGCAAATCCCACAGATTTAAACCACAAGTGACCCGACGTTGTCTCATATCCCAAAACATTCTCAGTTTATTTGAAATCTAAGTATATAATTTATGAAACTAATTTTATTGTTCCACCATGACTTGATAATAAATTATTTTTACTTAATCAATATAGTTTCATCCACGTACAAGTTATAACCATTGCGGGGTTTAATTATGTTTAGTATAATAAACCGTGTAGGATAGTGCTTTAACACGATTATACGCTTCTGGTAAATATCTTAAAGAACAATATGAAATAATAATAATATACAAATTCGACCATAATATATAGATAATTTTAAACTGTACCGTGATTTAAATACAATTTTAGTTGTGATCGACGAGTATAACAATTTATGTATAATACGTGGACTTTAATTAACATTTACTTATGCCAGGAAAAAACCCATCCTACACCGAATAACTTACCGAATGATAATTAAATTATTGCTGAAGTTTTATTTACGAAAGGTACAAAAAATCCCAATGATATTTTTATATTAAAAAAATTAAATATTTTAAGCTAACTATCCGGAAAATGTTTTCATTTTAACCGTTTACCGTCCGGACATGCCAATGTTCCCCTGTTATCCGTCGGTTGTTTACCAGGTCGTGAATCCACATGAGATGTGAGCATTATATAAAGGGATGGAAAGGGGTTTTAGCCAAGGATGAGTAATTAAGCTGAGCATTAGGGGTGGTGGAACGAGAGGGTATACACACGTATCCCATACGAGAAAGGGTTAAAATATGGATGAGAGGGAGAGTGTAAGAGGAAAAAAACTAAAAAAAAAACACATATAACAATATTAAAAGCTTCAATTATACATTATGGGAAAAAAAACATTTTGGGTTGGATATACACCGTGCCTTGAATATGAATCTTTTCGTGCATGATTTATTCCGGTGAGGTGCAGTGTCATTCAAGATACAGTTTTATGTAAATCCTGGTTAAACGGGGAAAAAAATTAAAATAATATCAAAAATAAATAATACCTACCTACCCTTTTTTTTTTTTTTTTTTTTACAACTGATTGTAGTTTAAAGTGTATACAGGGTTTAGTTTTTTAGAATACAACTGGCCGTTCTCAGTTTCGGGGATTATAAATATCAGCGAAATCTCATGGATTATAAAAAGAGAACATTGTATTTTTTCTCTGCTTAATGTAAAGGGTGTGCTTTATGGCCGAAAAAAAATATTTTAATGTTCACATGCTTTGTTTATTTCTTCTATTCAATAATAAAGGTTATTTTTATTTTTACTTGGAAACAGTTCCATTTCGCAATATATAGCGATATAATATAATATATATTAAATGTTAACATTAGGTATAATTATAATTCACTTTAGATTAGAACTACACCTCCAATATAAGTCAAACTTATAGGAGTTGTGAATTTATTTGCAATTGTATAAATTTACCTGCAAATAATCTTGCTATGAACCAATCTATCTATTTAATATATGTATATATATATATAAATTATATATAAAATTATATTTATATTCGTACTTCGCGTTGGTATAGAATTTTTTGTTGAGAAACGCATACTAGTTTGTTTCCAATAAACAAATGTTACGAGAAACTTAATTAATTACCAATTTTTAAATTTAGAATTTTTACTTTGTCGTCTATTATATTTGTTACCTTACAAATAATGCATAAAACACCAATAGACTGTTTTTGTAATTTTTGATTTCCAGGCAAATATTTGTTGCTCTAAAGGTCTTTTTTCAGACTTTTTGTAGCTTGGAGTCCGAATATCTCAACCGTTCCCGATCTTCTAAATCCTCAACTTTTGCTCCTTCAATTATTAATCGTTTAAGTTTTTTATCGTGTTCTTCCGTTTTTTGATTACTTTTCTTATACTGTACAGAGTGTATTTGTGTTTTTCTGCGGCCAATCGATAGTAAATTTTCCGCATGCCAATCTCGTTGGCCCGTTAACGACGACACGACCGCGCGTCGTCATCCGATACTCGTCACCGGTTTACGTTCTCGTTTCCGTCCTCTTCGCCACTTCCCTACCCACGTCCCCTCCACCACTGAATCCCGTGCCGTTCTCGTCCGCTCGCCCGTCGCCGTATATACAAGGTAATCTCTCCCCGGTACAATATAATAATAATAATAATAATAATATCCGAATCGCGAAATCTTTATTTACGGCGGCGCTTCGGAAGACCTACAAACGTATACGATTGCACGCGCCGCCGGTCGAATCACAGGGTTTCGCGCACACGTCACGGGCGTTAAGTCTCCGCGAGCATTCGTCATCCCCGGAGCGGAGCTGCGGCGCGGGAAACCGCGATAATCGTTTCTATGAATAAATTAAAACGGCCGCAATCCGCGCCCGCGCCCGCGTATTATTGCCCGGGATATTATAATAATATTGTTACTGTACGAGCGGTCGCGCGGGGGGTGGGGCGGAGGGCGGCGAAAGACGGACGGGTAATCGTCCGCGGGGGAAAACCGAGACAGACCGTATTACCTACGTTCTTCTTCTGCCGGCCCGTGCGGCACACCCGATCGCGTTTCCTCGCTGCCGCCGTATCGCGTTTATAAACGACCCCCCTCCCCACCGACCCCCCCCTAGGGTGTTCGCGGGCGGCGGCGGCGGTAACCGCAGATCATGTATTATTAATGACGTCTTTTGGCGGAAGGACGAACGGACGGTGACGGGGGCCGCGGTTTTCGGAATAAGTCACTGCCGCCGCGCGCGTCCCTCGTCGCGCGCGGATTACGCCGTGTACGCGAATACGTATACTTATATATACATACAGTTTCGCACGTCCGTCCGCGACGGTTTCTATGAAAAATGCTCGTCTCGACCCTTCTTATATATATATACACACGCGCGTATAGGAGTGCGATATAATAATAATATAAATAAACGCATTATTTGCGGAACCCCGATCCGGCAGTGGGGGGGGGAGGAAAAAAATAGTAAACGTGATAAACAGGATAATAATATAGAAAAATCGCAGGAATATAAATGGGGATTAACCTGCCGCCGTCGCCGGAAGGGACGAGTTCTCAGCGTGTTTTTTTTTTTTTTTTTTTTTGTATATAAAACGGTCGGTTTTTTTTCTTTTCGAGTATCCGCCGACGCATAGACGTATGGAATACATCCATTTTCGTTTTAAACACATTCATTATTCTTTCTCTTTCCGCGGATGCGCTGAAAATCCGTACCTTTAAAGCAGCGACACGATACGCGTATAACATTTGATTTTAACATAACAGTAAAATTTCCGTACAACGGTCACCGAAGGGACCGGAAATAATGGCCGCTATTTAGAAGCGACCGTCCTTTAAAGTTTTCATATAGAGGAATGACACTTGACGGGACCAAAAAAAATGTCCGTCACACAAAAGTGACCGTTAACGGAAGTTTTACTGTATTATAATATAGTTTATGAAATTTTATTAAAATAAAAAACTTGTAGAATTTCAGAATATTTCCAAAAAGAACCTACGATTTATATGCATAGTCTTAAATTTTCAGAAAACCAAAATTTATATTTTCCGATATAATGACTCCCCCGTACATTGTTAATATAGTTGGTACCTGTATTGAAAATAATAATTCATAAACTTATCCTCGAATTAACGCCACTTGTTTGGAATTCACATTTTTTTAAATGTATTATTACAATAATTCATAACCGTTCAGTGGTAATATTTTATTTGTAATGTCGAAAGTTATAACAAATGCGTATGACACAAAAAGAAAATACTGAATAAATTAACCTTATCGCTTTTTTTAAATTACCCACGTTCGATTTTTCTCGAATTATTCTTAATCTTTTTCCCAACACCTTTAATAGTGACTCACTTTAGACCACATATGCTCAAACTCGGAAATTAAAGTTTTTTTTTTTTATTAATAGACTGAAGTAATAATATTTTATTTGCTTTTCAATACGAATTTCAACATGTTGTTGCGGGAGATAGATGTTTTTTTAAACTTTATACACCCTTACAGACTCCACAATGAAGCCATGGAGACGAAATTTTGTATACGCATGGTGTAAGAACTACTGATGTACATTTTGGTGGCAGTAACGGATTTAGAAGAGAGGGGCGATGGGGCGATTGCCTCACCCCGTTCAATTTTCCTATACACTCTTAACTTGATTCATCATTGAGCTCGTCATAAATGCGTGACTTATAAGTGTTTTTAAAATCGACTCCCCCGTTATCTTGTTCTGGATCCTCCCCTGTTTGGTGGTTCCAATTTTCAACCCAATACTCACCGATTAATAATGTTCAGATTTCATATTTTCACAAAAAATACCGGGTTTAAATAACCTTACAGTAAGCAACCTGATTAAAATATGTATATATAAATGTAATTGTTGTTCGGCGTTATGCAGTTAGAAGATTTGAACGTCAAACCCCCAGTCACAACTCTTTGTTTTCATGAAAAACTGGAGTACTACTATTCCTATTTTGATAAATCTTTTTGTGAAAAAAAAAGTCATGACATTTTGAAACGGGAATGAGTCAACAGTGATGGAAAATTCGACTGTGTTTTGCTGTGACTGCTCATGCTCATGTGTTATAAATAATACAACCGTGGAAATAGTATTATTTCTGAACGTTTAACCCTGCGCGATTATTGTTAAATTTTACAATCAATAAAAATGTTGTTTACGAGATACGAATATTATGTAACAAAACGAAACGCCATCATGATTTACATCGCGTCCGGTTTCCGGTTTTCCGCCGGACGTGCGAATTTTTATGTACGTGTGTGTTCATGTGTGTGTGTGTGTGTGTGTGTGTGTGCTGGGGTATCGCCACCTGAATCACAGCTCATAAATCAGCGGTCGGAACAAAGCTCGATTATTGTCAACGGAGAAATCCCCGGACAACAAGGAGGGGTCATGCAAATTTGGCAACAGTAACCGAGACTGTGCCGTGTGTATATAGCACTTCCGTGTGCAGTGTACGCAGATAACGTTCCCGGACACGCACATAAACCCGCGAAAATTAATACATTTAAACTTTCGAGAGAGGGACGAAAGCCCATAAAAAAAAGAAGAAAAAAACCACCGAAAATACCCCATTTGGTCAGTCGCGTATAACCGCAAATCTCGCATCGTCTGTATCTAAACGAGTCATCTCTCCGGGCTATATATTTACTTGTATGGGGTCTGACAAAAAGACGTCCGGCAAAATCGAATTATATTTATATGTGATTTATCCGCGTGTATATTTATGAGTCGGACCGAAGCGGCGACGGTATGTACAAGTAAGAGGGGAAAAATGATTTTATGCGGTAAAAAGAAAAAAAAAACGTCGCCGTCCTAATATCGCGACGCTATATAATAGCGGTAAAGTATAACTATTTTTATTTGATTAATTGCACGCAGGGACACATTTTCGTCACGACAGTCAAATTGGCATTTAATGATAACATACCTGTACATTAATTCCCCCAATATGGCGATATGACGGCCCGGTTAAGACGGTAGGAAATAATCGACGATAGTAGTCTTCTGGTAAAAAATGTTCAAAAAAAAAAAAATCACTGTTAACTGCAATTCACTTGCACGTGTATTGCAGTTACACTGCGCTAATATTATGAATGCTAAAGTTTCTTCGGACGGCGTTTTGTCACACCACTTCGCGCGCGGATCCGAACTTAAACTTGATATAGATATAGGTGTACGTATAATTATAGACCGGAAATAACACACTGCAGGCTGATTTTTATCTCGTTTTTAATCCCTAAAGTACACTGGTACAAAAAAATCGAATTGCTGAAAAACGAAAATCGAAACCAAAAGACGTGGAGATTTTTTCCAGTTGTTTTTCCCAAGATTTAGAAACTGTTGAAAACCATTAGTCGCCGTTTGCGTCGGGAGAAAAACCCGACGACGTTTCCGGAAACTTCGCCCGGGCGGCGGTGTCTGCAGGCGGATACCGAAACGGCGCGCCACTGATTATAATAATATTATGTTGTACACGGATGACGTCACGTCGCATTATCCGGCCGTCGAGAAAACGTCACAGACACCGAATACGTCGTCGTCGCGTTTATAATCTCATACTCCCGGCGTCTCCGGGTTTCCGACGGCGCGCGCGCGCGCGCGCGTCAGTATTATTATTATAACTTAATCCGCGGACCGATTCGTCGGGGAACGGGGCGACCGTGCGGAATAATTTAATTTTCGCGGGCATATTATAATATAATAATAATAATAATAATAATAATACTGTTATATATATATATATATAGAGAAGATATACGAGATATATCGGTGTCGCGGTGTCGGTTTTCTCCTCCCGCCGGCGGCCCGCGTTCGCGGTCGGCGCACGTACAACGATAACAATATACATATACGTGCGCGTAGTGTATAACTGTGCGTATGTGTATAGCGTGTATACACAGCCGATATACGTGGCTCGCGTATCGGTGTATGCGTATATAAAGTGATGTTATTGTAGATTTTAGATATTTTGAACGACGGCGTGTAGCGGCGGCTGCGGCGGCGGCGTGTCCCGGGCTAAATATAACATTAATTAAACGAATTTACGCAATAATTCAAGTGCGACTGACAGTTCACTAATAGTGCCGGGGACTCGATATATTATATTATATATATATATATATATATATACGCGAGCGTATTATACGTATATTACTATAATATACGTATATATATATACACATACGTGTATACCTATACGTTTATACGAACATACGAACGAGTACGACGACTATACGGCACCGGCGCAGAGTATTCCCCTCGCGCGATCCCCGATCGCGAGTCAAAACTTAACGGGGACAAAAATACACGCCGCGCTCCGCCGCCGTATAATATACAATGTGTGTTCTTGCTCTTGTGTTATACCTATGTACGCTGTTTTACGCCGCCGCCGCCGCCGTATAATTAATAACGTAAAGGTTTCGCCGTTCGATAGAATATATATATATATATATACGCGCGTGTATAAGGTGTTCTGTTGCCGTTGCGCTCGAACGTCGGGGAGTGCGACGCGCGCGCGCGGGATACCGAAACGCGCGGTCTCTATCGTCTTAATTATCGGGCCGCGGAATTTTCGGGGTTCGCGCGACCGCTAGACGCTAGATCCGTCTCCTGTCCGGTACGTCACCCGTAGGCAGTCGCCGTCGTTCTCCCCGGCCGCCGTTCAACGGCCCCGCGCGCGGAGATCACGGCGACGACGACGACGGTGCGGGGCGCCCGATACCCGAACACCGTCGTCGGTGACCGTATAGTGTAGACGGAACGAGCAGGACCCGTTCGGACCGATTTTCCTGAAACGCGGAACATAGGCGCAACTAGACCCCCGACCGAGCGGAGCTGCTAAAATTATAGACGCACATCATATACCCGTAGATACAATAACCCCACAGTTCCCTTTATACGATACACTTGTAATAAGCGACTATACACGTCATATTATTGACGATTTTTTTTTTACAAAAATGTATCGTAACTCGTTTATCTTTATTTTTTATACGGCACACGTGCATTTTCTGTAGGTATTGGTATTTTATTCTGCGTATTAATTATGAAATGCACTGACAAAGTATTTAGGCTATACTATAATTTTGGGTGCTAACTTAAAATTTGGGGCTTGCTAAAGACCATCCAGCGAGGACCGGACGGATTACGAATATTAGAGACTATGGACGGATCGTTTTGATATTGGTCTCGTTCTCGGGACAAAACGCGTTCCGTTCCACGCACGTAGATGCGTACGTAACCCGAATATGTACACAGCAATTACGATTACACCATTATTACACAACGCAAGTCACAAAATATTATGATAGTAATATAGTTTATTATTTATATATCAGTTCTCACATTTCAGTCTACTATCAATCTACCTCACTCGATCCATTTGGCACGTTCACCTGTTCACGCTTCCCAATCCTCGAGCCTAATGTTCCGTCCATACGTATACAAGTCTACATTACTATAACGTATATAACTATATATTATTATTATTTTGACAAGAAATATTGCGTTAAACGAAAAAAAAAAAAACGAACTCGACATAACTACACACGCGATACCTTCCGTACAACAACAATATTATGATTCATTGCTACACTCGAAACAATAAACAAAATGCAATACTCATACAATTATTACTCCGTATCACCTTATCTTCTGCAAAAAAAAGGATCATTAATCATACAACTATAATTGTATATATATTTTTTTTTTCAGGTGAGATTTGCCAAATAATTCTAGATATATTATAACGATTCCGTGTCGAGATTTCAACGGTTATTGTAAGTATATAATACAAAAAGCGACAAATAATTTTAAAATCAAACATATAGTTAAGAAAATTTGATTACAAAAGTATAGATAATGGAAATAATCATGAATTCATAAACAATATATGAATCAGCGATTATATCGATAATCATATACTTTTCGGCACTCCCGTACACGGGATTTCTTCACGAAAGGGGATTACGAAAAAAAAAACAAATTATAAAATAAATACGCCAATAATTATTAGTAAGATCAAAATTCAAAATCATTAACTATAATTTCTCGATCACTCGTTATACTTCAGGAATCTTAAAGATGTATAAACAATAAACACGCTTTTTAATTGGATAAAACCAATGACTGACTGTCAATGACCCGGTGAAAAAAAAATGCTCCCATTTATTTTTTAAATCCCGAAAACCTCCCTTTATAGAGCATCGGTCTGCTTTTCGGACTTTTCGCAAATTGTCGTTACGGTATTTTATTCGAAAAAAGTCAACGCGCGACTGTGCACTGCATATACCGGAGTATTTTTGTCCAACGGCGGATTTACAATGCGTTTTTAGTTAAACCTATATATACCTATTCCAATAATATATCCAAAGTCCGATGGAAATCGATAGTCGTGTGTGGTGACTTTATCCCGCGGGGAATATTCAGTTATTCGCGCTCGGTAAACGGGGCACACGCATAGATCCCGTGTCATTTATACGCGTTATTTACGCGGGATCAAACAAGCGTACCGTAAACAAGAGGTTTCCGGTGTGCAAAAGTGTGTAGGGAGACAGGGGAAAAATATATACACATTAAGTACATTCATATATATATATATATATATATGTAGGGGGATAAGGTGTACATCGATTGTAGTCTGAAAGTCTCCCCGCTCGACGTTCGGTTCATTTGCGTTCGCTCCGGTCCGAACGTACAACGTCCGGTCTACGCGATCCGGAAACGGCTATAATTTTTCACTTTTGGCTCAACCCCTCCGTTTACATCGGGGGCGGAAAAAAAATCGCGATAATATATTTGTAAATATATAGGTATACTCGGTCGTTATCTCGTGACACTTTCGGTATGTCTGTTATCGTATAACCCTTCGAATTACGGTCATTTTTTTTGTTTCGAGTTTTATTCCGTGCCTCGCAACGGCACGCTATACCTACTTGAATCAATCTCCCGGTGCGGGTTGAAAATAACATTATACAACTCTTACAATAATAATATAATAATCCGAGTATACAACTGTTACTAAAGACTTAAAGTGAATATAATATCATTATGACTTTTCGAGTGTTGAAAAAATGATGTTAATTAACGTTGTGAGCGGCTAAAATGCAGATGTAAAATGAAAGCAGCTACTACCTACTATATAATATAATATATATTTATATATATATAATAACATATACGTATAGGTAAACTAATTTATAATTAATTAATTTAATTTCTCGTTTTCAATTGTTTCGGATCTAGTATCCTTGACTTTATAATATACGTTCGTGTTTAACTTGTCTTATTGAAGTTTAAATGTTGTTCAAACGCACAACTTAAATAATATTATATGTAGCGATACTTGAATATTTCCTGCAGAATAAGTATGAGAAATTAATATACTGTAGATTGTTTGATGTGCTGTGTTTGTGCAAGCAAAACCCTTTATATTAAAGTGGTCTATGTGCTATTGCCGTATTTATGAGAATATTCTGACTGGTAGAACCGGGGTAAAAACTAAATTAATTTTAACTATTATTTAAGATAATAGACGACTTAACTGCATGAAATTACAAAACATATATACGAGTGGAAGACAAATATTAGTAATCTGTTCGTTTACCTACATACATATTTAGAAACTGTAACATAATTTCCAATCAAACATTTGACAATATGTTGTAAAACAATAAGGACTCGTATCTACTATCATAATTCTCGAGTATGTTAGTTAATTATATTTTCCACTATTTTTGTACGTTTTCAAATATCTAGTAAAGTTAAATGATTACTTTAGATTGTGTATTAATATAAACAGATAAAATAAACATTTTTTTTTTAAATATTTATCAAAGTTATATTTATATATTACAAATATCTAGAAACATAAATCAAAAGCATTTAAACAACAAATTAACTTTATTCCTCTCATTTTAATGAAATTATAAGTGAATTAGAGGTTATCTAAATTATACGGAACTTGAAAGACGAAATAGTTATTGATAGAGTATTATTAAGACTCTAACATACATCTACAGTCAAAGAAATAAAATATAAATTATTTTCAGATAAATTTATATTAGCAATAATCAACCCTTTTTACAAAAATGGAGATAAATAAAACATTACAAATTATATAGGCCTATGTCTATGTTGTGTACTGGAAAATAAGCCCTTCCTCAAACATCAACCAAGTTTAAAGAAGGTATTTATAATTGCATTCTTATTTGTTACTTAATAATTGAAAATTTGATTGGAAATAAAAAAAAAAAAATTTTAATCGTTCATGTTTGAGAAAAAATATCTGATAAATACCATATTAATGTTTTTGTTTGTTGTTTTTTTATTTTTAAATAAATTACTGTAATATTAGAATTATAATAAGTCTTCGGATTATAAAATAAAGATGACTAATAATACTTTATTACACTAAACAGTTATAATAATTTATAAGTAGGTACGTAAATATTATAAGCCAAGATAATAAATTTTATTAGTATTAATAATAGGGTTTACGTTATCGTATATTATTTCAGTGAAAATGTGCTCAGAACAATAATATTATAATTTATGAAAAAAAAGGTAAAAGAATAATTTAATTTATATCTGTATGCAAAGATAAACCATTGCTAACGAAAAACGATTCTGAGCCAATAGTATTTTTCCCTTGTTGTCAAGGTAATCAGCAAAAATCGTACCTATATAAAATCACTCTTTTTTCGTAATTATTAAAAAAAACTACAAGGAAAATGTAAGAAAAAAATGATCTCCACAATGCACCAATTATTTAAAAATTCTGCTAAAAAGTTTCTACACAATTTTTTATTGAAACAAGATTACCAGTAGAAAAATTGTTTACTGGCACAAAAAACACACACACACACACACACACACACATACACATATAATATCACAGTTGTGAGCACTTCGCTCAAAATCTATTAAAAAAAAAAAAAATGTTATAATAACTGTTTCGTATAATCGCGTGACCGCCGTTTTGATTGAACAGAAAATATAATAATAAGTATGTATTATTATCACATATTAAATAGGTACTAACGTAGGTAGGGATTATTCAAAATTTAACGAACCCCCGTGTTTTTTTTATTTTCGTGAGTAAAGTATAAACAAATCATAAAATTAATGTAATCTGCGAACGCCCGCCCGTCCGTTTTACTATATACTCTTTTTGTCTTTTTAGGATATTGTAGAGGAGGTATATTTGTTTTAATGTTATTATGCGAGCGCGTGTATATTAACCGACCGATTCACCTGTCCAACATTATGCAAACATGGAAAACTGCTGGGAATTATCGATTAATTATTGTGTACACTCGTATAATTATACAGATAACTAAGCAGTAATTCGTGTGATGGTGTGCATGCCGCACACGCGGACTTACGTTTTAATCGAACCGCAGTTTTTAATGGGCACATAAATTACACGAGTTTAAACCTTCATTAACCCTCCTCCGTGCAGACGAACGGTTAACGCCGATCTGCATTTTTTTTTTTTTTTTTAATGTGTTTAGGGTTGCTGAATAATTTTTCGACCGTCAAAAAGCGATTTATATGTTTGTTCGCCGCGTTACGTTTTCGAAACACGTGTAACTCGCAGGCGCATATTATTATGTATACTTACACGTACAATTTTCGAAATCACGAATTCCGAAAAAAATTAATACTTTCCGAGATAATTAATGTCTTATGTTGGATTAATAATTATTTTGTCAATTATATTCAGTGTTTGAGAGCTGTTTTATAATATTGATGGGAAAAGTTGAATTTCCAAATGTTTTTGCGGGAGAGGCGTGCTTATTTTTCTATTTAAATATCCCCTAAATTTTTAGTACACAAGTATTAATAATATTTTCATAACATAAAATAAGCGGAGAGGGGGAAATACGATTCGATATAGTGACTGCAGAGCTCTACTGTATACGAATGGTTTTTTTTTTGTTCTACCGCATGTTTATTAATAATTCATCAACGATATATTTTACCAAGTTATACGAAATAAGGATCCGATTATAAAATAATTAATTTACATTTTCGTTGCTAATGCAATTTAAATGTGAACGGGAAATAATCTGTCGGTGAATAATATTATAATTACACTTGAATTATTATTCTATACCACTGCACCGAACTTTCAGATAATCAAAATGTACTTTTAGCTCTTATAAACGGTTTATGATAGTTTCACAATAATAATATTATCATCAATACAATATTTTAAAATGGTTATGTTATTGTAACTTTACTATAAATTTGGTAAATTTTTATTAGCTGACTAATATAATATTAGTTGAATGTATAATATGTGTACACGCTTTAATTTAATCAATACATTTAATTTGGTTTTGTTCTTTTTTAACAGAGCGGTAACTGGAATACATTGATTTTACTATGATGATTTTTTTTCTTACATGCATATATCTGTGGACAATTTTTCTACTAGAAATCTTTCTCCGATTTGTAAGTGTAGAAGGTAAATTCTATGAAATAAAATTTTATCTATTTGGTGAATTGGGGATATAAAATTTGTTTTTTTTTTTTTTGTTGCGATTATAATAAAAATAATGTTCAAATCTGTAATTAATTTTTTTTAAACGTAATGGGCTGTGATACGAAGGTACTATTTTTGAATCTAAATGTTTTTTTTTTTTTTATTTAATTGGTTCATAAGAATTTAACTACCATATACACTACGAGTTATTACTTCATTAATAATAAAATACCTGGTAAAACGCTTGATAATTAACTTTTCCTTAAGAAATACGTCGGAAAACTATTGTGTAATCTATATGAGGACATTTCGGGAGCCACTATTTCTTATCACTACAATCGTTTTACAAATATCCTATCTGTATAATCTTGAAAGTGTGTTATTATTATAATGATTCGTAATCATAATACTCAGACTTTATCGCCGCATCCCGCTCTCTAATTAATATTAATTTACCTTTTATTATAACAATATGCTTGAAACCTATCGAGTGTACACGCGCGCGGGGTTTTACGAGGATTTGTTTAATTACTTCGTAGGGAACACGAGGTCCAAAATAACTGCCGCAGCCGCCGACGAGAAAAGGTCAGTGCGATTTCGTATGCATCCTGTGATATCCGATACGGGCAAAGCCGGTCCAAAATTCCTGTCTCGGTTTACATTGGGTGTTAATTAATCATACGCCCCCTCCCTCTTTCACATACTTCCCCGTAATATTATTACCCGGAAAATTAGTCGATGCAAACTATATTTCCGTTTAAAATTTCGAAAATAGCCTGGTTTGTATTCATGTTCAATATCCACAATGTGCATTCTTAAAATATATTAGTAGGACGTAGTATATAGTATACTCTATAGTAGGGTAGTTCCGAATTTGAGTTTTTTGGAGTTTAAAGATCTTAAATGGAAAATTCAGTTCGAACTAATTTATTTTGATTTTTATTTTGACGGTAGATATTTGAGCATTTAATTTATCTCTATGCTTAGTATAGTAAAAAAAAAAACCCATTTTTTTTATACCTACACTATATGATTACAATTGAGGTTTATATTTTTCGTGACATTTGAGAAAAACGAATTATACAAAGAAATTATTAACCTACTCATTGCACAATCCTAAATAATCAACTTTATAATATAAATAATATGTTTAATTGCCTTTATATTAGGAGTCCCACCACTGAGTGACTGCCTCGATTTTGCCTTCTAGAATCCTCTATAATATTTGCTCAAATTTACTTATTGTAATTACATACTGTGAATATGTTTATGTTTTTATAAATAAAAACTGTGTGTGCATATTCTGAAAAAAATATGTTTCAGACATTCCCGTGAATTTTTTTAGTATAAAAACAATTTTTTTTTCGTATATTTAGATTTAAGTTAAATTTAACTTATATAGTTCATTCCCTTATTTACATTCCTGTCTACGTAATATTATATTATAGTCTCGTATGCAATTTTAATTAAATAATATTTTAAATGCACTTCACAAATAGGTACACAAATGAGGGTAAACAAAATATTATAGTAGTTGTCAGTGTAGTAGTAGTCATATACCTATATTATGAAACTAAGTCCTGTTTTTTTCTTTTTTTTTTTTAACGAGATTCAACAATATAATAATAAAACTATTATTCGGAGTTTTATTTTTAATTTTAAGAAAATCCAATTAATATAAACGATATTTGAACACGTGAATAAAAATATTCATTTAAAAAAAAAAATAAATAAAAAATATACGGACATACTTCGCACGATGAGTATATCTGTACATAACGATTAACCATCGCTAACGGAAACCGATTCTGAGCAGAGTTCGGTTAATAGTGTTGTTTTATCAGTAATATATATTATGTCATATTAGGTATAGTAAAATGATTACATATGCATTATATGTTTTCTTTAATAATATTTGCTTAATATTGTACTCATTTTCCGTTTTTCCTACGTGTTTCTTTTTTAATATAAAAACATATGGGAAAATCAAAAAATGACCCACCAGTTAGATCTTCTTTCAAAAAAAGTGCTATAATTAAAAATCAGAGCAAAATTGCTGGTAGGAAAGTTGTTTACAGAAAAAAAAAAAATAAAAAAATAATCATTAAAAACGTAATATATTTCTCGCGGTACTCACAATCTAAAAGGCTAAGCAGTTATCATTTTTGATACAGACATTTTGAATTATATATATGTGTGTTTTTTAATTTTTTTTTTATTTTGATAAATACTTGTATACAATACAATAAAGCGAAATTATCGGTTATCTCAGACCGTTTGGCAACGACAACAATAACGATGATATAAAACAATGTCCGTGATAATACAAACGGCGTAGGATTTGCCGCGGATGGGATATGTTCGGGGATTCGGAGCGACGGATTAACGTCAAAAGGATCAGGAGTCTAACCAAGAATGATAGCGGTGCTGTGACCGTCGGACAATCCGTGTTATTATTTTTCATTATCCGGGACCACGTGAATTGCACGCAGTGAGGGGAACAAAAAAAAAATGTCAACTTGTAAAACAACCATAAATCGGGTGTACAAATAATTACAGGAACGAATTCGCGGTCAAATAAAATCGACATTCCGTTTATATATATACAGGTATATTTATTGTCTGCTCTCTCTCTTTCTCGCTCTATATCAATGGTTTCAATCCGAAGATTGGTTTGCAGCCGTATTCCACACTTCTCTATTATCCGCTTTCATTTTCGTTTGCACGTACGAATCGCCATCTCGATCCCTTATTAGCTGTTGGATGTATTCTAGTCTCGGCCTTCCTCTGCGATTCTTTCCTTCCACACTTTCTTCTAGAAATAATTTTAGTAATCTTTCCCGCCAAATTATATGTCATATCCGATCATTTCATCATTTTACTACAGTTTTCTATGGGAGCTTTCCTTCCGACATTCTTTCAAGAACCTTCTTATTTGTTATTCCATCCTCCTAAAACCTCACATTTCAAATACTTCCAATTTGTTTTTCTGCTATTACATTAATATTGTCCAGGTCTACTATGACACGCTTTATCTTAGAAAGTATTAAAATTTTTTGAAATTTGTTTTTTAAAACACTTAAGAAATAAGTAATTTTTTTTTTTTGTTACTAGAGAGTGAAATCACTACCTACCTTTGCTTTCAAATGGCAATCTATATTAAAAATATTATAAATATATGAAATACTAGTTTTAATCAATTTTGGTGTTTAAATTGTTAACACTTTCCTAGGAAACGAGTGTCTTGCGTTATGTTGATTATCCTGTATAGGTACACAGTATGTAAGGTTTACTAATTCGTTTATATTTCGAAATAACTAGTTTACATTTTTTAATAATACATTTTAAAGCACTGATTATTATTATAATAATAAATAGGAAAATAAATATTCCAATCGATCAGAAAAATTATAACACCTTTTTCCTTATAAAAAATCATGGTATAAACAATGTAGAGAAAAGAAACTATCTGAACAAAACGGTCGTTATATTATTACATTTTATTATGGACGTCATCACGATTTGGAACATCATTTGTATGGTCACATCATTGTAAAACCAATAATACATTTCTCGCTTCACTCAAAATAAGGGTGTCAAAAACTCAGTGGAAATGTAATATTTTAGTGCTGCTTGTTTCTTAAATTGTCAAAAAAATTATATTGAAAACAGTTAACACTTTTCGAACTATCGCAACGGGTATATTATCTTCGTGAGACACTTCGTTCATTTGTGTTAACATTATGATATTATTATTGCAGCGTAGGTATACATGCGTTTTTTAGTTTTAAAATTATTATCGCTAAATATACGAACCGGCCTCAGGCGTTTTACGTCTGCACTATGCGTTTAATATTAATGATTCGCCCATTTTATTTTTAAATTATATTATAATCACCAACGAAAAGTTTCGTTTCGTTTGCTTGCGTGCGTTTATGTGTATGTATATATGTATGTATGTGTGTGTGTGTGTGTATGCGGTATATATTTAACACTGTAACGAGATATACAATGAGGCGAAATCGTAAATTACGAAAAGAACGTTCGGATTCCAAAATAAATGCGACGATAGTCTGGCGACAGTGCGCGGTTTCGAACAATGTTTTTAAAACACGTGTGAACATTAAACATAAAAATAATAATAATACCGCGCGTGAACAATGACATTTTCGACTGTAATAATTTATACACCGTCGTCGTCGTCGTTCGGAGCGGCCCGAAGTGTTTGTTTTTTTTTTTTTTCCTCGAGGGGAGACCGCGATACGCGGAGCCGTCGGACAACAAGTTTTAATTTTAATACGCCTACGCCGTACGATTTAGAGTAGGTAGGTACTATATCGGCGTTTTACGAGAACTCAACGCCCGAATGGAAATCCAATTAAAAACGCGATATACGCGACAATACGAACACGTCTATTCGTGCGAACAATAGAGTTGACACTGACGACGACGTTTGACAAGTGTCGCGATCAATTGTGAATACCGCGTAAGTACGTAAACATCGTGTTGTTATGCGGTGTACGGCGCGTAGGAAAATATTGTTTTTTGGCGTTTCCGAAAACATTAATAAACTAACTCACGCCTACACATCGTACGGTAGGGACGACCCAACTACAATAATATATAGGTAAATTATGAGCAGTCTCGCGGTGTGTATACATATTATACGAGCGTTCGTCGTTTCGAAAACGTCCTAAGTGTACAAAACAACAATGCGAAATCCGATAAATCCACTCAAAACCGTCGGCGTATCATACGCGTTTTATAAATCGAAAACAAATACGAAACATTACGAATATCCTATACACGAGCGCGATGTCCTTTACTCGTGATACGCACGCGTTTGTTATCAAATACATGATAAACAAAATGTTAAAATCGAGTAGGTTATTACACTTTATTTTATTTTATTTTTTTTTTTCGGTCGCTTATCGATCGTCGTCAAATCAATAGTGTTGCGAACATTAATAGTATATTTTTCGAAAAAAACCGCGTAATATCTATGGATTGTTTCTAACAATACATTATGAATGAAACAATGAAAATAAAAAAATACATATATAAAAAATAATTGAAACGAAAGAAATAAATAATAAAATATTATAATACGGTACATTCCATTTTAAAATTTACGACTGGGAGATTTTTTTTTTTTTGTTTTATCTATTATTTATTTTAACCTATATCTTTATATTATATTATGTATATTTTCTCACGGTGATTCATACGACTCGCTACCGTCATATATACATGCGAGATATTGTATCTAACCGCAATTCCCGCCCTTAGGTTCAAATCGAACACGCATACGTATATAATAATATAGGATATGGGGATAACGTGACTTTTCGAAAGAAAACGCATTATGGAAATGCCGAAAACATAAAAGAGTTTTTCATTCGTGTTCTAAATGGTTATTATGTATTATTATACATATATATATACAAAAATATACGAGATAAACGTTAAGAGGGCATAATATTTACCGGAGGGGGGAGAAAAAAAAGAGAAAAAATAGAATATGATCTTGGTATAATGTATAATATGTAGGGAAGACGCCGCACGTTTCCTCCAAATAACGGCCGACCGGAGGAGGTGTACGGGGTGAGGGGTTAGGGTCTATAAAACGACAGAGAGAGAGAGATATTGAGAAAAAAAATAGTCACATACGGGATGAACTGACGTGGGTCGGGAACGAACGGCGGCGACCGGAGGTTAAGGGTGGGGGGGTAAGGTGGTGTCGATAAATCACTCGAAAACTTTGTTTTGTTCGTGACCGCCGCCGCCGCTGTCGCGATCGGTTTTTCTATTATCATAATCGAGTTAAACTCCCGGAACAACCACCTCTCCACCCCGTCCCACTACTATGCCCGGCACGATACCGCCATCATCATCATAATAATGATAATAATGATAATGTGTATACCGCGCTAACCACGCGTGGTCGATCCATATGAATGAACCCGAGCGCGTTTATATAATATCATGACGATAACGGGGAACGGTCATTCGATATTGCAGTATTATCTAGGCGACTGCATTATAATATAATATATTCGACGATGACGACCCTCCCCCCTTTACCACCACCCCTTTCTACCCCTCAATCCCCCGTCGGAAGAGATAGCGCGTATAACCGTAAATCGCACGGTCGAATGTCATCATGCACGTACATGCGTGTACAATAGACAATGAAATTAATGTTTACACGGTGTAGTACGCGGTTAAAGAGACCCGAGAGATAGTGACGACGACGCGTCTGAAAATGTCTGAAATACTTACGGAGCTCCGGGACGCGTTAATTTTAATACGGTGTTATCAAGACAATTTATAATCCGTCGCGAAATAGAATTACGAACGAAATATGACGTATATCATATTATTATTATTATTATTATTGTATACATCAATTTGCGCTTGTATAACGTTCAAGTTTCGTTTGAAAAAAATAAAATAAATAAAAAACGTGTTCGTTAAAATGTACATGACGTATATATTATTATTATAGTTGTTATATTATGCTCGAGTTGTTCTTTTAAAAAAAAAAAAAAACGAACTTATAAAACGAATATTTTTCCATACGAAGTTACAATAGCGATGTAAAACGGCGTATTATAATTTTCATTTGTCATGATATTATACTTTTGAAAAAAAATTAAAAACAACCCCGTAATTCGTTTATTTTACGTTATTCAGACCGTTGAAGTTTTAATTAACTATATTTACACGTATATAGAAAGAGAGCATTAATTGCTCAACCGTCACTTGCAAGGGAGCAAAAAGAGGGGGGGGGGAGAAACTAAACGCTGTTTTTTTTTTTAAAAAAAAAAATATTCAAAACGAATTATCATTAACCGACAATTACGTTCCCTCGGCTACACTCAAGAATTGTTTCCAAAAACCATAAATACATACGGATACAATATTCAATGTTCACGGATTTGTCCGCGGTTATGAGAATAGCGCCAGCGATTCAAACCCACTTGCGTTAAAAACCGAGCGGTTATTACTATCGGTTGATATTTTTTCTCTCGGTAGAAGACATAAGCGTCAAAACCCTAGGTACCCCTGCCCTGTGCCACGGTTAATAGATATATTATATTGTAATAGACGTATGTATTAGCCGTGTCTGTGTGATATAAAATTTAGAACTATACTCTTCTTCTTCTTCTTCTGCTCGGCTTGCCGGTCCGTTAACTCGCTGCCTTCAACAGGTCTCTTCACCTCTTTGTATTGTAAATCAACTGATATGTCGCATTCTGTTCAACAGCTTTCAGATCTTTGTTGCAACTGCATCGATCCGCCGGGTCCTGGGTCTTCCTAGGCGTCTTTTTTCGTTCATTTTTTCCACGAGTACTTATTTTTTATTGGTTCGGCCATCCGCTCTCCGAGTATTTCCAAACCGTTCTAGTCGTTTGTTCCTGATAAACGCTAAAATGTTTGATCTGTAGCTCTTCGTTTTTTCTTCTGTCATACGTAATATTTGTTTCTCGGTTAAAGCGCGGTCCAAATATGTTCCGGGATATTTTTCATTCAATTATTATTAACTTTAGAACTTTATTCAGAACTATATTGCCGTGGAAAAACGCTAAATCTTCATCGACAGATTCATTTTACGATCGCGGAGTACATTTTAAACCGACTATTGGCGATTTCCATCGCCCTATACTGTACTTGTACCGAAACGTAAGGCAATATCGGCGCAAACGACACCGCGCCGTTTTCGCACGTTCGGCGCCAATGTCCTACGGCGTTTTTTTTCGCGGCGGCCGTTGTGGCCGTCCCGGTTACCGGCACTCGTCGCGCACCCAGCCGCCGGGCCGCGCCGCCCCGCGATCGCCGCGCGCGGAAACCGCAGGGTCCGTGCGCCCGCGAACGGAGACGATTAATTCTCAACGGCACCGACGACAATCAACGACGCGCGGCCGTCGTCGCGACAAACGCATAAATCGCGTTTAACAATATCATACGCGTGTGACGACGCGGTATCGCGGCGGCACGCACACATCGACGCGCGACAAAGTGCGTTTTCCGCGGCTTATCTAAACGCGTTCCGGTACATTGGGCGCGACACGGGCGGCGCGTCAATTCACCTACCCACCGCGCGCGCGGGCCGCCGAACCCCTCAAAATCAACATCCCGCCCGTACCCGCGGTACGCCGCCGCCGCGTCTTTATCCTTCTCCGGGTCTATAGTGACACGAACGAAAAATTCGACTCGATTACCCTTTTGCGCGCGCGCAGTAGGTATTTAATTAAAAGCCCCTCGAGTTAAACGCTCGCGCACTCTCTCGCGCTCCGTCCGTCTCTCACTCGCGCGCACCCCGCACAAAAGATACAAAAGCGACATAATAAATTTTAATAATTACCGCGGCGGTGCCTCCGCGTAATAATTACCGCCCGGCGGATTTTCGTGGTCTATACATATCCCATATAATAGGTATAGGGTTGTTGCCGTTTTTGTTATTATTATTACATGCTATTATTGTTGAGCCCGTTTCCCCCCGGTTGTTTTATTTTACATTTTTTTTTTCTCCCGACTCGCCGCGTTAGAGGGCGACGAAATCGGCCGCGCGCCTTTACGGCAAACATAACGACTGCGGCCGCGCCGCCGTTCGTCTTTACATTTCGTTATCACGTGTGAAATTCCGCGGCTTTAACCGCGGTTGCGGTTCGTTCGACGACGCGGCGGTTATAACCGTCAAGTCGATCGGATTGACTCTCACACACACCGCGCACGGGCCCAGCGACACGCAACATTGCCGGTGACGCGCCTAACGTCAAAACAATTAATTTCTAAAAAAAAAAAAAAATATCACACACGTGTATGCCTAGCAAATGAGAAACGTATCTATTTCGAATCTAATTCCTCGAAAACGCAATGTTATTAACTCTAAATATTTAAGGTGAAATCCTTAACATACCAGCAGTACGTCAAAAGGGGAAATTCACAAACACTTGTTGCGGGTTGTTGTAGGAAAATAAAATATTAAAAGTCAAGTTTCGTAGGTAAGCAAAAAATCCATCCGCGTATTCATATAATATAACTATAGATGATCCGATCATTATAAAACCGTTTAAAACCAAAGCTGATCAAGTTAAACAATTTTTTTTAACTACACTCAGTTTAAGGTGTTATCCTAAAAATATAACAAACAAGCCAATTTGAAGATAATTTTAAAATATAAATGAACTCTAGGAACTATACAAGTAGGTAAAATGTTCCAAAGGTTTAGTTAAATAAAAAATGAATAACTTAGTTTGAATAAAAAATTACTGTTTTTTTTTTTTTTTTTAACAATCTTTATAAGGCTTTAGCTATTAAACTAGGCGGTTAAAGAATCGGTCTTAACCAATAAACCATAAGGTAGACTTTGCCAGTGATGGCTTGATAGAGTGAACAAATATCGGGAACGACAGGGAATGAAGATGCAGATAAACAAAACGATGGGGAAATTTGGTGTGGGGGCGGCGAAAGATCTTAAAAACTTGCAGTAATCTTGGGGAAAAAAAAACCGATTAATTTAAAATTACGTCGAGAGAACGTGAATTTTTGTTATATGAGCCGTAATCCGAAGTATAAATACTCGGCTGGAAACCGTTGTTACATTGTAACCGATTAAATATTTTCTCATTGTATCTGCGCGGCTGGTTCGCTTATCTTGAAAAATGAATAATCTTATTATTATAATATTTTGTGTGTATCGAAATATTGTTAGTTTTCATTTTGGAATCCGTTATGCTCGTACAGATATTCAAAAGAGATAAACATGATGCGTCAAAATATTCGTCCGGAAAGTGTATCGAAGATATTTTATGCAAGCGATGTTCTCAATAATATGTTTAAACAACTTTCGTATAATACGGAAATAAAATTCTTAGTAAAGGTTAATTTTTTTTTCATACAAATAAAAAAACCATCTATTAAAAAAAGAATACAAATATTTTGAGACAAAATAAAAAAAAAAAAACCTGGGAAGAATTCAAAAGTAAATAAGTTTGACGCGCCCGATATTAGGACGGAGATATTTTTATGTTGGATTTAATTAAATAATTATAAAACTGTTTAAAAAAAAAAAAAACCCTATATTGATTTTGAAGACCTAAGTTTTCAGTAAGAAACTATATTTTCGACAGCTAGCCGACAAATAATTAAAAACGATTTTTAGCACAATCACGTTTGACCCTGTACAAGTTTTATAAAAATCATGTTTGTTTTACAGTTGCAAAATGAAGACACGGTGGCCGCTATGGTGAGTTTTTGCGTTAGGGTTAGACCGGCATACACGCATAAATAAATGTATAACTAAAATCCGTTATGATTCGTTTTTCGTTATGCAATTGCGTACAGCTATACATTAAATTCCGCTCATTATCCTCGAGGAAACACGAATTAATATTTATAAAATAGTCAATAAGTGCGATAAGGGTTAACACTGATATAAATTAGTTATATTTTGGTTAGTCGACCATGATAATGTGTGCATCGGTTAATTTACAAACGTGTAGTACCAGTAAAAACATTTTGTTTTTTTTTTCCAAACGTTGGGTAGGTACACTGGTTTTTTGGAATTTTCAGATTCTCATCTCGCGGGGAGGAACGGATCCGTTCCCGTGCATCGAGCGCTAGATATATGAATTATCGTGCCCCCAGTTCCCTCTCAGACTACGACACTGGTGTCCGCTATTCAAACGAGGTTCAGTTTGGATTTTAAATTCCCCGTTCCGAAGACTTCCGCAATTTCGAGGTGTAATTGTAAACATAGACGTAGTGGTGGTGTATCTGTATACGATTTCTATAGTGCCCGTGGTGAAATATTCTAGATTGACCGAATGGAGGGCGGCCAAGTACACAATCCTAGTTTGGATTTCAATTTGGATCAATTTACACAGATTGGAGTGAAAAATAAAAATGTCATTGCAAGTTTTTAAACCGTCTCAAACTTGTCCGTGATGCCACCCTATCGATGTGCCACATGTTCATATAGGCGCCAGGTTTTTAAAACGTCTTTGGGAACTGAACTTATTGATTTTGACACGTTTGAGATTTTTTTTATTCGTAGACGTCTCCGCGTGTACTGCACTCGGTTAAATATTTCGAGAAGACGGGGAGACTTGTTGTTGACAATTTTTATATTATCTACTTTTTTTTTTTTGTTTTTCTAATAACAACGAACGTAACAAAAAAGGGAGGCTCGTGCGCGGGGAACGCAGCCGGGAGGGCGTTCGCTATTCAGAGAGAGTTCAGTTTACAGTTTGTGAAGTGCCCGTTTCCGTTTTCGTTCACTGTGCGGTACGACGCGCTAAACGCTGAACAACAACGCGCAGCTATCCGCGGATCGGAAAACAAATTAGTTCCGTTTCATACAATTCGGTTGTAAATGGCCACATTACAAGTTCTAACGAAATATTTTACGAAACGTTGGGCCACGACGATCCGTATATGACGGCGATGAAACGTAAACGACTTAGAAACGTCAACGTCCCGAGAAAAATAATATTACAGTTTCCATATCGTAGCGCGCGCTCTGTTAACGAATTAACAACGTGCCGTACAATCGGCAAGACGGCGTACGCGAAAATACATTAATTATTCGAATACATTACACAACACTGCCCGACGGTGCATAATAACAGTCCGGCCGCGGCCCACGGGTTTCTCGTAAAACGTTCGTGCGCTTTGCGAATTTATACGGTCTGCCGGCACGACGGCGGCAGATCGTTCGCCGATCCCCGGTCGCCCGCGCCCGCACCCTCGTCGCCGACCGACCGTTTCCGTCCGATTCCGAAGTAACGTTTTAATTATTCACATCAGCGGCGTAATAAATCGCGTGTGGTCGGCGGCGGCAGCGGCGGCAGCTGTTGCTTAATCGGTTGTTGCGGTGATGCCCCACGCGAAAACGGACGGCGGCGGTGACCGCTTGCGCCGGACAGTTCACTAACTCATCCCGGCCGCCGGCGGCCGGCTCGCTAACTCAATTACATCGCCGCGCTGACCGTTCCGCCGCGATCCGCACAACTTTCGGCTTTAACTAGTTTACGGCCGCGGCGGCAACCACAACCGGTGTCAGTGTTGTTCAGGTAATACGGTGGACGGTCGGAAACGTCAGCGGCGCCGTCGGCAAATCGCGCGTATTGTAATAATATTGTTGGTAACGTACGCCGTTCCGCGCGATTACGCTACGGAAAAAAAAAAAAAAATTAATACCCGCGGGGTGAACGGTCGGGGCCGGGCGCGCGTTAGTGTTACGGTATCCGTTCGGCGCCCACCGGGCCGAATTAAAAAATTCACCACGACGCGTTTTGTCGTTCGCTTGCGAAAGTGTCATGATATCGATGGTGTTTTACTAAAAGGGCGTATACGGCATGTAAAAACGAACTATACATTTTTGGTATCAAAAAGTTCAGAAAAATTAGGCGCGTAAAGCGGGAAAAGGGCGTAATTAAAACACAGAAAATTGAGTTGGTAATGTCTACACAAAAGATGATGTACAGGCGACCTTTTATAGTATAACTAAATCAATACACTGATTTCCTTGCAAAGGCGTTCCGACCACACTCAATACATATATATTTCGTATACAAGATATCGTGTATACGAGTAATTTGTTTTTTTTAAACATCGTTAAAAACTGATTTGCTGTTTTTCCCCCTAAAAAAAAAAAAAAAAATGAAATTTGATTTCGCCATTTTAACGAATCGCAGTCGATATTGCGTTTCCGTTGTCTTGGGGCCCTTCGGTCGTCTCCGTTCGCTCGCTCGTTTCGAAATTTAATCGAAAATAGCCATCGTGTTTTGTTTTGATGCAAAAAAAAAAACCGCGTCGGGTGGGTCACAGAGTCCGTACAGGCGAGAAATTACCGAAAAACGCTAATAAATTTTGATTCACGATCTTTGGCATCGGGCCCGACAACAATGGGGTTTACGGGCGCGCCGTTTGCCCGCCGTCGACACTTTGAAAACGTATCGATGCCCCGACCACAACAGAAATGCAATATGAAATTTCCGGGCACGCGCCATTGAAACGGACCGATCACAAACCGAGAACGCGAACCGGGGCGCCTGAAACGGATACCGCAATGCTAATACTCGGCCCGGCTGGAGAATCCAGACCCATTTGATGCGAATGGGAAACATAATATTCCTATAGTCGATCGTGTTTCGGCTATAATAAAGCCGACTAATTGTACCGTTTTTCCATTATCACGCCGTAAAATGCCGGGCTCCGTGAAAACGGTCGGTATAAACCGCACTTATCGGACGGTTCGCGTTTCATAAACGTATTCCAATCGGTGAATATTTTTATTGATGATTACACCGGTACAAACATCACCGTATTATAATACGCGCTTGCGAACATTTAAAATTCAATTCCGAGTCGCAGTTTGTGTGATGTTTGAACGAAGAGTACTAAAGTTTGTTTACAATTTTAAAATCCGATCCATCGTAGTCTTTTAAGCGTCTTATTGTCTTAGTATCTTATTTGTGTAGATAAATACTTTAAAACAATTTTCAATCAATTTATTTATTTCAACACACACGGGTATATCTGAAAATCCCGCGTAGCCTTTTCGTAGCCTTTTCGATATCGATATATGTTTTTTAAATGAAATTTAATTTTCAACCCTCTGTGAAAACAATTCGATTACACTCGTTCGCTGTCGCTTTTTCGCCGTCGAGTGAATAGAATCCGTCATCATTATAATACGATAACACAATATATTTTATAATAATTGCCGTTATAGATTTTAATTAATCGGATATGTCACGACCAAACCGTCGATGTCCACTACACACTACGCGCACATACAGGTACCGTCCATACAACATATTATTATTATTATCACTATTATCGTTATATGTCAATGTAACCGACAGTTCAAAAATTAATTATTTATACCGCGTAACCGAAAATTACTAAAACGACATTATATGATCACCGTCATCGTCATCATCATCATCATCGTATAATAATACATCGTTAAATAAATGATTAACAAAAGCCCCGCGAATGTTTAAATTGCATTATTATACACCTATACGTGTGCGAGCGATAATCATATTGTTTTCCGTGTAAAACTAAAAACGCTGCAAAAGTCTCTTTTTCTCTCTCTCTCTCTCTCTCTCTCTCTCTCTCCCCGTGTCCATATAAAAATGTATTATTCGTATATGACGCGATCGCGTGATCATCGTTCGTCAACTTGGACGTTTACTAAATAATTATTGCGGTACAGAAACTCATCAGTACGAACAGTTGCACACTCTCTGTGTAATCAATAACTAAAGATATACAGCGAAAGTTAGTCGACTAAAAGGATTACTATATAGTTAGATTTCGTGTCGATTTTTATTTGACAAAACGCATTGTTACCGACCCTACTACCCTACGGGTAAAATGTTAAACTGTCAAAACTCATAAACGGCCAATCCGCTATATTAGCGTTGAATCGATAGAAATTCGTAGACAAACACATCTTACGTTCATCTAAAAATGAACGCTGGTTCAAAATATACGATTCTAAACGCAGAGCGAGTAATGTATTTGTTTTGCAATGGTGTTTTATTTTTTTTTTTTCTGTGGACAATTTTTCTACCAGCAAATTTGCTCCGACATTTAATGATAACAATGTTATAAATAAATCCTGTTCAATTTATTTTACTATAAAACGCCGTGTACACATATCGTTGACAAATAGCATCGCTGTCAACCGAATCCTGTTCAGAATCGTTTTTTTTTCGTACGCGACGGTCCATCGTCGCTTGCGGACGCACGTCGAACCGTCTACAACAGTGGCCGCGCCCGTCCCCGTCGTCCCGGGACGTCTCTTCTCGTTTTTTTTCCGTCCCGTATCCTATCGTATACAATCCCACGACGCCGGCGAACGCCGCGAAATCCCGAGAGCACAGGCCGGCCGTGTTCGTCGTAACGCGGCACTTCTAGAATATTACGCGCCCGCGCGGCACAAACGCGACCCGGGACCGCGTCGGCCGAGACGCCGCGGAGTGGTTTTCGTCGAACGTCGCCGCGTAACGCATTATTTATTATATTACAACCGTCGGCGGCCGCGGCGTCGGTCGCTTCGCTCGATCGTTCCCCGGGGCGCGTTTACTTCGGCGCGGGCCGCGAAGTGCTCCGCGGAGGTAAAACTCCGTAACGAGCTAATGACTGCAGGTGGAGACACACACAGAGAGAGAGATAGAGAGAGAGAGAGAGAGAGATAGAGAGTGTCGCTTCTGTATATACCGATCTCGAGCGCATTACCTACGACGACGACGAACATCAACAGCCCCTGAAGGTATTGCAAAGGCGACCCTTTGCACTATACATATGTATATATGTTTACAGTGTCGTACGCGGGGTTTTTTTTAAAAACTTTGGCCGATTATACGATAACTACGCGGGCGGCGCGCTTATAACACAATACGGCGTTTCGTGAAATCACGTTACGTTATTACATTTTTCGTCAGTGTTTTGACGTTACGGCGCATTGTTGGCCTGTTATCGAACCCAAAGGTGAAAAAAATCGTCTACAATATTTGTTCGTCGGGGGGGAGGGTGGAGGGGGGGGTTCACGACATTTTAATTTTCAAACGAGTATTACGCGAAACATTACGGTTCGAATATCGTCGTATCGCGAAAATGACAGTACAAAACCCCGCCGTACGCATACCACAGACGATATCGTTGTCTTTGGGTTTTGATAACGGGCGAATAACGCCCCAACGTTAAATGCAACAGCCCGAAACGGGCGTAACGTGAAATTCCGTGAATCGAGCGGTTCCGCCGATGGAACGTAACATAATATACGAACGCAACACGTCCCGTTGTTGAAACACGTCCTCTATCATCCACGGGCGGATTTCATCCCCGGGGCAAGCGGTCTTTCACACTGCCCCCTCATCTCCTTAACCCGAGTCACCCGAAACGGATTACGTGCCGTCCGAGTCTGCGTCGCCGGGCCGCGCGAACACCGGACTGAAAACCAACCAGAATTATCATAAAATAATCCCGGACACGCGCGCCTACACGCTGCCCGGCCCCGTACCGTCTACGGCCCCGTCGCTGTTTCTTCGCGCGCTTCTCGTGCCGAAACCTAACCGGATAATGCGGCCAACAGCGTCATTTTATCCGCACATTAAATTCGACCGTGTGAATATACTGTCCGGCGTTTGTTTGTAAACGTAGCCGCGTAGGCGGTGGCTACGCACAACACGTAATCAAGTCTCGGTCCGCAACAAAAGGTTTAGTTTTTCTTCATTGTTCTTTCGGAGCCGGTGTTTTTTTTTTTTTTTTTTTTTCCATTTTTCCGCCCCTCGTTTATTCTTTACTCGTAACGACGTAACCAGTCGTTCAAGACAAACGACCGTTTTTTTTTTCACCCCAATTCTTTCCCCTCTCTTCGCCCCTGTGTACACACAAAACGCGCGTCGCGGTTTTCGCGTTACTTCGCGCGCGGTTCTCGTTCTCTCCGCGGCAATCTCGGCCCCCGTTCGTCGTCGTCGTCGAGTTAATTCACCAAAGAAATCTAATTACCTGTTAAAGTCGCGGTCTGTGTTTTTTTTTCCATCCTCGCCTTCGCCCTCTTTCGTTTAGTATATTGTGTGTTTTTTTTTTTAACGAGTAAACAACGGCGTTTTTTTTATTTATTTTACCAAATAATTACGCAATAAGTTGAAAAAGAGCATTATTTCAGAAACAAAACTGAGAAAAAAAACCGTATATAAAATATATAATATTATACTTAACAAATAAAACGGACTTTTTTTTTTATTATTATTATTTTTATATTGTTTTAACAACAGATTGTAAAAATTTAACGAACAACTTTTTTTCTCTCTCTTTTAATTAATCTTTCGCGAGCTTTATAAAAATATTGTAATAATAACACAACCATACACTCCAAACTTATAAATTATATAAATATTTTCTTAAAAACATTTTCCTTTTTTTCTCTAACCTTTCATAAACGTACATTAAATATTACATGATTTATTTTCTCGTTTATTTTACACTGTACATGTTATAACAACTATATACGACGACGTGATGATAATAATGTACTAAAAAATGTTTCGATTATAATAATATTTATCGAATTCTATGTAAAAATTCGAACAAAAATATTTTCGAAGTATACTTAATAAAAATGTTTACGCGTCGTGTATTTTCGTCATCTTATCCGTCTTATGGAAACGCGTAGCATTGTTATATTTGGACCTAATTTTTTGTGCGAGATGTTAAAATTGCGAATCTGCAGGTGACAAGTATTTTGGTGTCAAAAACCTATAAAACCCCCGAACACAACCCCCTATGAATACACCTATTTAATCAATGTATATTTCAAAGGGGTAACCGAGAGGTCTTACCTCTCCCCACCCGGCAGAAAATCGCGTGACGTTACTATACGTAAACTGCATGCGATGTGATGAGTTTAATGAGTATTGTGGGCCGTTTACGAATCGTTTATCGTCGACAATAAAACGAATAAAACATATAGCCAATAAATAGATAACCGTGTATTTCAATGAGCTAAAAAATGATAAAAAAAATCACCACAGAGCGTAGGTGTTTTCGTAATCCCCCCCCCCAGGGTGTACAAAACCTCACGGCTGGGCGAGTTAATGATTTTTTTTTTTTCAACTCGGTTAGATAAAATTAATTCGAAATAACCTATCCATTCAACCAAGGTTAGAATTCGATCAAAAATTAACTCTACAGTTTGTTGAAAGTCAATTCATAATTGTGTTCCTCGAGTTAACAATCAAGTCAATGGTCCGAACAAAAGTGATATATCAAGTCAAAAAGTCCAATCGACTCGACTTTGATTTGATCAACTCGTCCAATGCCCAGCCTTGAAAATCCCTATATCCGGCGTACCCCCGCGAGAATTCCCGACCCCCACCCCCTCCCACCGCGGGATGAAGGGCCCGCAACGAGGCGCCGCGTTCAATCGAGCCGGGCGCGGCGCCCGCACGTCCGTAAAAACCGCCGAATCCGGGCGCCCGTCCCGCGCACTGCGATAATAACACGTCGCACCGGCGAACAATCGCGGACGTTTCACAATATTGCGCGCTGTATAAATAGAATATTACGCGCCCGTTATGACGTCGGGAATTCAGAACGTTGTACAAACACCCCGTACGAACGCGTGTAACATAATGTAAGAGCCGACGGGCCGCAGCGGGGTCGGGTCGCGGGCTGTCATTCGTCCGTCCCCGCGGCGGCGGCGGCGGCACTCGATTATATAATGTGCGCCGCGGGGCGACGGGGCGGCGGCGGGCACGGCGACGGAAGGCCGTTTGGATTGCGAACGACGAATATTTCGGAATTCGCAGCTCCCTGCGTGTGTGCGTGTGTCTCTCTCTCTCTCTCTCACTCTCTCTCTCTCTCTCTCTCACTCACTCTCTCTCTCCGACGGTAATAATAATAATAATAATAATAATGATAATAATAATGCTTTTGAACACGGTCAAGTAAATCCCGGGCACTACGGGCGCGCGCGCATAACTTTGTTGTTTGGCGAAAACCCCGGGGGACGCGGTGCGCGAAACTTCATAATGCACGCGCACACGCGCGCACATAATTAAACCGACGACGTAAATATGTACACGCGATACGGGAGGACACTGTTGTACGGGCCGTGCGCGACATTGGCGGCGGCGGCGATCCGGCGGCGTCGGCACGGTATTACACGATTACGCACGTCTATACGCATAACAACGTACGCAACGTCTTTGGAGAAACGTTTTCGTATAGCAGACCGTAGCCCCGGGGGCGTTTGACGTTCGGCGGATTAATTTTCGAACGGACCCGCCGCGCGACCGACAAGACCCCGGGTCCCCCGCTCCCCGCTATGAACGTCGTCGTCGGCGTATTGTTATTACATTAAAAGGTAATCCGAATTCGAAATGCGTTTGTCGTATGCACGCGCGACGTTATAATACACCATGCCGAACGGTTATTGTTGTATCGCTGTTTTTGTCGTCGTCGTTACGGACGTTTCGGGAATCGATTTCGGCCGTTTAGGCGGCGGCGGATCGTATCTGCGGGCGGGCGCGCGTGCACGGCGGAACAACGGCCGTTTAGAGACGGAACCGAACGAATCGGTTGTTTTTCTTCTCCCGTCGCGCACGATAAAGAATAATCGAACGGACCCCGGCCGGGTACCCTCATCGGAAATATTATTACGAAAACTGCGACGACGCCGTACGGCGGGCCCCGTCGCAAACACCGTTATCGGCTATTACGGCCCGCGTTTCCATAGCGCGCGCGACATTTACCGTAATAAATGTACGCGCGCTAATATCCGTCTACGGTGCCGGGGCGGTTCGCGCCGTCCGCGGTTCCACCGGAGACGGAAAACTTGCCGTGCGTGTCGTTTCGATGGAAAATATCGCGTCTTTTATCGCGACACGTATCGCACTGCGCCTATGCGCCGACGGACGTACGGCGTCACCGTGTACCGGCTGCGCGTAATCCGGTAACGGGGAGGGGAGGGGGGACGACTTTTGCCCCGGTCCGACTTTTATAGCGTTTTCGGTTCGAGCTGCCGGACTGTCGAAAACCGTGTCCTTTTTCGACTCGTATGCCTGTAAAAACCGTGACCAGTTTTTTTTAATCCGACCTCTTTATCCGATGGACCGATGGTGTATGCAGTAGCGGTATGAGGGCGGGTAGGGTGGGTGCGACTCCGATTTCGGACTACGAATTTTTATATTAAACTTACACTTTGTGGGCGATTAAAACACGGGTACATTCATAAGATACCGCCCGTCCGATATCTATCCTAAACACGGTTACAGTTATAACCATCGTATTTGCGAGAAGAATAACATTTTTATAAAATGTCTACGAGTATCGTCACGGTCTGCGAGCGTTACACAATTTTAACAGCCCCGAAGTTTAAGCTCGCCAATCGCGCCAATGCAGTTTTCGTTCGTATCGATAATCCGCAGTGTAATTTTATTTTATTATATTTTTTTTTCCGAAGAAATCGTTTTCGGTACATATAACACATTTCCCCGCCAGTCGGCGATATTATATAGTAACTTTACCCTCCCCCCCATGCAGTAGTCTGCCAAATATTTAAATGACGTTACCGGAAAAGACTATATAATAGGATTGAAAAAAAAACCTACTTTTACGCATTTAAAAGGCACCGTTGTCTGCACTTGCCGGTGGTAAAAAAAAAAAGAACGCGTTAATTTAATTTCTTTTTTATCTTAAATCAACGGACCCGGCGTCTAAAGCATCAGCTATTCATATAATAATTATGCATAATTTTGCAGTCCCTCCCGTCGGATTTTCTGAAACGGACGCGCGGATGTCCTCGGCGATTGTTGTTGTTTTTCGATCGGCTGCTCAACAAAACCCGCGGTCCTATACAACAGATGATAATAATACTATGCAAATACATTATTATGGTAATTGTATATAATGAAATCGAAAAACAATACCGAGTTTATTGTTGTTTTTCTAATAATACTCGCTCCGGCGTAAGCGCCCCCCCTCCCCCAATCCTCGAGAAACCGTCGCTGCCAATCGAACTCGTTACCGCGGGAATAGTAATAATAACGATGACGATTTATGTTATTTTATAACAATAACTTTTCGGGCGGACGGTTTTCCGAGACGAAAACGCAAACAAGCGGCCAAAAGATCAACATCACTGCGAAGAGGGGAGGAGAGACGAGGGGGACCGTAACCGTTTGACTGTACTCGTACGTTGCCGTCGTATATTAAAAATTGAAATGACGTAATCAACGCAAAAACCAGGAGACAATAGGCAAACGCGGGGTGGCAGCAGAGTTATTTTCTTCTCAAACTAATTATTATTTCATGCTCGTATAATGTGCGTTGAAAAACCGAGACAGTGGAGCCGGTTGATGCTCTTGGATTTCTCGAATATGTATTTTGGTAAAACTGACGGCACTGCAATGTTGACGCCGAGTTAAAAATAATAATAAAAGCGTTCGACAATTTCCGACACTTAACCGACAGATCGAGTACAGGTAATACTACCTAATAGGGATGTAAAAATTCGGTGGATCATTTTCTCTGCCTCCATCAAGTCTCGAAGATTATTATTTATTTTAACGAATTTTAAATTTAAAAAAAAAAAAAAAAAAAAATCCATTCGGTCAAAATTTAACGTTGCGTATAAATGTTTGTGTTTTTCGATTGTATTTTATATTCCCCCCCCCCCCCCTTACCATTATTAAAAAAATGTCAAAACATAAAACCTCTCAGAAGGACGAATCGAAATAAAAGAACAATCGCCGATGTTGGCCATCGTAACGAATCCTTTGCAACTCGTGTAACCTTCGGTGAGAAAATAAAAGCACACTTCATAGTAATTGTAGTAAAATATTGATTCTATCAGCCCAAAGGTTGTTGTCAGCAATCCTATACATTCTTCAAGTTTATCCACTTTTATTTTCAACTCATAGTACATTCCATAAACTGAATCCTTAACTACTTGACCCGTGTATTCGAACGGTGGTCTTGTTTTTCAGTACGTCCAATTATCGTTTATCTATTTCAATCTGCAGGTCTTTCTTTTTGTCCCTGTTCTACCGAAGACCTACCCCACTTTTATTAACAATAATTTCCTGCAGAATTCGATGTCGACTAAAAAGGAGGGCGGGAAATGCAAAGTATAGGCATCTGCGGGACTTTGTTGAGGATTCGCGTGGACTCGCGTCCCTCGGGTACCTATCGTACGGTTTTACACGCACTCGAGTCGGATGTTGACCTGAACGTATGAAATAGCCGAACAGGGTATAAAAAGAGAAATTGTATACAATTGGGCAATTTTAGACGTACGCCAACTGATTTCGAACAAAGTATTCATGTAGCTTCCGCGGTCGTGTGACCGTTAATTTCAACCGCGCAATGCAGATTTCGTCTCAATCGGTCAATGGTGGGAACTCACGGAGAATTTAAGATGGCCTTATGATGTCGGAAATCGGAAAATGTCTTGATTAGACTTTCGGTTTCCCGGTAACTGTATGTACACCTATCCTATGGCCAACAGTATTGGAAAAAATACTCCAATTTTCCTCCGTCAATTGTCGGTCATGTCGCTATCTTTCGCGTCAGGTACCTATTGTGTCACGATCGCGCGTATAATGTCGCGGGCGACTGGTATGCTTCGGACAGCCTCGGCGCAATTTTCTCAGGGCGCGGTTCGGGGATAAGGGGTCCGGCGTGTGAAAAGAAAAAAAAAATGTAATTTCGCGGGGCGACCGCGGGTACGCGCGCCTCGAGTCCGTCACGTGTTTACGCGTACTTTACACACGTACGACGCGCGCACGCGCGAAAACACGACGGATTACAGCCCGCTAATTAAAACATTTTTGAACCTTTAACGACACCGGCGGCGGCGGCGGCACGCATTTCCTTTGTACGCAGCAGGTATACGTATACGTATATATATATATACGTACTTACATCCTACGCTCACCGTACTCAAATACACACACACACACACACACACACACACACACATATATATATATACGTGTATACAGATAGGTATATACAATGTATACACGCACTTGTTATTATTATTACTATCCGCGCCGGCTAAAACTCGACTCGGGTTTTATCTAATAAACTAATAATCCGCCTCCGCCGCCGCGGCTGCAGAACCCTCCGCGAGCCGTCGTAAAGTTACGTCACTTTCAAAAACCTTTAGCCCCGCGGTGCGGCGGATTTCGGCGGACGGGCGGGCGGCGTATTATATAGTTTTAATTAATTATTATACGACAACGGGTCGCCCCCGACCCCCGGAAGCGCGCGTACAAACGGCGGCGGCGGCGGCGGCGGGTAATAGGTATACGGTTGCGCCGCACAGTCGCTCTTCTGCTCGCGCGGATACACCGCCGCCGTGCACAGGAACACACGCCGAGCGTATATAGTAAATACGAACGTTACACAATGTTATTATAATTATATACACGTGTGGATATTATTTTATACGGGGCGGGCGCCCGCGGCGCTAATGAAGTGTTTTGTTACCGTTCCGAAACGGCGGACGTAATTTAATTTGAGTTTTTGGACGTGAGAGATTCCGACCGCGCGTACGCACAATAATACACCTGCCTCCTCTAATAATATGATATCAACGACGCCGCCGCCGCCGCCGCCGTTCAAGTGTCGTGTGCCGCCGTCGCCGCGACAATTAACCGGCTAACGCCGTTCGCCCACTTTACCCCGTAAGATATCTTTTGCGAACAACAGTGTAACAAACGGTTACGCGGCACGGTTGCACCGGCAGCGTTGTCCGTTTCCGCGGAGCCCGCCGTCCCAATCGCTGGCGTGTGGGTCAATCTCGAAAAATAATTTTTTCCGCGTTCGTATCGGCGACGAACGCGGAGGGGCCGCGAATACGGACGATGGTGCGCTCGGCCGGCGTTTCGATGAATCGGACGATGCGGTACGCAATTGCGACAACCGCGAATCGAGTGGCGGCTGCCGTTTTTTTTAACCGTGTCGCCAACAAGTATCGCGTAAGTAAAAAAAATTCAATTTTCGTGCCCAAAGTACCGAAAACCAGGTGTCGGCCGCCCTTCGAGTATGGAATTTCGGAAATCCGGTATCGAGGCGCACGTCGAGGATCCGTTCCGTCCGCTACTTTGTACATGTATTCAGACCTCTGCCTGCAACGAATTCGGCTCGAATACACCGCGCGCGCACAAATAGACCGGCAATTATTTTTACTAAAAATCACGATCATACAAAATGTATAACTTTGTCCCGCTATTTGTGTACACTTTCAGTAGTAGTTCCGTCTGCACCAAATGATATCAAACCAAGAAATTATTGCCGTCGAATAGGCGGATTGATTAGTGATGGAAAAGTTTAATTGAATTTCAACACGAATTTCACAAATTTCTCGTTATTTGCGAAAGAAGAAATAGTGTTTTTTTTTTTTTTAGCTTTGAACGTCCCTATACACAGAGCCCCTAAATAAGGCAAAAGGGATGGCATTTTGTATGTTCGAATTTCACCGTTTTTTTTTTTTTCCCCGAAAATGGTATATTATATTCTATTCAGTGGTGTATTGTTTTCAAAACGAATATTTGTATAATATTTTTCTTCTCTTCCGATGTTTTCAAAGTACGGGTTTTTTTCCTTTACGACGTTACGGACTTGTCGCGTGGAATTTTCGCAGTGCAATCAATGACGTCTTAAACGGCAGACCACATAATAATATGATAATACCGCAGTATCGATCGCGGTCGAACGGAGACCGGGGGCCCGGCCGTTTTAAGCTAATTAAAAACGTCTCCCCGAGAACATAATAACGACGACAGCCGTCGTCTTTTACGACCGAGGAGGCCGCGTCGTCGGATTAATACGACAATTTCACTCCCGCACAGAAGACGGCGGAGTCGATGGCGCCCCCGACACCTCTTGTCGCCGAGCCGCAATAATAATAATAATAACAATTAATATTGTAATTATAAACTTGACAAATCGGGTCCGAACGAGAGTAGTCGCGCAACAGCGACGGCGTTTCGAACCGAACAAAAACGTGTACTCGTACGCTATTTCGTTTTCGCGTTCGCTGTGATGCGGTGTTTTCGCGACGCGGTGTATCGAGTAGCGGCATTACAGTGCCGTTGTTTAATGTAATTTATCAAACCGAATAATAACACGATAATAGCGTATGATTCGACGCGATAAAACGCAGACAGCATCGCCGCCGCCGCCATCGCCGCCCCGCGGTCAAAGCCGCCGCGGTTTGATTGATTCGACCGGGACGCGCCGTTTGGATTTATGAAAAAGAATAAAAAAAAAAAATAATAATAATAATAATGAAAATGAAAAAATTCACTCAATAACACGCGCCGCGACCGCCGCTGCCGCCACCGCCGCCACCGCAGGGTTAAGTGAAAAATGACCGTCGGATTTTGCCGCGTGACAACCGCCGTCCGGTGCGTGCATAAATCATCAGCGATACGTCGTCGTCCGTCGTCGTGTCACGTGCCCGAAACGAGGGGTTTTGTTCGAAATTTCGAATACACCCGTTACGCGTTACACCGGCCGCGCGGATTTTAAATTAAAGTCCCGGGAAACTCGGACGAAACCGCAAAATCGTGATAACACGCGTTATAAACCAATCGAACCAAAATAAAAATAAAAATATACACCGTAAACTTTACCGTTTTTCCCGGATTTTCTCAATTATTTGGAAAATCGAAAAAAAAATAGCAGGTGATAGGACTCTAGGTGCACGGGATAAGAGAGGCACCAACTAGACAATATTTTCTACTAGAAACCATCACTAACATTGTTTATTGGAACAAGATTACTGTAGAAAGGTTCTTTGCAGACAGAAAATAATACACACATCCTATCGCAAAATCCGTGAATTCTTTGCTTAACAATTTGCCGAAAATGTAATAAAATAATCAAACAAATGTTAAAAAGGGTAAAAATAGAGGGTGTCCTACAATTTTATCCATATGCTAATATTATTCTGTCAATATCAATTTTTTGTTTCAATCGGGTTTTATGTCAGGGGGATAAAAATGTAGACAAAATTAAATTTTTATATTCATCCCTTAATCGCAAAAAATAAAAACAACTTTATTTTTTCACTTTTTAAAATTTTTAAAATAGCCAATTCGTAAAATATATTATTCCACAAAAAACTGTTATTACTAAGAAACTAATAATCGGATATTAACGATATGGTACATTAAAATCTTTAGAATAATATATTTAACAAATTAGCTGTTTTGAAAATTCTATTCTAAAAAGTTAAAAAGTAATGAGTTTTTTTTATTTTTCAACGATTAAGGAAAATGTAATTTTTCTCTACTTATGTTCGGCCTTGACACAATCCTCGACTGAAATAAAAAAAATTTAGCATTAACAGAGTATTATTAGCATACGGATAACACCGAAAGACATTCTGTATATTTTAGAACAGGATCTAAACTAATAGCTTTCGTATTCGTTTAACTACTATCTTGCGGGTTACGACTTGTAAACGATTCTCGTCGGTCGACAAAAAAAAAAACTCTACGATAAAAGTCGAAATTATTTACTTTCCGTGTCAATTAACGACCGCGCGTATAACAATATAATAATATCAAATTTGTTTACATTAAAAAAAATAATAAAACCGGTAAATTATACACGTCCTATAAGTTTATATGTATTTAAGTGTGCAATTCGAGCGAACTAAAATCCGTCCAGGAAATTGATTTTCAACGTAAATATTTGTTAACAAATATTATATTTCTATACTTAAGTTTTATTTTTAGATTCTGAGTGTAGCGAAGAAGCTTATGGTTTTACAAAGATGTCTTTTTTTTTTTTATCTATAGACAACTTTTCTATCAGAATACTTGCTCCGATTTTTACGTATAGCACGTTTTCTGAAAAAAAATCGGTGTGAGAAGGTACCATAGGGATAGAAAGTCGATTTTCTTAAGAGTTTTCTCATCAAATGCGGAAAACTGAAAAAAAAACTGATGAAAAAAGGGAAAATGTAAGGAATATATTTGTACATTATTATGATTTGTTTTTCTGTAGGCAACTTTTCTACCAGCAATTTTGCTTCAACTTTTAATGATAGAAATTTTTCTAAAAAGAAAATTCACTGGACAGGTACTTAAGAGAGGTTGTTTTTCGATTTTCTTAGTAAATGTGAAAAACTGGGAAAAACATGGGAAAGCCGAGAAAAAAATAGGAAAACCGGGAAATCGATGCAACATTAAACACATAATATTAAAGATAATCTATAGAGCCTATTTAATTATTTTACTATAATATGGCATATATATATATATACATTTGATAAAGCATCACTATCAACTGAACTCCGTTCAGAATTGTTTTTTCATAAGCAATGGTTTATCGTTGCTTACAGTCTACAGATATATATTAAATTATCTATAACAATGGCTGCACCCGTCCCCATTATCCTAGGACGTCTTTTTTATATTGAATTGTTATTACTTTATTATTTAAAAAGTATGTTGCTACGAACATATAGTAAAGTTTTAATAAAATGATAATGTTATTTTTTCGATTGTACTATTTAATTAAATTGTTAAAATAAAAAATAATAAAAATGACATTCAATGTGTATTTAAGAAGTATTGTTTGTTCAAAGCTATTTGAGTTAATTCGTTTGAAACAAACAACTTGAAAAATATATATATTAGGTATACAAGACGTGTAAATAATAATATTTCCCGGACGAAACCTCCTTTTGTTTTTTTCCCCGAATTCTGCATCGAGTTTAACATTCGTTAGACGTCGTCGTCGTCGTTGTCGTGACACAAATCGCAGCTATTAAAAAAAATAAAAACACACCGGAGTACAACCCCCTAATTTGTCACAGTTATCGCACATCGTATTTTTCGTAATAAGAAAAAAAAATGTATATTATTATAATAATTCCCCTACTCCATTACGACAAAGTTTTTTTTTCGCATCCCCTTCACAATATACTATACTATATTATATTATGTTTTGCGTTTTGATATTCCGAACGGAGTTTTTATCTTGCCCGGCAACAACAGGTCTTCCGGCTGAATACTAAATAAGGACACTTAAACGCATTAAAGTTGTCTTTCGAAAGAAATTCCATATTTTTGTGCCCCCTCGCCGTATACACGAGAAAAGAAAATGTTATTTGATATTGTTCTTAATGTTCCACGTCAAACTCGGCATACCAAATGTCTTTTGGTCTTTAGTAAAGCAAAAAAAAAAAACCCCCCGAGAAAAAAGGACGCTGGGATTTTTTTGATCCGATCATAAAATAAAAATAAAAAACAAAAAACTCCGACCGCCTGACGATATATACGTATATAAATGACTATAAAAGAAACGGAGAAAAAACTTTACGTCTAGGGTCTAAAGGGAGGGGGTTAGAAGAGAAGAAAGCAACTATGACGTGTCTGAGTAAACTTTATAGCGACCACAGTAACGGCTATATAATAATATTATTCGTTATATGGCATTTTAAATCCCTTAAAAGTCATAAACCATGTGATTCGGACGTGGCTGTTTCCGAGTATTATCAAAATATTTACGATACTATATTCATATTGTATAAAAAAATAAAGACGGACATGCTTCGCACATGGGTGGGAAATTCACTGTTGGGAAAATCAAAATATGTCCTCCCTAAAGTACCACCTTAGTCAGATTTCCGTTTAGAAAAAGTGTTATTATTGTTAATCGGAGCGAAATTGTTGGTAGAAAAGTTGTTCACAGTTAAAATAAAAAAAAAAAATAAAAAAAATAAACATCATTGTAAAACCAATACATTTCTCGGTCCACTCGGAATCTAAAATCGGAAACTTAAAAGTTATGTTATTTTTCTTTTATCAGTTTCGATAGAAAAAAACCCGATTCTGTTTGGTTTTTACAATCCATAAAGACCTGTTAGTTGTCTGTACCACCCCAAATAGGAATTTCGATTGAAACAATTTTCTCAGTGCGTAATATCCATTATTTTTTGAAGATGTGATTCATAATTTTATTTCATTATATATATTTGTATAATGTTGTTAATTACATTATGATTCATGATTGTCATTATTGTGTATAATAAACAATATGTTGTTAAAAATTATAATTTACGTATTCATAATTTTTACTTTAATTATCAGTTTTGTTTTTTTTTTGTAACAGATAAAATGACAATGGACGTCAAAGCCAGCCAAGTAGCGGCCAGTACAGCTACGAAATCGAGCGGGAACGTCGGTGCATCCGCCTCAACCGGAGGTCAAGAATGCGCTGGATGCGGAAAACACATAACCGATAGGTAAGATAAGATAAGACAATACATACCAAAATCGCGTATTCGAAATTTTAAAAAATTCATACCTATGCATTCGTGTGTCCTATGTGTATGAGATGTGATAAAAACGTAACGAAACATTTTATATTTCTACACCAATCTTATTTTTTCTTACACAACTATTTTAACTTCTTCGAAGTAATCTCTTCGGGATGGCATCAACGTAGGCGTTTTTTTCCCAATTGTTTTAGCCGTGATGGAACGATTCGCCTAGCCTTCAATAATAGCACCAAAATTACATCTTTTCAAGCCGGTTTTGATCACGGGGAATAAACAAAAAATCGCACAGGCCGAGGTCGTGAGTGAATAGCGTAGCTGGGAACTGCGAAGATCCATTTTTTCGTCGAAAATTGGTCGACGGAAAAAGCCGCGATCGAGCGCATTCTCGGTATGGAGAATCGTTCGTCTTCCCCGAGTTTCCCGACGGTCCATAAATGATTTTTGTCGCCGAAAAACTTGTACGCTTAATAACGCATTACGTTTGTTCTAACATTCCGTGGGCCTGACTCGCAGACATACCAAATATAATACGAGACATTTGATAGTATTTCGTATCTTTAAATTTCACTGTTAGATTTTCGTAACGAAATACAAAAAAAGACCAAACTTTACTAGACGATTATTCGTATACCGCGCGATATCGTACAGCGGAGTTTTTTTTTTTTTTTCGGAAAAACTAACAAAACATTCCGTTTATATCTGTTGCGGTGCCGGATAGGTTTTTGCTGAAGGCGTTGGATTTGTTTTGGCACGAGGACTGTTTGATGTGCGGCTGCTGCGGCTGTCGACTGGGCGAAGTCGGGTCCACGCTCTACACCAAGGCGAACATGATCCTGTGCAAAAAGGACTATTTCAGGTATTCAATTGCGAACACGTCGTACACCGTACGATGCTATTACTGATTGACAGGTTTTACAGGATGTTCGGCAATAAGGGCATGTGCGCCGCGTGCTTCAAAGACATACCGGCATTCGAGATGGTCATGCGAGCACGGAGCAACGTGTATCACTTGGAGTGTTTCGCGTGCCAACAGTGCAATCACAGGTACGTATCGTGACGTGACGCGTCATAATGATAATAATAATAATAATATAATCTATACGCCCGTCTGGAGTAAATACTTATATACGGGCGACGGGGGGATCGGGACGAGGAGAGGTCGGAACGTCCCTTTCCCGCTATATATATATATGTATACAGTATAAGTATACATACATATAGTTATATATATATACACAAGTATCTGCCCGTCAAGAAGGGAAAACACCCGGCCAAGTGATGTCTAATCTGTTGCGATTAGTTATCCTAACAACCCTCGCCCGCATGATTAAACGTTCTGACCCGCACGCGACGGGGTCGCAAATAAATTCGCATTAAATGCCGCGTACAGATAATTAACGACGAGGAACAATTATACCGCGGCGTTCGATGAAATTCGAGAATAGTTTGCGGGCATACAACAGAGTGCGTAACGCGGCCTGCCACATAAAGCTCTTGCGCATTATTGCACACGCGCTGACGCGACACTGCGCAGTTGTGCACACGACCGTAACGTAATATCGCGGGGATGGGGGGGGGGATCTTGGGCACACTTACTATATCCGGATCAGTATATGATTTCTAAACAAGCGCGAACCGTTTCGGTGTCTGCCAATGTGTATACCAATGGGTGTCCCACGAGGAGATATCATGACAATAATAACTGTCGCCCCGTTCGGTATTGGATTCAAAGCCGATCGACGAATGTATTGGTTTTACAATGGTGTGTATCGTTGTCTTTTCCGGTGAACAATTTTTCTATCGGAAAATTCGCTCCCATTTTCGAGCGTAGCACTTTTTCTGTAAAGAAAACCTGACTAGAGTGGTACTTTAGGACGGTCATTTTTTGATTTTCCCAGCTGTTTATAATAATAAATGAGATAAACCATATGAAAAACGGGAAAGTCTACGAAACGAATTGTTTTCAAATCGTAAATATTTATATAAATAAATAAATAAATGCGTCGCCTTTCCAAACATGTACAACCAAACTCCGCTCATAATCGTTTTCTCGTTATAACAACAGTTGCGTACAGATATACATTAAATTTCTCCCCTAACTTCTCGACTTCTCGCCTACTACTATAGTCCGTCAATCGTGCGAATAAGTATTTGCGTAATCTTTTTACTTTTATTTTTTTTTTTTAAACCAAAAATACAAAATTTGTTTTTAAAAAGACGTCCTAGGACAACGAGGACGGGTGCAGCCACTGTTGTAGATAATTTAATGTATAACTGCAACCAACGATAAACCATTGCTAAGAAAAAAAACGATTCTGAACAGAATTCAGTTGATAGTGAAGCTTTGTCAACAATATATATATATATATATATCATTTTATAATAAAATAATTAAATAGGCTTTATATATTTTCTTAAAATTATACTTTACTATTAAACCGATTTTCGCAGTTTTTCTACGTTTTTCCCGGTTTTACCGTGTTTAATCGCGGTTTTTCACATTCGCCCGAAGAACTCTGGGGAAATTCAAAAAATGACCTCTCCAAAGTACCCTCCCAGTGAAATTTCCTTTTAAGAAACGTCGCTGTCATCACGAGTCGGCGCGAAATCGCCGGTAGAAAATTTGTCCACAGAAAAAATAAATAAATAAATAAACGCTCCGCTCCGCTCAAAATCTAAAATCCAACACCACGGTAAATAACACGTAGTTAATTTTCAAACAAAACGTGCGGGAACCGTTCATGACGTTAACGCGCACCAATATACTGTTGTGTACGACTTTGTATCCGCCGCGTACGGTGTTTATCGGGAATTCCGGAATATCGCGTATGCAATTGTTACCCGCGATATTATGTTAAAAACGTTCGGCGGCTTATCGCCGGCCGCACACACTGACGCGTATTATAAACAAAACGCGCCGGGGAGGGGGGGGACGCGATATTATTTATCTCCGCCGCGTACACGCGAACGCGGCGCGGCGGCGGCCAGTAACGGTAATACCGTACCGACACGGCGCGCCGCGGTAACATGTGCGTGGCTAATTGACATGTGACATATTATTATTATTATTATAATACGTCCGATACGTACGACAACGGGGCGCGCGCGCTGCTCCCGTCCGCATATTATAATACTCGTAATAATAATAACAACGCCGTATTATATCGCGTATAATCGCGTACAGTAATAATATAATAATATATACTCATATATATATATGTATATATCGTAATATGACTGCGACGGCCGGCCGCGGCAATTATGAGAAAACAATAACTCATATATATATATGTTATACGTATGTATATATATATATATATGTATCTCCCTCAACAATATTCCACTCCACGTAACGCCTAAATGGGTAACGGCGGCGGCGCAATATTGTAATTCGCATTGCCCGGCATTGTCACGGCGACGGCGGCGGTGGCCGTAGCGGCTCTTTATTCCCTTTCACTCCAATTAATTAATACACACACACGCGCGCGCGCGCTCGCTCGCTCGTTCCCCGGATGCGAGTGCGAAAGGGGCCGGGGGAGGGGGTGGGGGTGCAGTGCAGGACTTGGCGTTCGTCGTAAGCGCACTGCCCGCGGATTAATTAAATTTCATCCCCAGATTCGGTAAACCCTGTGTAAACGATTCCTTTTATTCAGCCGCGCCGTGCGGGCATTCCATCAACGTCCCACCTCCCTCCATACACCCTCCTCCCCGTCCGCTCGACAAAATATTTCGCCTCTTCTCTCCCGGCCACTATATACGTGTGTATATATACAGTCTATACCTTGTCACGTCGGATATTATATTTCAAAACGACGATACACTGCTGCGCAGCCACTACCCCGTCGCATCGCCGCAAACTACCCCTTTTCGACGATAAAAAAAAAAAAATGCACTGCGAAAACACTGGAAATTAACAACCCTCGTTGCTGCGCGCGGAGGAACGGTCTAGTCGCACGGCGGCAATAATACGGCGACACATTTGGTTCTTTACGCGGCCCGTAAATCAATCACATAACCGTTCATAATATTTGTCAGTTTTCCGCTCGCTAGTGTCAAGTTCGACAAGTTGTGGGCCGGTGTCTGAAAAAAGACACGACTATAGGAGACGATGAGACAGAGTCTACTGGCATTTACGTTTGTATTTAATATAATTGGAAACATATGATTACATTCAAAATTCGATAATCAGAAGAAAAAGGTCACAAATGAAAATTGAGGCAAGCCTGACCATACCCAGTCCGGCCCGGCGGTCAATCGCTGCCAAAGACATCTATTATGCATTTGTTGTTTGCCATTTACAACGACTATCACCAGTACGTAAAAATCCGTATAAACGCAAAAGGCATTGGCAATGAAAATAATTGTAGCTTCGGCAAACGGACAATTGTAATAAAGCGAAGAAACGAATGGAAAACAAAATTCGAACGCGAACAAAACAACGGTTTGGTTTCCGATAAAGATTTGGGCAATTCGTTTTGACCGGCGACTGTGACCAACCGCTGCGGCGCACTTCGAACGCATTTTCGAATTCGTCAGTCGTTAAAAAAAAAAAAAACCTGACGCTCGTCTAGACACGCGGCCAATCACGGGCGACAGCGAACAGACGGCCATGAACGGTCGCCGGCATCACTACACCTAACAGACATTCCGGTTTCAACGGCGTCTGGTTCGCCACCGCCGGGCGTTTTTTCGAAAACGGCCGGGTTGCGTTGGCGAAACAGACTGTTTTTCGAGGCGATTGGGAAAAAAAAAACGCCGATTGACGGACGGGCGGTGGGGTATGTATATTACGGCGAACGGACGCCGGTATGGTCACAAACGTGACGCGGGCGCGAACCCCCGGGAGAAAACAACGTGAGTTCACGACGATAAAAAGCCGGAGACTTTTCCATACCGCGTGTCGATATCGGCGAATCGTTAAAATAACAATTGGTCTGTTTTCGTAAAACCGTTTGATTTATCGCGAGCAGATTGTAATGAAAAAAAACGGGGTAAACAGCCGCGGACAATACGGTCCGGTGAAAAACGGCGCGCGCGCGTGACTCCCCCCTCCTCCTCCCCCTCCCCGGCGATCTTTATTGCCGACAAGTCCGGTACCTATCGCGCGCGTACGTACTACGGACACCGCGGAGTATATTATACAGGGCGTGTGAGCCGGAGGCGGTAAGTTTCCCAACGTATACGAAAAACAAACTTTATCCCCGCGCGTTATCGCCGTAAATAACGACGCGCCTTATTACAGCGCGGACAAAACGCCATAACGGAAATTAGAAACTTCTAACTGCCCAACTTTTTATCGCCGCTCTACTGGCACAACGTTGCCCCGTGTGTAACGGCGCGAGGGGAGGGGGGCAGGGGGAACGTCGCGTCGCCGTGTTCGGCATACGCGCGCGTGCGCGCCAATAAAATATTAAAACGCAATATAAAACGCGGACGATGTTCACCCCGGGGCTATTTGTACACGTTTAATACCGACTACAATGCGACCACGCCGCGCACGTTCCGTCAATCATTCTGGCGGGGCGCCGCGCACACGGTATGCAAGTACTCTTGTACGGTATTCGTAATAGATTTCAATTATCCGCCAATCATCGTTTTTTAATAACGCAAAACGTGGTACGCGTGGGCAAAAGTAATATTGCGATCGTTCGAGATCGTTTGTGCGGCGCGTGCGTGTTATTAATTATTTATTGTTCGTTTTACCGAAACGCCAAGCGGTTTCGTTTGTTTTTGTTAATTTTCCGCGCACGAATTATCGCGTCACGTAATGTATCGAGCCCGGTGCGACGGACGAGAATCGGGACCTCAACAACAGGAAAAAAAAAAATACGAGTTCCGTAGAGTTCGATACAGACGATTCTCTACGCCGTACGGTAAAACTTCGATCGCATTTTAATCGCACTCGGAAATAACAGTTGAACAACAACCGGTCGATCAGTCGATATCAGTCAAACACAAATCACAACCATACACCATCGCACAATCTGGCACGGTGATTATTTAATACGTCCATAGAAAAAAATGCGTTCCCGTAAAACCAATGAAAAAAAAAACCCTTGGTATAAAACCTCCGCTAAGCGCCAATTAAATTTAAAACATGTTACAATAAAGTATTTGAATTTACAGCGAGATTTCTCAAAGGAAAAATAATTTAAAAAAGACGGACTTACTTCGACCATGGGTGCAGTTTTAGGTGGGAAGTTGGGAAGGTAGGATACAGAAGGGAATTCAATGTACGTGGGTAAGCAACGATAAACTATAGCTAACGAAAAAACGATTCTGAGCGGAGTTCAGTTGATAACGATGCTTTGTCAACAATATGTATGTCATACTATGGTAAAATAATTAATTAGGCATTATATATTTTTTTTGAAATATTTGTTTAATATTGTACCGATTTTCCCATTTTTCTTACGTTTTTCCCGGTTGTTCACATTTACTGGGTGAAACTCTTGGGAAAATCAAAAAATGGCCTCTTTATGGCACCTTCCCATTCAGATTTCATTTCAGAAAAAGTGCTATCATTGTTAATTGGGGCATAATTGCTGGTAGAAAAGTTGTTCTCAGAAAAAAAGAAAGCCGCAATATATTTTAACTAATACCTGCATTTCTTATATTTTCCCGTTTTTTTCAGTTTTTCAAATTTGATGAGAAAATCGAAAACTGACCTCCTTAAAGAACCAGATTTATTTTTAGAAAAAATTGCTAAGCTTGTAAGCCGGAGCAATATTTCTGATGGAAAAATTGTTCGAAGATAAAAAAAATAATAATAATAAATAAACACCATTATAAAACCATAAGCTTCTTCGCTCCACTCAGAATCTAAAACATCGTAGATGGTGAAACCAATACATTTATCGTTTCTAAAAAAAAAAACTCATGATCGATACACAAAAATGTCTAAACATTCCTGTTACTATTTTCATAATACGACATGTTAAGCACTTGCATATTTGTATCAGCACGTGATATTTGCTGCACGGGCCTTCACGACCCTCAGGAAAATAATATAGACTCTACTAATGAATCCATTTCTCCAGGGTCTTGTTGGGCCTCGTTAAAATTCGATTTTTTTGTTAAGCTTTATGAAAGTATTTTTTTTTTTTTAAAGGTAACTTGAGGTAACTGTTGAAACTATTCAGCATATAATTATAGTTTAAGAAACAAGAAATTGAATAATTATATTAAAAATATTGTTCATACTCAATTATAATTATACGATATTATGCGGTTGATTTTAATACTCTGTTTCATAATGTTATTAAAAAAAAAAACCATTTTTTAAAACCTCCTTTTGTTTTAAATTTGTTTTTAAATACTATTAATTAATATTAAAAACGAGAGTATTTTCACGAAAAAAAATTAAGTTTCACGACGGCGTCATTAATCAAGAACTTATCTTTTTCCCCCCTGCGTATAGTTATAAGCTCACATAGTCATCATTTTACCGTCTTCAACTCTCCCCTTCTATATTTTGGCGATAACGTCATTATTATTATGACTCATATTATAGAAGTCCGACAGTGTTTTTCTAAAAGAAATAAAAAAAAAAGAAATATGTAGTTACTCGTACATCAACAAAGATGCGGTACGTAAGATTTTTTAAAAAAATAAATCATAAATAATAGCTGTATTTATATAGAAATAAAAATAACAAACGGGTTTTACATTTTGTACGTTTCATAATAAAATAATATCTACTGGGTGATTCATTAAGCATGCTAACCTCGTTGTTTTGGTTAAATTTTGCATACATTAAAATTCTGATTTTTGGGCCTTTAAGTGTAATTAAAGCTGATAAATTTTCAAATAGGTACTTAGATTTTTCACAACATTTAAGGAGCATCCTGTAACGACACCAATTTTGGTTTTTCAAATGAGAACCTATATTAAATATTCCATAAGTAGATTGAGTATTAATTTAAATACATTTTGGTGCTAATATTTTTGATTTTCGTCAATCCTTTTTAAGTGGAATAACTCAGAAATCTTTCGTTTAAATTTCCATTACAATACGTTAACATTTTCAAAAAAATCATTTGATTCATAATTACTGTAGGAAACTCCTTAAAGTTTGTGAAAAATCTAAGTATTTGAAAATAATGGTTTAAATAACTATATTTGAAAATTCCAAAAATTAGAATTTTAAAATATGCAAAATCAAACGATACAAATGGGGCGAGCATCATTATAGTGAATCATCCAGTTTATACAAGGATTGAAAAATATTTAAACCTAACTATATTTTTATCGATTTTTTACATAAAACAGAAAATATTATTGCATTGTATTTGTGTCTTTGATATGGATGTCTTTATATATATACGTTATTATATAAGATGCTCATTTTTTTCTCGCTACTTTTGGAAATTTCTATCGGCTCCCTGTGAACCGAATGGGCTCTCGAAATCGGAAATTAAAGTTGTTTTATAAACGGATTGAAGTAATAAAAGTCGGGTTGAGTTTACATTTAAATTGTTCCTACATTGTTGTTGCGAGAAGAGAATGTTTTTTATTGTTGAATATCACTATAGACCTCTCCAAATGAAGCCAGGGGGATAGAATTTTCTATTTTCAGATTTATTTATTCAGATAAAATAATATATAGATATAATATTATAATACTCGGTTATTTATTATTTTACAAAGAATACAACTAAAATTCAATATATATTGGTATTTATATACCTATGTGTGTATATACATTATATATAGATAGAAAATAGGTGGGAGTAAATTTGACTCTAGTGATGGAGCTCTGTTACTCACGGATATTATAAACTGTCCTCACCGGGTCCACTTTCATCTCTACATACAGTCCGCAATTTGTTCATTAAAAATCACTATTGACTACATAGAAGCATGCCTAGTGCTTAACAATAATTTGAACAATCTGTTAAATACATTTTATAGGTACAAATATAATAGTTAGGTGTCGACTTTCAAAAACAAATTTTAATTCGATATTCTAACGCGGTCGTTTTAGTATTTTATTATTTCAACAAGCTAATGAAACTAAAATATCGATATAATAAACGTTTTTTATTTTTGATTTTTGCGAGTAAAATTACCGTTTCCAATTATTTAATTATTTCGAAATGAACCGATATACATAAAAGTACCTACTAAGTTTCACGAATATCGATAAATTCGTTTACACAAAGTGTTCCGGGAAAATAATCAACAAATACAACCACGTGTTAGTTAACAATATTGATTATTTATAAAATAATATTTCGGTCAATATACGCGAGAACGGTCTGTAGTTTTTAAGAGTAGTATTCAAAATTGAAATACAATGCGTTCCAGAGCGAAAAACGTGCGGTTTGATTTTCAAAAATGTGTTAAGAAGAAGGGCGACACTGCAGTTAATAGATGTGCCGTCGTTATACAAGGGAAAACATTATTACGGAGTAGTTTAATATATACAATCCGTACGCGACGAAAAATTGATTATTGCTAATGAAAAACGACTCTGAACAGGGAAACATTAGTCGTATTTATTGAGATTCTAAGCCTACTAATTTCGTCGGATTGAAAACATTTTCAACAAGGTTTCCCGGTTCCCGTAATTTTGGGTAAGGGGCACACAACTTTCGTGAGGCCCCTCGCATCTCCCGGTACCTCGCACAGACCCGTTGGACTTTATACGCGGCGGCGGACGAGAACGAATTCTCCGCTCGCGTCGAGATAAAATCGGCGCGAGACTTGCGGGAAAACGACAATATATTACCCGGGCCGTATATACACGCGCCGTTTTACGGGTTGTTTGGCGAACGAAAAAGTGAAAAAAAAAAAAAAAAAAACGCTCGTCTCACCGTCATATCATTGCGATATTATGCGCGTTACGAGGGCGGCGGCGGCGGCGGCGTCCCGTTAATAGAATACGTCCGAGGCGGCGGACGGCGCGGCCGTAGAGATGTTGCGGTCGGATAACGTAAACTGCGTGCGCCCGGCTGCCGCGCGCGCCCCCGGTCGCCCCGTCCGTGCGGGACGACAAAAAAGGACCCGCCGTCGCGCGAGCGGACCGTGTGCGAACGGCAGCGAACGGTCGTTCGGCGCGCCGCCCCTCCCCGTTCCGCAGTATATTTCGCGCGCGCGTGTGCGTGCAATCGGTTCAGACAGGTGGAAAAAATGAGTCCTCCTCTGACAAGAGTGATAATCGACCGGCGGCGGCGGGGGACGTAATTGAATTGTCACTGGCAACTCGAGAGCTAATTTTACAACGTTTCCCCGCGCCGCCTCCGCCGCCGATATGAAACGATTGTCAAATCGGGCAAAACGTAAAGTTACCGTTTTTCCGCACAAACCGTTCCGCCGCCGCCGCTGCCGCCGCCGCCGCCGCCGCTCGTCGCAACGACGAGGGTTATTATATTATTATATTACATGTTTTTATTTTTTTATTTTTTTTTTTCGATTGCGTATACATATAAAACGCCCGCGCCCTCCGACCGGATCCCGCTGCTAACTCGCGCGGTCGCCGTCCCGTCCGCCGCCGTCGTCGTTACGTATAAATACGTTTGTGCAACTCGTTTTCTGCGCGACTTTGTTTTCCGTTTCCCCCCGCCCACCCTTAGTGCCCGTTCGCCGCGTACGTTTACGGGTCCGAAACGCGTCCCCCTGTCGCACTCGTCAGACGATTTTCTCCGTTTCTCACCCCCTCGCCGCGGGAACCCGGACACTCTTCCCGAAGATAACGGAAAACCCCCGAGTCGGTCACGCCAACGCTGCGAATCCCGCAGACGACTGTGACGCCGTTTTTCCGGTTTCCTTCGCGCTTCGTATCAAAACCCGCGATTCGGTTTTCGGGTTCGCACTCCGGACGCCATATGACGTCCTCGGAGCAGTATCGGGTTCGTCGGTTCGACAGTCGGGGGGTCGGCTTATCGTTTCGGATTGTCACGGTGCAGTCTTTTATTTCCCCTTAATGCTTCAAAATCGCTCCGAGAAAACAAACGCCGGAGGCGAGGTCCGAATTTGTTTTGACGAAAAAAAAAAATAATAAAAATACAAAATACACGAAACACAAAATATGATAATCGCTCCGTTCCACCGGCACTAAAATTATCCAGAAAAATTTCACGGAGAAGAGTGTTCGGCCTCTCCTACACTTCCTCTTTTAGCTCCATAATTCAGATACGGCCGTACGAAACACGTGCGTAACATATACGTACAATTTTTTTTTTTTTTTTACATCCAAACAAAAAACGCATTAATTCCGTTAACGATAAAATATTACGGCGTATATTATTTCGTACGAACAGTTTGAAAGCAATTATTATATCCCGGGACATTTAAATAAACTAAAAAAAAAATAACAATAACCTCGACGGAAAAAAAAAATCGTCCCTGTAGATCGCTGTGGGGATCACTACGATGAACGCATAAAATATGTACGAACGAAAAATGTTTTTTCAAACACCGGCTAAAACTACGCGCGCGATATTTTACGCGAAATACAATAATAATTGAATTACTATTTCCGTAGAATTCCCCGCGAAATTTAATAAAAAAAAAAAAAAAAAACCATACGGCGGGCTAGGGCATGAGCGCGCGCGCGTTTATTACGAATTACACCGTAATTAATTAAATTATTATCGCGCACGCGTAACTATCCATCGAAATAATTAACGAGACAATAGCTGCGGGAAAAGACAAAAAAAAAAAAAAAAAAAAAACCTCGCGGCGCAAATCGCGTTACACGCCGTTATAATGTTTACGAGTATCGGGTAAAAGCGGATTCCGATAAAATTGAAAACAGTTCGGATCCGAATGATCCGAGAGCTTGTTTTGCGCGAAACATTATTCGTTTATGTTGCTCGTCGCGTAAACCAATGTACGACAATTACGCGTCGCATTTTTTCCGAATTCTCCGACAGCAAACGACGCATGTGTTTCGCAAAAAGTCTACGGGTTCCGCGTAAGTTTGACCGCCGCGATCGTATCGCACCGGGGTCCGCGGGGTACGCGCGGTACACGAGATTGTCCGTCGAGAATTCTCGTCAAACCACTTTATTTTATTTATATTTTGTAGTGTTTTTTTTTTTTTTTTTTATTTGTTAATCTAAGAAACGCGATTTCAACCGTGCGTATTAGTATACGTATCAGTACGCGTGAACATCGAAACAAAAAACAAAAAAAAGCTAACCGCGCGGCGAGCGACGGCGATTTTATTAAAAACAATAAAAAAAATACGAGGCGGTTATCGGGACTGTAACATACGAAAGCGCCGCGACTCCGTGCCAAAACACACTTTTTGTAAAACCGTATTTCCGTTTCGTTTCGTTTTTTTTTTCCTTCTACTCGGTCGGACAACGAAAATACACGTTTTTGTCGAAAACGTAAACCCGCGACTACTGCAGTACAACGGTACCCCGGAGAAACACGACGACATAATCCCGCGGTGTACATATTGTAATATTATCTTTACAAACGGGACGATGACAATGGGACGAGGGACGCGAGATAAACGCATCGCGTTATCGTAAAATATACAGAGTGTTCTCCGCGAATAAGTAATACCCGTTGTGGTGTGTCTACGAAAATTGGTAAAATTCCAACTGTTTTCCGAATTTTTTAATTTTTTTTTTCGTCCTAATAGTTTTCGGACGAAACAATTGCCTACTTTTGATTTTCAAACCTGTACTGAAAATTCCATAAATAAACGACAGTATCGGTTTATATACATTCTTTGACGTTTTTTTTTTTATTTCCGTCAACCAGCTGCTTGTTTTCAACGGGTACACCTTCGTGAAACACCAAACAAAGACAAATATAACAGTGTAAACTTCTAAAAAAAAAGGACGGACATAATTGGCACGCGGGTGCAGCCACTTTTGTAAATGAGAAGTTGGAAAAGTAGAATACAGACGGGAATTCAATGTATATCTAATGATTGTTAGCTGATGTATCGTTGATGTAACCAACGATAAACCATTGCTAACGAAAAACCGATTCTGAACAGAGTTCTGCATTGTCAACAATATAAAATATTATGTCATATTATGGTAAAATTATTACAACAATGTACGTTTCCATGACAACACGATTGTTTAAAAAATATTTAAAATAATTAAAACTTAATAATAACAAAAAAAAAATTTAAATGATTGCCAATGACAACCTTATTTATAATAATTATTTTTAACCTCATTATCTCGAATATCAATGATAATTTCAAAAAATGACTTCTCTAAAGTACCACCCACGGAACATTTTCTTTCGGAAAAGATACTGTACTTGATAATCGGAGTATGCTTTCTAGTAAAAAAAGTATTCACATAAAAAAAAATAACAAAAATAAACATCTTTGTAAAACCAATACATTCCTCGCTCCATTCAGAATCTAAAATAAGTACGTATAAATAATATAATATAAAATAAAACATTTCCGACACAATAATATCGGTACTTTGTCATGATTACATATCGGTGGTTAGATTATAGTATTTCGGTAACCGTAGTATGAATAATAATATGAAAAGCCTGGGCAATACGATATTTTTAAGATACCTACCAACCCATCTATAACGACATAAACAGATTAACAATATAATGCATGCGTTTTTCAAGATTAAGCCCCAGAGCAATATAAATATCGAGATCATTAATGCTGTACGCCCCCATAAAAGCGAACAAACAAACGATAAGTATATAATAGGTGTCTAATCGTGAACATAGCAGTTAGCCAGAACATAAAAATCGTGACGATTATGTCATACCATTAGAGTGTAAATACGAAATTTAGATCGGAGAAAATACGTTCGAGGGGTGTAAGTAAAAAATAAATTGCCATACGAAATATGTCGAAACCGTGACGGTTTTGTTTTTATTTTTGATCGGTTGTGACTTTTTTTTTTGCGAAAACCCGCCCACGAAAATATGCTCCTCTTCAAATTCCGTTTTTCGCATTTCGAACCCGGACGCCGCGGTTTACGTCGTAAACAATTTCCGCACCGAGTCTGCGGTCCGCTGGTCAGATTCGGGACGGTAAAACGGCCGGCACGGCGTCGCGCTCCCGTATAACGTCACGTCCGATACCATACTCGTTTCTAACGGGAAACGCGCCGTGGCATTACGAGAAAAAAAAAAAAGGAAAAATGTCGTCCCGGCGGGGGGAAGGGAGGGAGGGGGAACCGTGTATAATAATATATACATAATTTATTCGTTTTGACCCGTACCTAAAATACCGAATTAACGCGGCGACGACGACGACGGCCGTCGAGCGATATCGTTACGGGGGGGAAGGGGGGGGCGCTCGTACGCGCAGTACACGCTCGCGTCGCCGGTCTACGAAAAGAACGAATAATTTATAAAAGTTTTGTCGGGGACGGGGGAAAGACTTAAAATAAACGGAGACCTTAACCGAGGTGATACGCGCGTGTATAAATATACAAAAGCACGGCGAATTCGTCGACAAAACTGCCGTCATAATCCGAAATGGGGTCTTATACGACACACGGTCGCCTCTCGCTGCCTCCCCGCGCCCGCGCCCGAACGGAGACGGTACCGTCCTATAAATATATATATATATATATATATATATATATATATATATATATCTATACGCGCGCGCGCGCGCGCGGGGACACTACTCGTATACGCGAAGGATTAAAGACTTAAATTACAAACTCCGTCGGCATAATAAAGGTTCTAATTCTTCGCGTCTTTTCCAAATCCGTGTACTTTATCACGTGTCGCGTCTTCTTAATTCGGTGTCTGCTTGGCTTATCGCCCGCCGCCCGCCGCCGCCCCCCCCCCAACCCGGAGACCGTCCCCTCTTCCCCGCCCTGCACGGACGCGGGCGCATAATCCGGACGACGACGGCAAACTACTACGCGACGCAAAGACGAAAAATCGGTGTAAAGCGATTACCGAACGTTCGATAAGCGTCTTTGCGCGGCTAACGCCGCGTCGTCGTCGCTTGTTTGTGTCTCCTCCGAATTTGATTTCCCCTCCCCCTTCCCGTTTCGGTATGCGTATATACTCGCTTAATGACACTTTAACGCGGCGCGCTCCACTCGACTTTTGATACTATCGCGGCGCGCGCGTTTTATATACCTGCTGGGTACCGTGTACGGGTTTTAAAAAATATGCGACCGCGCGATCTTGCGGCGAAGACCCGTTTTCGGGCAGATATCTGCTCAAAAGACGTTCCCGCCCCGGGGCCGTATTAACTGATTAGACGCCGACATGAAGCGCTATGCCTAGGCCAAAGAAAACCCGCGTCGATAATATCGTTTATTATTATTGATTTTTTTTTTTCTGTCTGTAAACAACGTTTCTGCCGGAAATGTCACTCCGATCATTTGCGACTTCACGCACGGTTTCTGTTAGATATAACTTTGTATAGTCGGTGACAACCACGCGATGAGATGTATAGTTCCTAACAGAGTTAATAACTTTGGAAAACATGAATATTTACACAATAATGATTTCTGTTTATTTTTTGATTTTTTTAGTTTTTAGATAGCGAACGAAGCGAGGAATGTATTGGTTTTACGATTATGTTTATTTTTTTTTTCGTCTGCGAACAAATTCCTACCAGAAATGTTACTTCGGTTTTCTAATTTACTACTTTTTCTGAAGGGAAATTTTAAATGGACGGTACTTTATAGAGATCATTTTTTTGATTTTCCCAGAGGTTTTCATAAAACTTGGGAAAAAACGAGAATATGTATGTACATGTACAATAGACACTTTGCTCCGAATCGTTTTCCATTAGTAATGTTTGATCGTTACGTACATATATAAATTCAATTCCCCTCTATACCGTACTTTCCTAACTTCTCACCTGCAACGGTAGCTCACCCATCGTAAGAAGAATATAACTTTTTTAAAAAATTTTTTTTTTGTGATTTGATAGAAAATAATCGTAATAACCTGCACCTTCATCGAATACTTACATTTCCTTATAGTTCTTTCATAATAATTGATAAAACCACGAATTAGTTACAAATCGAATACGAAACGTAGGAAAAACGTAAAGATGTAACCGTTTCTGTTTTGTTGGTTTTCATTTGGTTTTATGTGGATACATTTGTTTTTACCTGGCAAAAATGATCGACAACAATTTAACACTATATTCATCATAAGCCTAATATTAAAAACAAAAAATTTTTTTTATAAAAATCGTTTTTTATTAGCAACGATTTACCATTACGTAGGTACTGATATAAATTAAATTACAGTATATAGTTCTATTTTTCCAAATGCCCGCCAACGACAGTAGCACAGCCGTCAGCTATATTAGTTTTTTATTTTCATGTTCTACTTTTTGTTTAAACATAAAATTAATTAGGAACAAAACAAGAATCGAGTCTAAGGTTTAATTAAGTTTAAAATCAAAACAAATAAAAATCATCTTCTTTTAAAACAGATCGATTTAAAAACCATGCTACATATACTCTTGTTGACGACATTTACTATAATATTATACGATATTGGTATTTTTGTTTGTGTGCGTGTGTACTTTTTCGTCGTATTTTTTACAACACTAAAAAGGCGGAGTTTGAGAATTGCTTTCGATTTAAAAGAATAATAAAAAAAAAAAAAAACCACACTACCGAGAAATTCGGAAATGGCACCCACTAATGACAACGGCGTGTTTAGATAAGGGTAATAATTCATGTGCATGACGGAGGAGACGGAAGACGCGAGAGACTCATAAAAAGAATTCGAAAAAACAGCCTTTAACTGATAACATTTCCTTTTCTTTTTTTTTTTATTTTCCCTCCTCTATGATGTTCGTCGTTTGGTTTTATCACTATTGGGGTGGAATATTCCCCACGTATACGCCTATACTTTGCTGACGAACCACATGATACCACTCAATGATGGATTAATGCATTCTTTTCTTTTAGTTTCCATACAAATAATTTTTTTTTCGTTTTATTGGAAATTAAATGATATAAAATTTAATTAATTTTTTTTAATCGCCTCATTTAGGTATATTAATAAACCGACTAAAATTAAAGAAGTTGAAAATTTTTTTTAAGACAATTATGTATACGTATTATATTTTTACTTATACAATGTATAAGTAATAATATATAATGTAGGTATAATATATACATTATAAGTAACTAAAAATAAATAATATAAAATATTCATAAATACTCTCGAGATATATTTCATAATTTATTAAAAACTAAAAACACACTTTAAGTTTAAACCCTAACATGAATTTAATTTTGTTTTTTAGTCAAACCCTTCGAGGCAACTTTACTCAATCTGCCTCTGACACGAGGGAATAATATTCTTTAAAAGAATAACTTTTTTTCTACACATTTTATGTATAGGTTGTATGAACTATCCTCACTAAAACCCGAAGAAGGGTTAATTAAAGGCCGTCAACAATTCTTCCCATAATATCAAAGTATTAAAATCTCAAGTTCCCTTTAAAATTAACTTTTTAATATTTTAATTTTCATTATTTGAACATTTATCCATTATTACGTTCAAGATTCAACTAGTGGCATGCCTAAGATCAGTAAAAGAGTTCTTCGGGGCATCTGTCTTGCAAACTCTAATTTTGACCTAAACCGCGCCTTTAATAAATTTAAACAATTATTATAATTTTAAATTATGAGTTTAGTGTCAATTGAAGAACAACACTCGAATCTGCGTAAAAAAAAAACTGTGGAATCATGTTTTAGTTTTATATTTGTCTTACAAATAAAAATCACACTATTTGAGATGACCCTTAAACTATAAAATATGTGCAATATAATATATATTCAATAATAATATTATTTAAATTTAATATCTTATTTTAAATTGTGTGTCTTATATTTATTGTTTAGCACCCGAGAAAATGAAATTACAAAATCGTCTATTTAAATGTCAAAACCCTTTTACCCAAACAAAACGATAAACACAAATCTTAATTTCTGACTCAATTACCTAAACACTTAATACGCGTATAATTTTTGAACTCCGTTGTGCCAATGAAATTAGGTGCCTGCAGGGAAAATGAAATTATACAGAAAACCCACTATCAACACATGTTGATGTTGAGAGTTACCCTTTTTGACGCGTTATCGAGAATTTGTTAAAACGCGTCTCGGGATAATGTATTCTTCGTTTAGCCGAAACGTCATCTGTTGTTACCTAATGATTATTCACCGTAAAGTGCCTTAGACGTATAGTAACAGCAGCTTCGGTGCACTGGCGCTAACGTTAAATATATAGGGAAAGAGATGAGTAGGTACTGTAAAGCAGCGGGGAGAGGGGACGAATGTGTTAAAAGTTATTCATGCAACTTTAAATGCGAACGAAACTTGATTTTCGTCAGCGGGGGAGTGTATATATATAGGAGCAGAGGCGGTGTTGGGTAGAGGATGGCAAACGCGTATACTGATTAATTATTCGACGGATGCAGATGTATCAAGCCGAGAAACTGGAAGAGAGGTTTTTGTTTTTGAATCATTGGCATCCATGTGAAAGGATTTCCATGTGAGAGAAGTCGAAGTCGAATGATGCAGAGAGTGAAAACTTGCTTTCGCCCTGCAGGACGTTTTCTCCATAACCAAGAATTGTATAGCAGGGGGATAAATTAAATTGATTTACAGTTTGAAAATTAGATCGATTGATCATTTAATATTATGATACATAAGTTAATACACAATTGTAATTTGCGTAATAACGATTCAACATAAAGTTAAAACTCGTATTTAAAATAATCGTTTCCAATACAAAAACTTCCCTTGTACATTATTAGTTATCTTTTTATATGGAGTTTTATGGAAAAATGATAGGTACCCGCATATTAATGTCAACTCAACTCAACGAATAAAGACAATTATCTGGGTATTAACAATAATAATAATAATAATAGTAATAATCGTTTGAAACTTGTATAAATCTGTTATTAATCGCAATTTTTTTCCCCTAGTCGAAAACAACGGTATTAAGTCGAAAAAAGTGCGGGACAAAGTTTCTAATTTATCGGCATAATAAAAACATAATCCGGGGCGCCCTCGGACCGTGACATAACTGCCCTGGGCACGACCTTTAAATGACTTATAAATCCGATCGAGCTGCGCTCATAAACTGTTTTCTCATAAACTTGATTTAAAGATTTTCAAAAGCTAGTAAAACAAATAACTTCAAATAAACAATCCGCCGGAAACGTACACCCTTATATTATTATAGCGATGATGTATTTATGAAGGATGTTCAGAGACGAACTCCCCAAATAAGATTTATTAAAAAAATGTTATTTTCCCTGTTCACCCTCTTTTAAGCCAACTATCGGACACAATTGTATACTTACTCGTAACACATTAATTTAAAAATATAACTTTATTATCGGGGTAGTACACATTTATCCTGCAGAATCGCGTGTAAAATAATATTTTATTGTCTTTAGCGCGAAAGAAACGACTTTTCGCCGATTATTATTTTAAGTGTCACAAACGCTTAAATTGGATATAAAATAGATTAATATAAAAATACCCGTATAATATATATTATTATGACGTATACTTTAATAGATTAATAATGGCATTTGTGAACGTTAATTTACAATTTACTCCGAGTCAGTGACTACAATAATCCAAATCCGTTTAACCCAATAGATTACAAATTAATGTCTAGTCGAGTATTGTAATAATGATAATGGATTGTTTGTACCTTAAACGGATTACTAGCGTGCATACCTAATCGTGTTATACATTTTAAATGTCAATGTGTAATCTACTCTGTGGTTCCTTTGAGCTCGATAATTTTTTTTTATTCTGGAACGATACACGAATTCTTGCACGAGCCCTTAGTCGACGCGAATTTAAAAATATTTAAACTAATAATCTAATTCTATGTACGTAAGAATGTTGTACTGAAGACACGGTTACTTTGATTTTCAGATTTTGCGTCGGAGACCGCTTTTATCTGTGCGAAAACAAAATATTATGCGAATATGATTTCGAAGAGAGAATGGTATTTGCGAACATGGCTTACAATCCAGCAACGTTGGCTCAGTTAAAGCGACACGCTACGCACATACCACCAGCGGTATGTTCTAAGCAATTTTAATATTTTAGAAAATAAACCAAATGTTTTTTCGGAAATAATGCCACCATTTTAGGTAAAATTTACATTTTCGTTTGATATGTGATATTCTCTGAAGTTTCACCGTAAAATTCTTAAAACGCTAAAATAAAGCAAATATTTCTATTTAAATTAAATTATCAAACAAATTTGTTTTTAACGTAATATTTAAAAAGAAAAAAATATCACCATAAACTAAATTAAAAACTTAAAAATTTAATATTATATAAATACCTACAACACAATAACCTACAACGCAATATTATTATTACTATCGATAAATATAAAATATAATAATATAGAAACGAACGACTTGCCTACACAAATATTTTTTTTACGAGAATAAATCGAATTATTATTCGGAAACTCGATTTGTGCTAGTGTACGCTCGTGTGTGAACTTAAAAAAAAAAAACAATCTTGTAAAAATCTTTCTTTCGGTTTTTATCTATACGGTATCGATATTATTCCATTGGTTTACGCGATTCGTTCTCCCCCCCCCCCACCCGCGTCAAATGTGAGTAAATTAATAATTAATTTAAAAAAAAGGTCATTACTATAATTTTAGTAAAGATCCCCTCCCCAGAAAAATTATCCCGATTCAACACTGTTGGTCCCGCCTGTTATACAATTGAACGAATCGATTTTTATTGTTAAAATATATTCAGGTCGGCGGTGGCAACGGCGGCGGCGGCGGAGGAAACGGTAGGCCAGATTTACCGATGGCAACGGGAAGTAACGGGGCTGGGGACCGTCGGAACATCACGCCGACCGAGTCGCATCACCACGGACATCACCATCACGGGCATCACCACGGAGTGCCCACCAGTAACGGACATCAGTTCGGAGGGTCCGGTGCTACCACAAACGGCGATCAGTCTCAGCTCCAGTTGTACGACGTAAAATAATAACGCACCGCACGCATAGGTACTCGTAAAACAATACACTTATACGGTATTCCTCGAACCTCTTCTTTTTTTTTAAAAAAAAAAAATATTTATTAAATAATTTTAGAACGATTTTGTTACAAATAACCGTCGGAAAAACCTCGATTGCTTATGTAACAATAATAATAAAACTATATTACCTACTCGATTCGTTAACGAACACTTACGAATTGTTACAGTCAAAGCTACTAGTCATTATTATATACGTTTCGTAATATTAAAAAAAAAAAAAAAAAAACAAACAAATTATAAAAACTTGTTTAGATTTTTTCCGTAAGCTTGAGCGTAATAAAATTAAACTTTACATTCGCGTGTCCCTTTAAAAATATTAATATTGTTACTGATTTGTGTGTTTTCAATCGACATCGGTTAAATAGTGCTTGTATAATGTTTATAAATTTCATTATTTAGACGTCTGCGAGTATACGATTTAAACAATATTGTACTACTTCATTCGGTTATCGACATTTATACGAAAATTATATTACCAAACTATATACTTAAAAAATATTTACTAGTTTAGTGTTAATGTTAAGTACTTGTAAGTATTTGTATTATTAGTTTTTACCCTTATTATATAAAGGATCTCTTGTTGATTTAAATAATGTTATAAGTTACCTTCGTATTGTTTTTAATTTTTATGATATTTCATCGTAAATAATGGATGTCAAACACTGTAGTACTTATTTTACATAACGCGTAATATTATAATATGTTCGTAAAATAAATAATAAATATTTCGTTGATACCACTATACCTACGTCATGATATTTTATACACCTAGTTTATTCGTATTCAGGTTTTTAGACAAAATCAAAATTAAAGAATATTTATGTGCCGGCAGCAGTGGCGATTCCAGGGATGTTCAATTGGAGGGGATTTATAGTAAATAATAATTGTAATTCATAAATAAATCGTTGAGTTTTCTTTCGTTAAACGTAACTCGACAATAAGAATTTAATAGCCGGAGTCATAAAAGTAAATTTATACTCGATAAATTGAGATTTTTTCCCTTATAAGTTGACTGAAATGTATAATTTTTAGAAAAAAATAACCTAACAAATATGGATAATTATTGTGTATTTTAAGTAAATGGGTAAGGGTATACTATTCCTAATCTCCGCTCTCTGCGTACGCCACTAATCGGTAGTGCAATATTCGATTAAATAAAATCATTTGTGTACCACATGTTCTTCCTTTTTAAATTACATGATTATTTTCAAGGGTTTGTTGAACACGCAGTTCGGTTTATTTTGCCGAAAAATAATAATATATCTAAAAACAATAAAAATAGCAATCGGTCGTTATTTTTTAAGTAAAAATCTAAACAGACGTTTTTATTTTACTTTTAATCTTGTTACTGTAGGGTATAAAATGTTCAACGCAATAGTTTGTAAAGTGTTGCGAGACCCTTTTCAAAAACACCTTTAGTGATACATTGTTTAATCTCCAAATATGGTTTTAAGAACAAAAGTTTTGTTTTCCTCGACTTAATAAAATATTTACGTTTTTAATTTTAAAACACTAATATAGTATATGTTAAACACATTTAATTTATTCATTGGTTGTTTAGGGACTTTATTCGGGGAGTACAGTAACTTTCGTTTGACTTGTGCTGCACGCATTATTCAAAATTGCCATTTCCTGAGCTGATTTGTTACACGAGTTTGCGGCCATTTACGCTCGCAAAAACGATAAGCTTACCATCGAAGTTTTTGCGGCCTCGTAAAAATGATAAACCGGTCATACATTATTTTTTTATCAGCGCTCTATATATACTATACAGTCTGCTTTATCGCACCCGGCTATTGTTACGTGACTTCCGAGAAACAACCCCAGTGATGTACTGCGCTTATACGTGTCCCGTCGTTTCAAATACCTACCTCTCTCCCTTTGCATTTTTTTCTGTTTGTCTACGAGCAGAGAACATGCTAAATCGAACTCGTTCAAAAATGCATGAAAACTTCTCGAATATACGTGAATACTGGCTGAAATTTCCGTTTTTACCGGAAATGTGAACGGAAAAAAAAATATGTTGACAAAGCGACAGAGCGAAGCTTTCCGGATATTACACACGCAGGCGATTTTAACGATCCTTTCAAGACATCGTGGCAATAAACTATTGTTAACTCTTTACAGATGATGTTATTATTTTGATTCCCGTTCCCAAACGCACGTACCTATTCCGTTGATGTACAAAACGTGTCTTTTTGTATGGGTACCTAATACGTTATTCTATGTATGGAAATATGGAATAATAAAATACGAATATTTAATTTGATTCGAAATATCACAAAATCACGAATATCCAACACTCACATTTTCACCGTGTTATCTCTGATATTCTTTTGCAGGTACTCCAGTAAGTTGTTCGTATACTTTATGTTAGTTACTATGTTATTTTATTTGTAGTTTTAGATTCTGAGAAGAGCAAGGAATGTAATGATTTTACAATGATATTTATACTTTTTTTATGTGATCACTTTATTTACCAGAAAGCTTATTCGGATTATCAAGTATAGCACCTTTTTTGAAAGGTAATATTCTCTGGGCGGTACTTTAGAGAGACCATTTTTAAAATTCCCATTAATATTCTAAATAATTAGGAAAACCTCTTTATTTAAGTTAAAAAAGATTGAAAGATTAAAAATAAGGTTGTCATTGGCAACTATTTTTATTTATTTTTTGTTATTATTAAGTTTTTATTATTTTAATCCTTGTTAAACAATCATTGTTGTCATGGAAATGCACATTGTTGAAAAAGCAATATTATATACCGAACTATATTAAAATGAAAAAAAAATTTCGATTTCAATACATTATTTTAACTATTTTCTTTTAGTACATTCTTTTAATCTTTATATTATATTTCTTTATTCTATACTTAAGCATATCACTATCAACTGAACTCAATTAAGAATCATTTTTTCGTTAGCAATGGTTTATCGTTGCTTACAGATATACTTTAAATTCCCGTCTGTATCCAACCTTCCCAAATTCCCATTTACAACAGTGGCTGCACCCTCGTGCGAAATATGTCCTTTTTTTTTTAAATGAATCACGTTGAATAAATTCAAGTAGATGAAAAAATTTCTAATAAATGTTTAAATTTTTTTTTTTTAACTGTAAATTATTTGATTAGAAATGTTATATAATCTAGGCACTAGGTATTCATAACGTAGGCAATTAAATATAAATAAATATTTGAACTTCGAGTAAACGTGAAATTAAATAATCTATACAAAACTAGAATTGATCGTTTTAAAAACCCATCTATTGTACTTTATTGAATATTCCTGAAGGGTACGACGGGTACACGTATAAATAAGTTACTATATTATGCATTATTCCAGGGACTTGAGTTTAATGTGGAAAACGCCACTACACTCAATTGATGTTATTGTGTTAACAGTGTTATCAGGTACCCAAATATATATATAGTATATATTATATTGTGTCGTAGCATCGTTCAACAATAGCTAGGTAAGTTAGAACTCGAGATAAACGCATTAAGACGTCAAGCGCACGGTTAGGACGGTGGGGAAGGATAATTAAATTACGGAGGCGGGGAAAACCCGCTCTCCCACATCAGACTTGTCACCTGTTCGACAGGACAAAAGGACTTCAATCGGCAACGGCGGCGTTTAATTGTCACAACACAATGCGCTGAGCTTATCAATTTATTAGTGTTGAAGGGTTCCCTTCGACTCACGGTGATTCCGTTTTCTATTGTTAAGTTTTGAATATTACAGTGACCATTTAAAGGTTTTCCAAGCAACTTACAAATTTATCGAACCGAAAACTTTTTCCGTGCTATATAATATAATATGATATGCGTACCTATAATAATTGTATATAATAAAGTAGTATTTCACGTTTTTAATAAAAATAGCATTAAAATATTTACAGATATATTTATGTACATCTATATATATATATAAAATAGCTTATCGTGACTGACTGATTCATCATCACTTAACTCACATCACTGGACTGGGCTAAAATTAGGCATAAAGATAGCTATTATGCCGAAGGCATCCGCTAAGAATCGATTTATGAAAATTCACTCCTAAGGTGATAAAATAGGGGTTTTAGGTTATTTTTGGTACGAATATCTAATTGTTTATTAATTTGTTTTTGTTTATTCGTGGGCTACCTTGGTGACGACATGGATAACAATTTGGTTGCCACGGGCAAGAAAACTATTATTATTTACACTGTTATCTAGCAATAGCAAAGTATTGCCGGATCAGCTAGTACATCATGTAGGACATACGTATTGTAAAATTTACGAGTAATTTATATTTTCTCTTAAATTGAAATAAAAATGGTCTTTAGTTCACAAACAGGTAAAATAGATTTTTTTTTTTAAATTTTTTTCACAAAATTTTCATACAATATATATATATATATTCTAAAAACATTTTTAAGCAATCGAGTTCATACAATTTTATGGAAATAAAAATATTATACGAAAAAAAACAGACATACTTCACACAATGGGAGGGCCATTGGTGCAGGTGAGAAGTCGGGGAGGTTTAAGGGGAAATATTATACATATCTGTACGCAAAAATTAATCATTGCCAACGAAAAACGATCCTGAGCTGAGTTCATTTATATATGTTTTGAAAGGCCGTAGTATTTACGAAAATAATACATTTTGTATATCTTCCCATTTTTTGCCGGTTTTTCCCATTTATTATGATAATAGCTGGAAAAATCAAATTTATTTTCCTTAAATACCACCAAAACCAAATTTTCTTTCAGAAAAAGTGCTACACTAAACAATTGGATCAAAATGTATGGTAGAAAAGTTGTTCACAGAAAAAAAAATCATCATTATAGAACCAATACATATCTCGCTCAGCTCAGAATCAAAAAAACTATAAAATAATAATAATTTTCGTGTTTGGCCTTTTAAATACTTTATAATTAATCGCTTTAAATTTTATAAAAGTAA